TACGAGCTCTTACGCCCAGGCCACAACGGGATGATGCGCCCGTAGAAGCAGAGTGCCGTCTACACCCGGTACAATAGCGCGCTAGGCCAGAGAGGTCTCGTACGGATCGCGAGGACGACAATCAATGAGGTTTGCCGTCAAAAATTAATCGACTGCGAGGCGCAATTACAGTACCCTCGGGATATCCAAATGATAGCTTCGAAAGCTTTACAGAGTCCGACTCCCCATGCGCTTTTAAATGTGTTGATTTCCACCTTGGAAAAATACAGCTGTGGAAAAAAAGCTGCGCTTAACAGCTTGACGATTGTTGGCAACTAAGCAGCACTACGGTTCAAACCCCGGTGAACAGCGTAGCTCGAAGGAGAGTAAGTACAACGCCGCCATTCCACAAACCAAAATCGGTCCAGAGTCAAAACATATTTCGAGAAAAAAAAAAAAAAAAAAGAAGCCTCTTCGCCTCGCGTAACGAGCCTCGACCCCTCTGGGGAAGGGGCCGAGTTGCCAGCTCGTGCAGCGGCAAGCCGCCCACAGCGTGGGCAGGAGAGCGCATCGAGCAGTGCGGCGGGCACGAGAGTCTGCGGGTCCGTCGATTCCGTCGCGTCGTCCGCCCATCCCCGGCGCAGCATTACAAAGTCTGATATCCGGCCGACTGCGTTCAGCGCCGCTGCACATGACGAAAGGGTCGCTCCGTCGTCTGCCGAGGCGTCTGCTCGCTTTCGCGCCCCAAAGAAAGCGAGGACTACCCCTCACCCCCCAACTATCTTGGGCCGTTTATTTCGACGACGACTTGTAGCAGTCAACTAGAACCGGCGACTTTTTTATATACATTTATTTTATTTAGTATCTTTTTGCTCCGTTTATACCCCGACATTGGATTAAGAAAAAACAAAAAACATGACACCGAGGGGAAAAAAGAGTAAAGGAGGGAGAGAGAAAAAGAGGGGAAAAACGCATCGTCGGTGTCGAAATCGTCTACACTCGTTTTCAATTCAAGAACTGTAGTAAAAAAAAAGTCCGGGTCTTCGCGGAGCATTACAAATTCACCTCTTTATGCAGAAAATTAACATATATGTAGGAGCGTTTTAGGTATGTGTAGGAAATTAGCATACAAGTAGGTGCAGTTCAGGTATGTTATCAAGACGTACACATTTCAAACGCCAAAAGCATCGCTTGTTCCTCCGACAACCTGAACTTTGTACCACGGCTGAAATTTCCAACATAGATGGAAGCGGCATACGCTAGTCAAACTCACCTCAGCAAAATATTAGTTTTGAGCAGACACTGACGCTTTTCGAGCATAACATCTGTTAGTACATCACTTAAAAATGAAAAAAAAAAAAAAAAAAAAACACAGAAAACATTGCATCGTTTTATGAGTATATCTACGGTAATGATTGTGGGTTCCTCTTTGATACTGGAACGTGTTTTCTATTACCTTTTTTAATAATAATAAATAGGGAGCAAACAGAACACTGAGCTTTCTTTAAGAAATAAGACTCTGGTCAGAGGAGGTTCCATTTACAGTGGGTAGTAAAAAGAATGGTCGCAAAATGAATTATAGCGCAACACTTCAGTTGGGAAAACGCCTCTCCCCTGCCCCCTTTACGCTCGGTAGTTTATTTAGCCTGTAACTATATTTTTCTCTAAAAGGCCAGAAAAATTCAGCACATCCGCTAATGCGCCCCCACATTTGATTTTGGTTTGTGCAATTCATGACACTGGAGTCTCGAATTTGGTAGGTTCCAAAAAACTTGGGAAAGAGGGGGGGGGGGGGGGGGGCTTTCCCAAGTTTTTTGGAACCTACCAAACTCGAGACTTCAGTGTCATGAACTGCAAAAACAACCTCAAAAACTAAAAAAATAAAAAAAACAGTGATTAAAAAAAATCGCGTCAGAGGTGAATTTAGAGTATTTTCGTCCTGTGAATATGAATATCACAATCATTTGACCCAAACGTATCAATTTACGCGAGAAGAACAGAAAAACCAATCCGCGTTTGAGCCAGAGTTTCAACGGGGATTGGTTTCCAACCAGAGGTGGCTATTTTTCTTTCTCGGGGCGGCGCTTTTAAAATTAAAGATAAACCTACAATCAAGATCAAAGAGGGCCGACTCGCAATAATCCTGAGCATCATTTCAGTGCCTATCGCGCTTTCCCATGCCAGCCGCTGCTCTTAGCACTCCGGTGCAAAGCGGCGAAGCCCGACGCGTGCGCGTTGGTGAGGGGCGGCGAAGGTTGAAGCGAGCGGCGCAAACGCCAGACAGTAAGCGCACTGTAGTCACGGCACAAAGGCATATATATGGTGGACATGATAACCAAGTGATCTCATCAGGCATACAAGACCCTGTTTTTGTCTTACTACAGTAGCCGCCGTCCAACAGTTTCCAGAGTTTTCTCACGACTTTTAGTTCCTGTCAGCGACTGACACGGTTTGGAAATTCAGACGACGTCGGCGATCAGTCGGCTAGCTCAGCAGACGATCAAAACGCAGCCGACAATACGAGCCAATGGGACCAATCAAACAGCTTGAGCACTCGACACCTTCCTCTACGTGTTGTCTGATTGGCTAAATCAAGCGAGCACAGCGCATGTCCCATGGCTTGCGCTTTCAGTATGTCTGGTCGTGATTCTATCTGTTCGAGAATTGGACTGTGATCTGACCTAGGTGACACAATATGGTGAGTAGGGTCGCTGTGAAACACATATTTGCGCTAGTTTTATTTCCTCCTTCTCCGAATAACAAAATCGACGGATGTTAAAATATGTTAACTGTTTGCATTCTTTAAGCCTAGCTTGGCGAAGGTGTGGCGTGATACTTAGCGAAATAGGCCTTCTGGCGCAGCACTTCCATCACTGTCTCTGATTAACCGGATAAACTGAGTGAGATCCTGATCAGGGAAGTATGCACCATGATGATTGATCACCCAGGTGGTAGCGGAAATTGAATGAAATTCAACGTCCTAAGTTAATTCAACCAAGAAGAAATAATTATTGCTAGACATGCCAGGAAAGCAATGCAGATGTAACGGCCAAATGTGTCAGTAACTTTTATATTTCTAATCGAGAAAAAAAAAACACACACACACACACATCTCAATAAAACGGTGTGTATGTTTTCTTTTTTTCATCCTTGTACCGGGTTGTGAAGCACGGAAGTCATGCGTCAGGTTGCCTGCATTTCTACCTTTTCATCGTTGCAATGATCGCCGTTGCATCGACTGTCTTTTCTTAGATAGAGAATATAAAAGGTTCAAATGATTTTATTGCCTCAAACTTCCGTAAGGCCGAGAGCCTGAGGCAATCAAAAGGCTGAAGCCCGTTCAGGATATGCTCACCGAATCCTCGGCTATGGGTTAACAGGTGAAATGACACGAGGAAAAAAATATATACAGGGATGAGATATTTACAAATGCAATGAAAGGTTAGGCTACTGGTGATTACGCACGAGATCTTTGAATTTGTCAACACTAGGGGGCCTGGTGAGCAGTACAGTTTCCGTATGGGTATGAGCGGATAGATGGGTGCGTTTTGTCTCGGCAATTTAAAATTCCACAACGGGAACTGCGATCCCAGCTTATCACACTGAGCCTGCCTATTTTAGGATGCGCAAGTGGCGCCAAAGGTAAACATCATCATGATGCCTGTCCGCCATTATCATCATCGCATGAGCTCGCTCGTTCATTGGTTGGGGCTGCGAGAGCAGACGAAACATTTCGATCGGCTCAGGCCGCCGCCTTTGCACCTTGTACTACGCTCCACATGGTTTCTTGTTGCCGTTACGATTCACAGCGGCTAACAGTCATATTCACTTTCAGTCTAGGAGCAGGTGACACTTCTCTTCGTATGCGGATCACGGCGGGAACATACACCGAGAAAATAAAGGACGTGCCGTTATCATTCTGCGGGCTTTTTCGTTTTCCTCTCCCAACGGTCGCCGCGTTCCGTTGACCTTGGTGGAAAAGAAGCGAAAACGCTCAATGCCGAATTCCGCCGGCCGCATTCAGAATCCCGGGGGCAACGAAACACATGCGTGAGGAAGTGCAGCCCCCTCCTCACCTATCCACGACAAACAAAAGAAAAAGAGCTCCGAGGAAACAAATAACATGCACGCCTGTTAGGTAACAGAGAGCACAATTCGCGGGGCTTTCGGAGAGGGAAATAAGGACTACCGGCAGGCCCACACAAACAGCGTCCAACTTTTGATCGATGCTGCCTCTTTCTCGCGCAAAAGAGGCTCGCAGTTCTGCCGAGGAAATCCTGATGCGGTCGGCGGAACAGGAGTTAACACAGACCACCTGAAAAGCGCACGATTCTGTTTGGCTCGTCGGAGTAGGTCAACGCAGTTGGAAGCGCGCAAGAAACGACTCGAAAAAATAAGAAGCCGGCCCAATCCCAATCTGCAACGGTCGGGTCAGCGGCTAATTGTGTCGCCCGCCGGTCCTAAGTCAATCGCCGCACGCTGCGACTCGCATTTCCTCGGCAGTGATGAGATGTCGTCGAGCACTTCCTCACGGCGGTCCGTCACGCAACGGAATTAGCGTGCCAGAGCACTTGGTGCCCGCAATCGCCGGAGGTACGACTCGGAGTCACAGCAGAGCCCGGCTGGTCTACTGACCTTGACAAGGCGCACACAGCTCGAAAGAGTGACTCGATATCGAACGCGATCGAAATTACACGGAACATCGCTTCCACTCGGTATTTAAAATACAAGCGAACGCTTCACGGAAACGACGAGCGCTGCTTGCGATGGAACCTTCGTGACAGGCGAAGCCTACGCTTTAATTTCGAGCGACGAAAACTCGGTCAAGCGATATTCGGCAAAGCTTTGATCGGGAAGCATCGGGGACAATCGGCGGCCGATTTTAACGCGTCTGCAACGAGTAACAAAGCCTAAGCGGCTGACATGTCACTAACCTCGAGCCATATGATGAAAGAACGTAAGTCGACGACCTCCGCGTGCATTTAGTTTCGAAGGGAACGTTTTTGAGTTGTGTCACATACCTATGTTTGCAGGCTGGTTGTATCCGGGACGATCACACCGAAAGAACAATATTGATCCGACGACACTCACTGAAAAGCCGCCATGTGCAACTGACTCATTTTCGCACCAGAGGGGGCCAGCGACAAGAACGCGAATACTCTCAAACCCAGAGCTATCTCGCTCGCCATATTTTTGTAGGTAGCGCCGGTAGCGCTGTGATACAAAAATAAACGCGGCGTGCTTGTTTACGCGCGGTCGCCAGCTGGTCAAGCGAAAGCAATTTATTTTTAGAAAAATGAATCTATGAGTTACCTAAATAAGTTATCGCTATGGCAATTTCTAAGCTTTTAGCTCCTCTGAACTGCGCTCACCTATGCAATCGTCAAGGTGAAACCAGTGAAACGGCAATTTTTCAACACTGGACCCCTTCGAGTGGGCTACGCTGCTTTGACGGATTTGATCGGGCACTCTCTGTCACAATATTTACCTTTTGAGGCTGATATGGAATTGAGAGCTTTGCCAGCGGACGTTATAAGCAAGTTAAGATCGGGTGTAGCGATCGTGAGCATCGCACACTGCATGGAAGAGGTTGTGTTGAACTCCTTGGACGCTGGAGCTACTTGCGTTGCCGTTCGCCTGAATTTGCCTTACCACAAAGTCCAAGTTGTCGACAACGGCCATGGAATGTCCAGAGAACAACTTTCCGTGTGCGGTGAGAGGTACGTAGATTGAAGCTTTGAAATCCTGGCTTAGACTTTAGAATATCTCCAAACACGTGTATCATCTTTGTTTCAGGTACTCTACAAGTAAGTGTCGTACCCTTTCGGACCTGGAGCATCCAAAGTTTTATGGGTACAGAGGCGAAGCCATTGCAAGCCTTGTAGAGATGTCTGGTATGCTTCAGATCGAATCCAGAGCTGCAGGATCAGATGAATCTCACTGCAAAATCTTCACACGGGGCCATATGCAGGAGCTCTCGAGCAGCTCATCTAAGAGACCTAGCGTTGGAACAACAGTCACAGTTCTAGATTTTATGTTTAATTTGCCCGTGAGGAGGAGTTCGGTGTCGGAAACGATCGACTTCGAATTCTGCTTGCAACTTCTTGAAGGACTTGCGCTCAGCCATCCAGAAGTGTCGTTTTCTCTCCGTGATGACATCAGCGGTGAGATCCGCTTTCAGGCACACAAATCAGAATCAGTCCTCGAAACATTCTCCCAGTTGTTTGGGAAACAAAAAGCTGCATCCTTGAAGCATGCCACCCTAAACAAAAAGAAGTTTGCTATACAAGCTTATTTGAGTATGGAAGGCCACACAACAAGATGTCTACAGTTTGCTTACCTTAACAAGCGCTTACTACTCAAGACACGCATTCACAAACTCTTTCACAATGTTCTCAAAAAGTATGTCCTCAAGTATCAGACATTGCCGGGTCTGCCCACGAGCCCAACGAAGTTGAGAAACAAGCATCCCATATTTGTTGTTTTTGTCAAGTGCCTCACCAAGACGTATGACATCACATTTGAGCCTCGAAAGACACTTGTCGAGTTTGCAAACTGGGACACTGTGACGAAAGCATTTGAATGTCTCCTCAACGGCTTCTTGCGTGAACACAAGATTATCAGCCACAATTTTGTCTTGTCGGGCGACTTGCCCTTTTCACAGAAGACAACCCCTGAAAAAGCTGAAATGCAGTTTCTGACAAGGAAAATTGATGGTGATATAAACGTGGATGAAGTTCCGAATGCTCTACTTTCCATGAAAGCATTTAGGAACAGGCATCAGGATGTTAACATATCAGAAGTGGATGCCAAGATGATGTCAGAAGCAGAGTCCGTGTTAGAAGGCCAGGCCGAAAATGAAGACCGTCCATTTATAAGTGCCGAAAAAAGTTGCAGGACACAGACTGTTACATCAGAGAAGTCATCAGTGGAAAAGAAATGTGCCTCACTTCGACAAGAACTGCACCTTCCAGATGCTGCAATCATGCTGCCACCCACCTTCTCAAACACCTCACAAAACAGAGTTCAGCTGCACGTTTCGAAGAAAAGCTCATTCATCAACATCGCCCATAGATTCAGATTTGACAGGAGGGACAAGCAGATTCAGAGCTCTAATGCCTGCAAGAACAAAAGGCAGCATGGAGGACGACACTGTTCCACGAGAGTTCCTGGCTCCGTCACTGGTCCAGGCACTTGTTCTAAGCAGAGGGATCATGTGCCCGAAAGTATAAAGGCACTAGCAGATCAATCTTCTAGGATCTTGAAAAGAGAGGACAAGCAGATTCAGAGCTCCATTGCCTGCAAGGAGAAGAGGCAGCATGGAAGACAACACTGTTCCACGAGAGTTCTTGGCTCCGTCACTGGTCCAGGCACTTGTTCTAAGCAGAAGGATCATATGCCTGAAAGTATGGAGGCGCTAGCAGCTCAATCTCCTAGGATTTTGAACAGACAGGACACTCGGAATATCCCAAACATAAGGATAGAGCCCAGGGTCCCTCCTGTGTGTCTGACTGTTTGCAACCCAACACCACTTGCAACAAAACTAAGAAGAAAGATGACGAAAATCTCAAAGGAAACCTCTGGTACAGGCAAGATTTCTGCTCAAGAGGTGCCACGACCCTACTTTGTGGGGCAGCAGGAGTTGGTGCCCAATCAGGACAGTGGGATCATCAGCAAGCTAGCAACAACAACACCAACATATCCTTGCACAACAGAATCCTTTCTCAATGCAGCGCAGGATGTCTTTGCTAAAGAAATCGATACACATGCATGTCCAGCTGCAACAGAGACCTTCGTTATTCCCAGCAAAATCTCAAGACTGGAGAGGCAAGAGGATGCACGGGAGCTTATTTCTGGGTCTGGGCCTCGCAAAGAAATTGTCTCGCAGGCAGGGCAAGTACAGACAAGCCAGCCATTTGTTACCACGCAGGAATTTGATGTGTCACACTTGCAGCAAAGTATTGAGACAGAAGATGGTACCTTGGGAAGTGTTGAAGACCCTCGGTCTTGTAGCGTCATTCAGCTGGGGACTGACAGTCATCATGATTCCAGTGCTTCAGCATCAGAAGATGAAGTAGCTGTCGCAGGAAGAACTCTCTTGCACTTCGAATCTGAAGACTGGAGTGCTGAGTCATGCTCAGCGGTTCAGGATCAGAGTTTGCACAGTCATTTTTCCAAAGAAGTATGCTCTGTAATACAGTGTGGTCAGAGCCTGAAAGAGACTCCAGCCATTAACACTGCACAGTCTTTCTTCCAGTGTAACACACTTGAATTGAACTCCAAAAATTGGGCTGTGGCTGGTCATAAAGTTCAGAGTGATGGTTCACCTCAGGGTGGTGTTGATGGCAGCAAGAAGACTACAGACAGTTATAGGTCTGACCAGCAACTGTCATTGAAGGCCAGTAACACTCTGGGAAACCGTTTAATTTCACTTTTAGACGAACAGAGCCTGGAAAACATGGAGACTGACGAAAAACTTGAAGGTTTAACACAGGTGTCACCAGTGAGTGCAGGGGAGTTAGACTCTGTCACATCTAAGGAAGAGCTCCAATCTGAAGTGTCAGATAAGAAATGTCTGCATCAGGAGGATGAGTGTGGAGGAACCTATGAGGAAATCAAGTGTGTTGAAGGCATTCAACAGGAAGAAGAGCATGGCACCATGTACGCTGGCAACTGGATGGCATGGGTGGATGTAACTTCAGGACAGACAATGTACATCAATGTGACATCGGGAAACTCTGCCTTTGCACCACTACCATGCTTCAAGGAGGATCATCAGGGTAAGTGAAAAACTTTGAATTCTGTGTCAAAAATCTCACAATAGTACAAGCTTTTTTTTTTACTTTCATTTGGGAGGGAGCTTAATTTCTCGCAATTACTGGTTTATGCTAGGGGCAAGGGAATTGCCGATTTTGGACATGACACTGAGGGCTCTCCCTGGTCCCAGCCTGCTGCACTTTCCTCCAAGGCCGCAAGCAGAACGAGCACAGTTTGGAAGTTCTCCAGGTAGTGTCCTGGATTATAGCTGCATACCCTGGAGCCAGAGATGTCTCGTAACTCGCACATCAGAAAGTAATTTTTTTTTTTTTTTGCTGCAGATGCAAAGCACGCAAATGTTGTGGACCTCGTCAAAGTGTGGAACAACCCAACGTTCACTCGCTGCTCACTGCAGGTAGGTTTTCTTTGCCACTCCAGTTGTATTGATGAACACAACCAAAATTAATCCTACCACTTACCGCTTCAGTTTTATTTATCTGTGGTTCTGTTTCAGGACGTTTTGGGTGCAGGACAGCATGGCAAGAATACCAGCATGACTGCTTGCTATGGGATTACACAATCTTACAAGTTTACCAAGGAAATGCTCTCTCACGTCAAGGTGATTTAACTTACTTTCATATTGTGTCAGGTTTGCTTACTTGCTCTCAAAGGTAGTACAAAATAATGTTTTTACTCTTGTATACCATACGGAGAGTTTTTCTTTCGATTCCTTCCTTCTCATTCACCTGCAAGCCACCTCCCCCCTTTTCATCGCCACCCTCAACATTGAGACACTTCCAACTGGCTCGAAGTAAAAGGGTTTATTCAAGCAGCATTTTCTCCCAACAGTCTTTCGAAAACAGCCCAATCTGTTTACCCGGTTCATACTTTTATTTTTATTACATGCAGTCCACACTTTTGAATTTCAAAATGATTGAAATAAGACCCACACCTTTCCTCAGGACCTTGTATTCAAAGTGACTGGCAAAAATGTCCTTTACCAACCTTCCATGCTGCAGAATGTCTGTAATTATTGAATATTTGTAGGTGATTGGTCAAGTTGATGCCAAGTTCATTGCGTGCCTCATGCCCGTCTGTGACAAAGGAATGTTTCAAGGTCTGTGCCACTTGCTACTGACATGAGTCACCATAAAACTGCACACTCATCTTGCACTTGTTATTACAGAGGACAGCTTGATTGTATTGTTTGACCAGCATGCAGCTCACGAGAGGGCAAGGCTGGAGTGGCTCCTTGAAAGTAAGGGACATTCTGAGGCAGGTTGAATCCCATCATTAGTGCTGCAGAGACTGCTTTTATATTTGCTTTTGTCTTTGTACCCCTCAATAATTTCAGCGACTTTCTGAAGTTATGCATTGTGTAATCACTGCCTAAGAGCAGCCTGTTCAGACTTCAGAGCATTCCTTCCTCACACAAACTGCACTTCCGAGGGTGCTTCTGCCAAAATTAAGCGTGAACGCATGTAGTTGCCTCACATTTAGGGACGTGATGTTGTGCAAATCTTCTCTTTGATCTCGCTTTTTTCTGCTAGACCCGATGTTAGAATGCAATATCTCAAATGAAAAAAAGTTTTGCTGGAGCTCGATTATGGAACTGGTCCCATTTGGAAATGAGGAATGCAGCTGGACTAAATTGGATTCAGCTGGAACCAGTTTCATAATCCAAAAAATAGTCAGAGTGCAGGCAAGCTGGTGTAAGTTGAACATGATTGTAAACCTGAGACTAGGGCAGAAAGGAGAACGCAACAGAAGGTGGTAAAAGAGGAGGCAACGTCTCAAACTCGGCTGCAAAGTTTATTTCGAACACGCTTTATATACCCCATCTCCAACTTTGTCTCTACAAAAAAAAAATACACACATGACAAGAGGACAATGACACTTGGGTAAAGCTTCTCTTATCTCCCTTGACCTTGGCTGTGGGACACTCACACAAAGGGTCACATTCTAGCATAACCACCGCTACCCAGCGAACGTAGGTGAAATCACTACTGAACGCAAAGAAAGGGTTTGACCTTCAAAGGTGCGTTGCCTCTAACAAATCACTCAGTCCAAAGAAACAATACTATACACTGCTAACAGCCGGAACTGGGGCCATCTCCAAAAATGAGAACGACATTGCCCTCCTACCACGAACCAAAAATGGATAACACTGCGACTTTTCTCGAACAAGTCCAAGGATACACATATAAACAACACTAGTACTACAAAAAAAACAAAAAAACTTTACAAGCGTAGAAATTTACAATCATGTTCATAATCCAGCTCCATTTCGACTGAACACAAACAAAAATAGTGGCTTATCTTGCTGACTGGTCATACAGTGTGCACCAAGAAGACTGCCGGCCCAATCAGACGTTGGGCAATTCTGGCCTCACGTGAATGTGGTGGTGTAGCCAGAAATGTTTTACAGCGATAGCTGCTAATGGGCTCTTTGCACAACTGGAAATGACATCTGTTGGTGGATGTTGCAGTTGGCAATGTAGGGCGTTCGTTGTCGATGTTGCCAAATCCTTGAGAAAGATTGCCCGCCTCTGCGAGAATCGGACCTGGATCCACTGTGTGCAAAGCGAAGGTGTCACCACCAGTGGCCTAACAATTTGTTTTTGAGCGGAGGAGGTCCAAACCAGATACCCCCCCCCCCCCCCCACCTCCCCCCCCAAGGGCCGAGGGGCAGTGCCCTTGGTATTCCTTGGGCACCACTGGCCAGTGTTTGCTTTGCCGCCCCACTCTGAGAACTTGGGAAGGTGGGGGCAAGTCCCCTCCTTGCCCCCTCCCCCTTGATTGGTACGCCCATAGTCACCACTCGCTACGCCGCAACTTTAAAAAAAAAATTATATTCTTTACAAAGCGACGCTACACTGTTAATAACCGATTCTCTAATTCAGGTTTTTGTAGTACCCAATGCCCTGCTCATGCTTTCTGAAAAAAAGAATAGCCGATAAAAAAATTTCATTGTGGCACCGTTGATGCCAAGAGCTCGTGCTGGGAGACGCGCATTCCCGCGCTCCGGAACAAAAAAGAAACAAAGGCGTTTGGAACAAAATGGGCAGATGTCTACTTTGTTCCAAATGCTTTTGTTCACGCACCCCAGGGTGCGTGAATCGGTGTAGTATTCACGCACCCCAGGGTGCGTGAATACTACACCGATGCCCAACGACTTTGCCGTGACACGTCGAAGCTATCGCTCCGACTCTACTGTGCATTAACGCAGAACTGCTCATTGTTTTTGAAAGGGAGTGGGGACGGAGGAGCTAAGGTGGTGGGATGTCCATGACTTAGGGTGCAGAGGTGGGGGTGCATGTGTTTATTAAGGGTTGACTGGATTTCGGAGGAGGGGGGGGGGGGGGTGGGGGGGGGGGGGGCGGCGGCGGCGGCGGGCTGAAGCCTTATGAGTCACACTCCCGGCCATGCCACTGTGTAAATGCACACAATGCAGTGATTGACTGGCGCCTGATCGGGTTCAGCCGTCTTTCTGTTACACGTCAAACAACCACTTGAACATTTGGTTGTGCACGGGTATGACCTGACTGGGACCCCAGTGGTTATCACCTGTTGATGGCATCAAACACCCCCGCGAGGGCGCCATTTCGCGGTCATTGATAAGCTGCAAGCAGCTGTCCAGACTTGGGTGCGATGCACTTCCAAAATGTGGTTCCAGTAGGGCATGGAGAGGCTGCCACACAGGTGGTGCAAGGGCATTCAGCTTCAGGAGGAGAGTGTTGAAAAGGTGGACATATGTACAGACCTCCGAGTGACCGGTATCTGTGGCGAAAAAATTAATTGTAAACCAATACGATATGCCCCTGGTATAAAGCTTGTTTTAGGGCGAAGCTCCTTAGGGTCTAGCCTTGTTCGTCGGCGTCCATGCTCACATCGATCTTGCTCATGAGCTCACGTGCTCGTGTAGGGCAAAAAAAAGAAAATAAATAAAAAATGATGAAAAAAAAAATGTTTGCGCAGTCGACAGGATTCGAACTTGTGCGGGGAGACCCCAATGGATTTCTAGTCCATCGGCTTAACCACTCGGCCACGACTGCGGGACGAGTAGGGGGCTTTGAGATGTGGTAGTAACTCAAGAGCTGGGGTTTCTGTCGTGGATGAAACATTGCATGTAGCCGCTCAACGTCTATACAGGAGAGGGCACTGCGGTCAAATGCGTATATAATTGCGTTAAACTTTGCATGCATTGGCTCAATGTTTATAGACGAGAGGGCGCTGCGGTCAAATGCTCAAATGCTTATATAAACACGTTCCATACCACACATTCTCTTTCTGACGTGGATGAAAACGAACGAAAGGCTCGGCATGCTGCGGCTCACCGTCTACGCAGACAAGCACCACCAGAGCTTCGCCCCAATCAACATCATTCACCATGTGGAGATGCGGTCAATTTTTTTGGTTGACATAACACTGTCCAGAACAGCAGTGCTAAAATTTCTTAAGTTACAAGACACATTGGGTGCTTAGTACATTATGGTTGTATGCCATGTTTCTTAAAGGCTGTCGTACAACCTCGGTTTTCTGCAGGCAAGATAATCCTTTTAGCGCCCTCCTCTCGAAAACTGCGAGGGTGTTGGGGCAAGTTGGAAGGTGGAGAGGATATGGGAAAGGAGGAAGCAAGAAGTGTATGTTGGATTTCAGGCAGGCTTGGTTTGAGTTGGCAGCTTATTTGTTGTCAACCTCAGTTTTCTTGTCTTAGAGTTGCCACATATTGCAGCATTGGGAAGTTGCCACGAATTAAAAAGTTTCTCTGTCTAATTATTTCCTGACTGGCTCTTTTGATTTTAGTGTGGTGGCACCAGTAAAGGGAATTTTCTACGCGGCAATTTAGTGATTTATTTGCGCAAGTACAGGTGTGCACATTGTGGCGTGCCAGGCAAAGCAGAGGAAAACCTTTACGCACGGGCACCTGCTATACTCCATTTCACGAAAACTTGGCGAACTGTGGAGGCTGTGGACCCCGCCACCGTGAGGCAGGTGACACCACATCACTGGAGCGTTTGTCACTGTGCAAAGTGTGAGGCACGGAAAAGCTGTCTGTCGCCTGCTGGCCAAAAGTTGTCTGCTGCGAAACCAACCAACTTCGGATCAACGTCCACCACCACAGCATTGTTGTCCGATAGAGTAGCGAGCTCTTCAAGAACAGTTCAGGCAACAACCATACGCTGAATTTACCTGCGAATCTGTGGCGGGTGCTAACGCCAGGGCGATGTTTTGAGCAGGAGCGGTCGGTTACAAGGTTGCGATCGTTCAAACATCATTCAGAAGCCATATTGTTCTCAGATAAAGGTTGACACGAATTAAGTATTGTTGAGAAGTAACATGTTTTCGTCTTTCTTCCGTGTCGTGTAGCATAGTGTCAATAGAGGTGCAATCTTGCATGTTTAATAGACCCTTTTTTATCGAGCAACATAGGCGGCCGCCATTGCTTGGACTCGAAGCGTGTGATTGGATCCGAGTTTAAGCCGAATGCTGATGCAGCTCTCGCCTCCAATACATGCTCAGAGTATGTGATCAAGCAATGGCGAACTGGGGATGGCATGGACTCTTGCTGTTAAACAAAAGAAGAGAAGCCTAGGACTAATTTTTGTCGCGGATGGCTCTGTTGCTGTGACGGTAACGAGGCCTCCGTGGCCTTAACCGTGGAGCGTTGTCATGTGCCTTGCTTTGACGCCCTTATTGCGTAACGGGGGCCGCAGCCTCCACAGTTCGCCAAGTTATTGCGAAACAAACTATAGCCTGCACAAGTGTATGTTAAGTTACATATAGACAGACACGCTGTTTACAAACAAGCCCTCGTTTGCCCACATCAGATGTGGGCACTGCGCGTGCGCAGAAACCGAATTCGCCTGAAGTGAAGCGTCTGCGCATGCGCAGTGCTGTCGACAGCGCCACCGCAGCTGTGTGACGTCAGGGCCGCGTGTTGGTCTGTAAAAAACGGCGTAAAAATAACAATAAAAATGTAACGTGTCTTGATCTTACAGATAAATTTTGAAAACAGAGTGTGCAGCCGAGCACAATTAGTTATCAATATTAATTAATGGTAATTAGCAGGACCTACTAAATTAGGCCAAGGTTAGCAAGATGTAAGTCTGCAAAAATTTAGTGGCTGTGCAACATTTTTTTAAATTCTCTTTGGTAACATCATGGTCATCTCAAGGAAACCAGCCCTATAACAATGTCTGTAAAAATGGCAACGATTATAATTATGACTCGCTTTACTGTGCAGGAAATATGTAAATCACAGAATCTGCAACCACCTTCAGATCTGGAATTATTTTTCTTTGGCTCTCGCAGTTTACCTGCCTCCATCTGCATGAGTGCAGGAAGTGTAGTAGTGTTGCATCATCACACACTTTGGTCCCCAGACAGAGTACAGTGCTGTAGGACATTTGGGAAGGCCCGGTGAAATGGGTGCTTGATAGCAGTTTTTTTCTGTTGGCAGACCAGTACAAAGACGGGCAGGGGAGTTCCCTGAAGTCGTCCAGCCTCAAACCTCCACTGAGCATCGCTTTGGACCCTGACGTGGCAAGGCGAGCCGCCGTCTGCGAGAAGGAGCTGCGGAAACTTGGCGTCCATTTTGGGGCCATCGGCCAGCAGGGCCTGGTGTTGGAGCGCCTGCCAAGCTGCCTCATTGAGAGGGATGACAGCGAGCGCCGTTGTGGGAGACCCTCCACCATCGCAACACAAGCTCAGGTGTGGAAACACTTCAGTGCCACTGGAACTACCAGGGGTTCGATTTTGGTCACTGCAAGAGCGAGTATGATATCTGATTTTCTTCTCGTGGAGCGAACAAAGATAATGTTCATGGACGCTTCACCTGCTGACGCGAGGAAAGAAAAGAATGTGGTTCGTCTGCCTTGAAACGCGTCGGTCACGGTTGGAAACAAAAACAAGAAAACACCGTGTGTCGTCTGCTAACAGACCAGAAAAGAAGTTGGTCGTCTGCTCCGAACCGAGCACCGCAGCAATGTGAGATCTGAACCAGGCTGAAATTGTGATTGTCTGCTGTCGTACTCAAGCTGGCTTCCACTGGTGGTCAAGCCCATTAGAGGTCACAAGACTGCTCTTGCTATTTGCATGTTAGTGAGACCTCACCAAAATATTGCGAACTCGCAAACGGTAAAAAATCTTATCCATTGATTATGTGCAAGCTGTGACCCCACGTCCAATCAGCAGCCGATAGCGCTCTCACTCTCGCAGCATATTCAGCGCAAAGGACAACAAAGGGACACAAACACGGCGCTACTTATACCGAAAGCTTTATTCGTGTTGGCATTTGGGATAAATACTACAGATGCCAGAAAAACGACACAAATACTAAAAGGTTGAAATCCGTGTACAGGTTACGTGCCATCTACAGCACTGCCGCTCGCTCCTCCCACTCGTTCAAGAGAATGCAGTTCCTTATCGCAGTTCCTTATCCAACAATAAGGGTATGCTAACCCCACTGTAGCCCTAATCTTCCTATTTCACGAGCCTCTAAGATCTCTCGAGTGATTCTGTCTTTATTACTTTTAAGCACTGCACAGTCCTCGAACGTAGGTTTGCAACCGTAGTCATGGCAAGGCACGCCAAGATGCCCCTTCACCACTGTGCCTACATTGTACCGGTGCTCCACTAATCTATGATTCAGACAATGTCCTGTCTGCCCCACATATCGCCATCCACACGATAAAGGGATGGATTACACAACCCCTTTTATGCATTCCACAAAGTGGTTTTGATGCTTTTTCTGAATTTCCCCTCTTACACATGCCAGTAAACTTTTCCGGGGATAAAAACACCATGTCAGCGCCACCATGATGTCCCACTCTCTTTAGATTATGGGATATCTTGTGAGGATAGGGTATTACCACGAGTTTATTTTTTGCTTTCCTCTCCCCTCTGTTCCCTCGCTACTTTTCTTTTTCTTAAGTAATGTCTCGAAAGACTTCGGCGCCACTGAAACCACCAGGGGTTTGGTTTAGGTCACTGCTGATAGAAGGCCAACCGGATAACCCGCTGTCCTGAGCCTTAAAGCCTGATTGCTAAAACTTCCCTTAATCCCGTGGATGCACGATTTTTTAAAAGTGAGTTTTTGAATCAAATGTTAATAATACCCCTCTTCACAAGCTTGAAATGAGTCAACGAAAGCGGTAGTAGTGGTTTGTTACTCCTAGGTTTGTAAACCCACCAGACATGCTTGTGTTGAAAGCTGAATCTAAGTTCTTGAAACCCGATGGTTCCTTCAACTGGTGTTTCGTGTGTTAAGGGGGGAGGCTGGTCTTTAACTTCGCATTTTTTAATTTTCATTTATCGTGCTGCAATTTACTATACTGATGTATTTCTCAGTGGTGATTTCAAATATGCAATTAGTTTTCAAATAGCTTTACTACATCCTGAGTTATCAATAAATTAGTCATTTTAATTAGGTCCTCTTTACGGGTCGTTAGCGTAAAATTCTTCAGAATATATCGGAAATTTTTATAGAATTGCATTCCCCTAGACATGTTTTGTGCGGTGATGCTATTTTTGTTGCTTTTTATCTCGTACAATAATTTTAATTAATTAGTCTCAAAAAGATATAACCTCCCGTTTTGTGCAACTTGGTTGCAGATGTGTTTTACCAATGTAATATAATTAGATTAGACTTAAAATAGCATCACCGCACAAAACATGTCTTGGTGAATGCAATCCTATAAAAATTTGTGATATATTGTGAACAATTTTATGCTAAAGGCCCGTAAGGATGACCTAATGAAAATTACAAATTTGTTAATAACTCGGGATCTAGTAAAGCTATCTGAAAACTAATTGCATATTTGAAATCACCACTGAGAAATACATCAGTATTCTAAATGTCAGCAGGATCAATGAAAAATAAAAAACAAAAAGTTAAAGACCAGCCTCCCCCCTTAAAACAAGGGGTTTAGGCACTCGCTAAAAGTACAGGATCTCGAGCACATCGCCTTCAAGACTGTCTGATTGGCAGTTCAAAAGGACTAAATAATCATCTGTGAACCTGAAAATCTTGACTACTTTCTAACTCTCAAGTCTGCTTTACAGAACTCTATCATACACCGCTACTAAAAATGTTGCCTAGTGTGGGGGCTGTAGAGCACCCTATACAAACCCCTATCCTCTAAATGAAAGTGCCTTTCTCCCAACTAGCTAATGTCGATTTCAGATAGAAAGAAGTTCCAGAAAGCTACTTACACCAAGTCCTGCCTTATTTTGGTACGCAACAACACTATGCTTGTTAATAGTGTCTTCAACGCAAGATAACAACTTATCATGAGGAATCGAATAGTACAAAATCTTTTATGCCAAAGAAACATGCGATAGGCTTTTTTGGGGGGGGAAGGTCTTTCAGGAAACTGATTACTTCAGCCAAATGCTTAAACCAAAAGGGATATCGAGCAAAAGCAAGTCCAGTCTTGTTTCCAGGAAGGTCGCCTCAGACTTCTGCCAAGTACCGTTCTCAGAAACTCTTACTCGCAGTGGACAGTTTGCCTTATGCATTTTTGCTAACAAAAACAAGTCTAAACCCACGCCTCTTGTCCAAGGCTTGGGCCAGTCCTCTGAAGTTTAACCTTTTGCAGATGGCACGTGACCCGTTTTTCACCTTTGCCAGCGACATGTCATCTCGCCTCAGAAATGAGGACCCGATGGCCTCCAAAGCCTTTGACATGAGTGTGTCCTTTGGCAGCACAACAAAACCACCTTCTTCATCAAATAGTAGTAACGATAAGGTGTTTTTTTTTTAAGTAGGCAACAGTGCCTCACAGGAGTGCATTACAACTCGAGGGTTTACATTGTAGCGGCACATCTGTGCCCTTGGAGATGCATCTGTCTACATCACATTTTGGAGCTCGTTCAGAATCTTGCCTCACCAATACCAATACCTTAGCTTGAAACACAAACTTGGGGCCATTACTCGACGGGACCCACCGCAGTTGCTCTGGAAGGTTCCTAGGGAGGTTTGCCCTAAGGTACAGCAGGCTCCGTTGCCACCCAAAAGTATGTCGTTCTGCCCACCAAGCAAGAAAACTCACCACTTGACAGCAGTTCTGGTTACGTTCCAAAATAAGGCAGGACTTGGGGTAAATAGCTTTCTGGAATTTTTTAATTTTTTTTAATTTAAAATCAACATTTGCTGCTTGGCAGGAAGGCACTTTTATTCAGAAGATGAGGGTTTGTATAGGGTTCTCTAAGCACCCGCACAAGGTGACATTTTTTCTAGTGGTGTATGATAGAGTTCTGTATAGCAGACCCGAGATTTCGAAAGCAGTCAATATTTTCAGGTTCGTAGATAATTATTTAGTCCTTTTGGGACTGCCGGTCTAAGATCCTACTTTTAGTGAGTGCCTAAAACCACACACAAAGTACCAGTTGAAGATACTATCAGGTTTCTAGATCTTGGTTTTAAAAGCGCTCAAAAGACGAGGACAGAGTAAGAGACACAAACGACAGACGAGCGCTCTTAAACCAAGATGAATAACTACCAACTAGCCCAACTCTCCACCCTACTGCAGGTTTCTAGATCTTAGAATCGGCTTTCAACACGACCATGTTTGGCGGGTTTACGAACCTAAAAGTAAACCACTACTGCCTTTTTCGTGGGCTCATCCCAAGCTTGTCAAGATGGGTATCATAAACATTTGCTTCAAAAAAGCACTCACTAAACATCGTGCATCCCCGGGATTAAGGGGAATTTTAGCAATCAGATTTTAAGGCTCGGGGCAGTGGATCATCCGGTCAGCCTTCTATGAGCAGTGGCTGAAACCTTACTTAAGAAAAAGAAAAGTAGCGAGGGAACAGAGGGGCAGAGGAAGGCAAAGAATATAGTCGTGGTAATACCCCATGTTCATGAAATCTCCCATAATCTATAAAGAGAGGGACATAGTATTGGCGTTGACAGTATGTTTTCATCCCTGGAAAAGTTTACTGGCATGTGTAAGAGGGTAAAATCAGATTCCAAAGGAAAACAGAACTGTGAAAAAGCATTAAAAAAAACTGTGGAATGCATAGTAGGGGTTGTGTTTTTCGTCCCTTTATCAAGTGGACGACAATATGTGGGGCAGACAGGACGTTGTCTGAATAATAGATTACTGGAGAACTGGTACAATGTAGGTACAGTGGTGATGGGCAGGTGCAAACTTACCAATAGGCAGACTAGGCAGCTGCCTAGGCTGGCAGACTTGTGGCCGTCCCAAAATTAATTGGTGCTATTTTTTTTTTTTTAAACGTAACTGCGAATTTAGTAGTTATTTTGCAAATTATAGCTCCAGATCAAGCTATTTGTGAAAATTTTAACTCCAAACTTAGCTACTTCCCCCCTGCCACCCCCCCCCCCCCTTGCCCCTTATGGTCACTGACCATGGGGAGCGGGGGTTGGGGGGGAGGGGCACTGTTGAAGCTCTTCCTAGGGCAGCAAAATGTTAAGTTCGCCTCTGGTGACGAAGCACCTTGGCGTACAGTGCCGTGACTCTGATTGCAAACCTACATTTAAGGATTGTGCAGTGTTTAACTGCAATAAAAACGGAATCACTCGAGAGATCTTAGAGGCTCGTGAAATTGGAAGATTAGGGCCACAGTGGGCGTTAGCGTACCCTGATAGTCAAATAAGGAGTTGCGTTTCCTTGGAGGAGTGGGAGGACTGAGTGACAGTGCTGTAGATGACACGTAACCTGTACACAAATTTCAGCCTTTTAGTTTTTGTGTCGTTTGTCTTCCCTGGCTCGTTTGGCTGGCGTCGGTAGTATTTTTGCCAGATGCCAACACGAATGAAGCTTTGGTGGTAAGTAGAGCCGTGTCTGTGTCCTTTTCTTGTCCTCATCTTTAGTGCCGAATTTGCTGTTGTGGATTACCAAGTAGCCCACTTATCGACCCTAGTTTCACTTTTACCTTGACCAGAATCGTACACTCTGATCTAACTGAAGTATGGTGGGTGGAACGCATCTCCAGGCAGTGTGCGTACTGTGTGCTCCGATTTCCGCCTGATGACGTTGTGTCGCGCTGTTTCCTTCCGTGACTTTGACACGGCAGCGGAGGTGGCCATGGCAGACAACTGTACCGCTCTAGGTCGCTCCTCAGCTGTACAGCTCACACAAACCTATGCAGCCACCAGTTGAAACGCCACAGTGGCGGCAGGACTTGTGTCTCTTTCGCCAAAATTCTACTGCCAGGATTGTGACATCTGGGAACGCGACCCACCGGCTCCTGTGGCATAACCTTTAAAGCGCAGCTCTTAGGGGCCCGTTCCCGGCTTGAGCGGCGTCGCCGTCGGCGTAACCAAGGTCATCCCAAGGTCACGTGACCCCTACCAAGGTCATCTCAAGGTCACGTGACCCCCTGGTCACATGACCCCCAAGGTCACGTGACCCCTCCCAAGGTCCTCTCAAGGTCATGTGACCCCACGTGACCCTTTGAAGGTCACGTGACCCCCAAGTCACGTGACCCCTCTGAGGTCACGTGGTCTCCTCCCCAAGGTCACGTGACCCCCACGTGACCCCTCTGAAGTCACGTGACCCCCAAGGTCACGTGACCCCCTGAGGTCACGTGGGGGTCACCTTGGGGGTCACGTGACCTTGAGGTGACACCCAAGGTCACGTGACCCCCCCCCCCCCCCCCCCCCCCCGGTCACGCCTCCCCGAGGTCACGTGACCCCCCCTCCCCGAAGTCACGTGACCCCCCCCCCCCCCCCCCCCCCCCGAGGTCACGTGACCCTCCCCCCCCCGGAGCATATTAAAGAATGAAGGGAGGAGGAGGAGAAGGAGGAGGGGTCTACCCTCCCCTCAGTATCCTTCACTCCTCCTCCTCAAGAGCTGCGCTCCAATTCGGCGTTACAAGGATTTGTAAACGGCTTTCACTTATTTTTACCACTTGTAGACTACTTTCGACGTGCAGGCGACAAGGGGCTTTAAACGTATGAGTCAAAGGCACAGTTTGAACATTGTACGTGAAGTAATTGAATGCTCGCAGTGTACTAAGCCTCTGTTTTCGAGACAAATCTACCGCACTCATCTTGTTAGCACAGAGTTTTGCACACCTACGAGCATGTCGGCATAATCCACTCTAAAAGCTAGGAAGACGTTTGCAAAGCAAGGAAAGTTGGTTTTTAGTTATAAGATTAGGCTGCGAGGTAATGCCAAATAAATAATAGACTAGCGTAGCATGCTTCAGATGGCAGGAATGTGGTACTCTAGAAAAACATAGCAACTTAAGATCACCCCTTGAGAAGGTTTGTGCAAGGTTGCGGACGAGAGATTATCACTGGGCCCCCATGCTGGCTTCGAGTGTTAAAAGCGGCGTTTCCTACATAAATTTTCAGCACCAAAATAAGTAGAAGAGTTGGGAGCAGATGACAAGAACTTGAGCGAGTCTGCACGGTTGTGTAGCGTTGGAAAAGAAAAGAGGAATTTGGAAAGCCCCGTGCCCTGGACTGCAGCAAGCTGTACAACCAGTATAGGGCATCCTTGCCATGCGTTTTGTTTAGCAAGATAGACTGCTTTCATTAACCAGATGAGAGACACTGTTTGGTTAAGTGGAGCCTGGCATTGCTAAATCAAACATGCTTTGTGGATACCCAAGTACCCCATTAGACGGAACCTGTTAGAAATCGTTCACTCGTTACTTGCTTTCTGCAAGCAACGAGCAGCCATGAGAGTACCTGCTGAAAGCAACCAGTTTGATCTTGCCAACACCATGCACAATTTTTGTGCGCACTAATGCAAGTTTCATATTAACGCCTCTTGAGTAATTAAGTCTAAGAAGTTACTGCATTCTAAGGAATTTATTACTTCTCAATGGAAGGTGCACTCATTTATTTTACTTTTGCTCACACAGGAACTCCTTTGCGTTGTGCGTTCTTAAATGTTAGCCTCGAGGACTTCTTTGCCACATATGAGGTTTATGGAACAAATAAATAGCAAGATACACAAAGCACATAAACCACTGGGTGCCAATAAGCAGAAGCTCGGCGATTTTGGTGCTTTGTAAGTGCCAGCGACACCAGGTGGCACCAAGGGTTGGATCCTTTTTTCCCCATGACCACCTTTTCTTGCGAATCGGGGTTCAGAGTTTGTGTCTGAAATATTTCTCCATTCCTTCTCAGCTGTAGCAGCCATTTGTCACGATCGCGACGCAGTGTTGTGCCATTATTTACTCCCGTCCTAGAATTTGGTTTGTATTCAATTCTCCGACGTCGTTACTTGCGCATCTCTTAAAGTTGGACTTAGAAAAACTGTTGTTACTCTTTAATCAGTTAACCCCTTAACCATTCTAAACAAGACTAGCTCATCAATGTGGAACCTTTCCCAAAATGTTTGGGACGAGTATAGCTTGTCTGCTTTTCCCGGTTCATGCCCTTAATTGTTTTTGGACGAATCAGTCTCGCTCCTGCCTTAGTTTGCAGCTCTGCCAAAAGATGGCTGCACTAATTTGTTTTTAAGTTTGCTGCTACTATTCCGTTTGTGCCGAGAAAGATGATGTTGAAAGCAACAATTTTGATTTTGAAGACAATTGTGCAGTTGAGGGTCACAAATTCCCAAAAAACTAAAAACGACCAAGGGGTTAAAAGGGGATCCAAGGTAACAATTCAGAAAAGTGCAGCCTGGCCCCAATAGGTGGTTGCAGACTTTGCATTCCTCGCTTTCCGTCCTAATCCTTCCGTCGTGTCCTTGCCTCGAGTCAGGAGTTGCTCAGGGAGCACACCGAGGTGCTTCTGTCCACCAGGCGGAGTGCCATCTCCCTTCCCAAGGTGCTCTTGGACGTCCTCAGCTCGCAAGCATGTCGTGGTAAGCACAGCCACACTTTGTCGGCTCTTCTGTACAACAAGTGTTTTTCTCCGCTCGCCAAAAAAGATAACTTCCTGCCTTACGCTCGGCTCTCCAGCAGCGGCGTCGGGGTCAAAGCTGCAGTTTTCGCACAAAAAAGGCACCCTAGAAAACACCGTATTCAAATGCAGCAGCAATCCCCTGCCTTTTGACAGTTGAAAGATGGCACCCGCGACGGACAGGTAACCAACCACGTGTTTACACTGTGCCGCGAACAGGTGCCATCAAGTTTGGCAGCGTCCTGGACCTGTCGGAGTGCCGCAAGATACTGGCAGCGCTGTCGCGGTGCAGCCTGCCCTTCCAGTGTGCACATGGCCGACCGTCCCTGAGCCCGGTCGTTGACCTCCGCTTCCTGCCTCCAGACAAGGTATGTGACCTCACCCCACACCTGGCCTCCCGACCCCTGCAGTTGCGTGCACGGCTCTCTCTTCCAGGCTCCCAACAGACCCAACCTCGCCAAACTTCCAGGGAGGATCGCCGCTCCCGCAAGCCAGGTGCAAGTTCCCTAGTTGCCCGACAAGAAGACTGTACAGTGTAACTGCCTCGAAAATCAGATCAAAATGAAATGTTTCAATTTTGCTGCGTATGTGAATTCTGAAAGGGCGCCAGCTCGCTTTAGTTGTGCCCCACTTGTCGGTTCAATTTTGTGGAATGTTTCGCCTTTGCAGTACGTAACTCTGACAGCTGTAGTATACATATATAGTGCAATCCACTTATCACGAATAGCAATATTAAGAAAACTTGAGAATGCACAATTATCAATGTATTTGGACTCGAAACTGATCGTTTCTAGTCTAGAAACTCTATAAACCAGTCGTTATAAGCGGTACATTGTGATATGTGGTATTGTTTTAAGTGGATCGCACTATATTAACAGATAATTACCATAAGACACTCTTTCGTTAAAATAAAATCCAGTCTTAAAAAAAAAAAAAAAAAAACCCTGCAAAACGGTTAGTTTTAAAAAAATTTACTTTTTTAAGTTCTTACAGGCCAGGATATTTCTGCACAATATATAAATGATACTCAGTGCAATATTTAGGTATTAAAATACACCAAACTATTTGTGGTAGAAAGGAAATTCAGGTGTACTTATCTCAGCTTCATTTTATTTTGGTCAAATGTCACCGATTTATGGTGACTTCGGCAACCTTGATATTGTTTCTTTTTTGCAGTAACAGAACTTTATTTTAAGGGGGGGCACTGCTTTATAATCCAAATTTTTTTAAAAAGTAGTGTTTCTGAAAAATAGTCTTATCAGCTTGTATAACTGCTGAAGAATGCTGTCAAAAAGTTTTAGTCCTGTAGATAAAGTATTTACTAAAAAAATGAAAGCCGTTTACAACTCCCTGTAACGCCGAATTAGAGCGCAGCTCTTGAGGAGGAGGAGGGAAGGGTACTGGGAGGTGGGTCAAGTGACCTCGAGGGGTGGGGGGTCACGTGACCTTGTGGGAGTCACGTGACCTTGGGGCATCACGTGACGTCGGGGGGGTCACATGACGATGCCGATTACGTCATCAGTGACGTCACTGATGACGCCATCAGTGGTGATGATGACGATGATGCGGATGCCGGTGACGTCATCAGTGACGTCACTGATGACGTCATCAGTGATGATGACGATGCGGATGCCGGTGACGTCATCAGTGACGTCACTGATGACGTCATCAGTGCCTATGACGTCCACGGGGGGTCAAGTGACCTCGGGGGGTATCCCCAGGTCACGTGAGCCCGAGGGGGTGTCACGTGACCTGGGTAACCATCGTGACCCTCGCGAGGGTAACCCTAGTAACCCTTGTGAGGGCAACTCTCATGACCCTCGTGAGGGTAACTCTCGTGACCCTCGTGAGGGTAACCCTCGTGAAGGTAACCCTTTTGAGGGTAACTAACTCTCGTGGTTCTCGTCATCCTCGTGAGGGTAGCCCTCATGAGATTAACCCTCGTAACCCTCACGAGGGTTACGAGGGTTGCGGTTACGCCGACGCCGCTGAAGCCGGGAACGGGCCCCTAAGAGCTGCGCTCTAAAATAAATTATTTTTCATGTACCGGCAGTCAAGCGCAATTCGTAAAAACACTTGTGGTCGCACAAATTTTCCATTTTCAAAGTGCGCTCGCTCAGTGTTCATAGGCCTAGCACAGACAGGCACCCCTCATTAGAAAGAGTGCTTAACCCTCCTTTTGGTATAGAGCTCCTTGCGAGACATTGTGCGCACCAAATGTGAAACCCCACAGAAAACAATACTGCACGCTCTCTTATTGGCCACACTGGTGAAGAAGGAACTCTGATTTGCTCAAACCTGTCACGTGATCCCATACTCTCTGCAGCGTGGAGTGTATGCCAGTCTCCTGCATTCATACCCCACCGACAAGGAGCCAATTCATATTGCTTGTTCCACTGGGATCGACTCCTGGTGCCACTTGAACCGAAGCAAGGCCCTCAAGGAAGCGGGAGAATACCCAGCATCTTGGCCACATAAGCTAGCCTTCTCCAAGGAGATGGTGAAGGAGCTAGTGCCCTTGCACAATCGCCTGTCACGGAGGGATTTGCTTGAAAGATGTTTTCATATGAAAACCCAGAACGCAAATGATGCTTTCAACGCTTTGATTTGGAAGAGGTGCCCAAAGGTCGCTTCTCTGAGTTCTGTCAAGTGTGCCGTGGCTTTCTCAGTCTTCAACCTGGGTCCTTGAGGCTTTGAGAAAGTTCTTTTTGAGATGGGCATTGAGCCAGGGAGCCACCAGACATCACAGGCTGTGAAGGTCACTCGGACGAAGGTTGCAAAGGCCCAAGTGAAGGCACTCGACTCCTCCAAGGCATCACGCAAGAGACAAAAAATGGAAGCTGTGGCCAACACACACAATGCAGAGGAGAGATGGACGTACAGTCCTGGAGCATTTTAGGTCAAGTGGCAAGTGCCATCTAAAGTGGAACACTACATGGATTTTCAAACGCAATTTCCTCAGCTTCATGTTTTGACCATTTTTTCATTGCTCAAAAACTATCGTTCGATGACTGAAGTACCTTCGTAACTGCTGTGTGGTTTTTCTGGAGTGAAATTTACTGGAGAACTCGACTATGTGCTTACTTTTTCAAAAATTGTTATTTCTTTCGTAAGAAAATGTCGACTTTTGTAACAGTAAAAACATGAATGAAATTATCCCCTTTTTTTAAGTTTACTTTAACACTAAATATGGCACTTAAAATTAATTGAAACCCACTACCGATTAGTCTAGTCACTCGTCCTTATATCCAAGCAAACAAATTGTGACATTTCGGTACTGTTTTGTAACGATAGTTTTATTTTTTTCCTCGGCACTAGGTGACATAGGAGTCTGTTACTCGGCACGAAATTGACCTTTACAGCTGAAAGTTGGTGTAGCCTCCCGAGTTTGCATGCCTAGTATACCCTGCTAATTTTATTAAAATAGCACCAGTACTCAAAAAGTACTGGTGCTATTTTAAGGAGAGGCACTCCAAGGGAGTGCCTCTCCTTAAAACCATCATTGTCCTCCTGAGAACTTTAGATGTAAAAGTAGCTGTAGCTTGGAGCAATAATCACCCCATTCTTTCCTCCCAATTAGCATATATATAGTTAAAACAACTTCTTACGGCGACGGCTGTTAGTGCCCCATTTGGCCGATATCCGTTGACATCCGTAGGCAAAAACTGTCGTCGAAGGGAGAGATTGATAGCACCGCCAGGCTTTGACTCTTCCCATCGCCATCGTTTCTTGCATCGCAGTCGTATGTTTGTTGGCATTAAAAAAAATTTGAGGACTGCCCTTGCACAACATCATCTACGGTAAAGTGCACTACTGCCCCTCCCCCGCCCCCTCGCTGCTGCCGCTTCAAGCTTTTGGAACATTCTCGGGCGCCTCTACGCAGCGTTTGCTCACTTCTCCGCCCCCCCTCGGACATGACCTGGCCATACTAGATTTTTTATTTCACGCAAGAAGCGGAAATGACAGTGCATCGCGCCGAGCAGAGCAGATGGAGGGCCAGAGCGGCACGAGAACAGCTGAGGGGGCAGGGCCCCAACTCTCGCGCGCAAGAAGCAAAGCACGAGTGCCTTTCGCGCATCTCGTAAAGCACATCTCCGACAACTATTCTATAACTCGCCGAGCCCCTAAACCAAATATCCCGTTTTTTAACTTCGCGACAGCTCCCGCTGTCTGTCGCAGCACAATGAAAGGTCATCCCAGTGATCGTAACAAACAACCCGAATGGGATGCAACATTTTGACGCATCTTTTACGAGATTTTTCAAATCAGATTTCAGATTAGAAACCTTCATTGAGAAACACGTCCATGTGCGACATCTAAGTAAGATACTACTCGCAAATATGTGTAAAAACAAACAACTCAAAGACTCCCACCGAGATAAGAAATTAGGATCATCGCATATCGTGCCTTCTGAATTCACTTTCTGTGGCCAACTTACAATGGCGATATTGTTATCTGTGCCCACGTCGCGCAGTGTTGCTCGAGACGTAATGTATGTTTTCATTTAAACGATGAAAGCAAGAGAGTCTGCTCGTGCTTTAACAAACAAATTGTAAGCAATTTTACTGCCATACTTGTTTTACAGGTATGTACACGCAGGTGTCACTCGCAAACCGCAGGCTTGCAGTACTACAACAGCAGACGTTACATGAGGGTAGGCATGTGGAGGAAGAGAGAGAAGCTTTGAGAAGGAGAGGCAAAGGTGTCACTTTATACAACCAAGGGCAGACATAGAAGCAGGCATTCCGGCAAAAGACGCAGCGGCACGAGTGCCCCATTTGCAAAAGATTTCCCTCTTTTGCGCTAGCACCGCGGCACATCATTTTGTCATTTATACCCATAAAGAAATGACACTGGGAGAGGTTATGTTTCCGTTCACCCTGCCACAAGTGGAAACATGAAGTGCAACAGAAACATTTACATCTCTGGGCAAAAGAAGGTTGTGCAGCTTCCAAATAACTTTGGTCACCAAAGAATGTAAGGGAGGCAGACCGTCGGCGAGCTCAAAACGACGTAGGTCACAAGAACCGCTCTCTTCACAACAAAAGGCAGACGTCGGCCCGTCTTTGCTATGCACACATGCAAGCAAGAACCACAGCCTCCCGTATGCTAGCCATGTTGTCAGCTTGGGGCATTCCCCACATTCCGTCGGCATTTGGTGCCATGAGGTTCCGTTTGAGGGAATCTCTTTCACAGCAAGAAAAACTGCAAGACCCGGTGTCTTGATGGTCGGCAATGCCCCGAAGCATGGCATACCGAGGAAGGATAGTCGTTGCCCTCAATCATCCCAATAATTTAGGGAAATACCGCGTCGTCGCTTCCCTCGCGAGCTTTTGGCAGAAAATTTTGTGTCGGAAGTATCTGCCCGGGACTTGGTATGAAGCTTTCCATGCACTACACAGTCATACAAGGAATGCTATTCGAAGCATCGGGTGCCCAGTCATAACTTCCAGCTAAGGAAAACTTGTTAAAAATTTGTCTTCAGTGTACCTTTAGTTACCTGTACCTCCTGCTGATTTTTGTTTGCTAGTGCAAAAATAGCCATTACTAAAATGGTCTATTATTAATATGTCTAGAAGTAGCTGATGTGTAGAGGGCACAAACTGCACTCCATCCAGAGTGAAAGTCAATTTATTCTTGTGTACCCTAGAAAGAAATGCTATAGAACTTGGTTGCATAACGCTGAATACTAAAACAGAACACTAAAAGTATGTTTACACGGCGCAATAATTCAAAACAATGGGCATGTGAGGATGCACAAATATTATCACCATCGTTAGTGCTGGGAAGGGTAATGATGACGACAATGCCCTTGCAGTGTTGTGCAAGTATCTCTCTGACATAATTTGTCGCGTGACCTGTTAAGGAATGGAAATTATTGGCAGATACTCAATGGCATACTGGCCATGCAAGAGGCAACAGAAAGCTGCATTAAAAGTGGAACTCGGAGGATCCATGTAGCAGGCAGCAAGAGAGACCTTAAAGAGACCTATGGCTTGGAACATTGGCAGAACCCTTTCGCTTGAAAGCATGAGTGAATCCAGCAGTGTGAGGGGCAGGAAGTTGACAGGCATGGTTAGCATAAAGGTGGCTATGGTAGGTTAAATGCATCGTGCATTGCAACGTCGATTGTCCCTGTAGATTCATTGAGGCAATTGAAAAGATGTAAGGGCACTTTTTTCTTTGCCCTTTAAGACGTTGGGAACGGTAGTGAAAAACATGGCTGAGTAACGTGCTCTGTTTCTCTGCACTCACTGCTGTGCATTGCAGAGCGTTGGGAAGAAAATCCCTCTTATTGCCAACGGTCTCCCAAGCACCGAAAGGCACGCGCGACATTCTTTGAGGGTTCGTATCTGTGCCAGAAAAACGCGTAGTTAGAAACTAAATTCTTGATGTGGCAAGGAAGCTCATTCAATAGAGCACCACGCTCGTGAGGCAAGCACAGCTGTGGTGTAAAGAAACCTAGCAAATAACGAAAACATGTGGTTTACTGAGAACTTAAAACGTGAGGTAAACGAGAGATCTCAGAGACCCAATCGTGCGTCAAAAAGAACGTTCAAAAGAACAAGAAAGAAGAAGTGCAAAATCTTCAGTCCATTTTCACTGCGAGATGAGAGCTGGAGAGCTTCTGAGCAAGCAACACAAACAGAAAGGGGGATCAGCAACATAAAACTGCAAACATTGTGCTCATCCTTTGTTTAATCTGTCGTAAAATCTATATTACACGGTAAAAAGTAAGAATAATCTGTTCATTTTGTTTTAATAAGAAACACAAAAAGAGGGCGCTCAAAAGGTGTACGACACGCCCGGTCAAGAACAAAACACGGGACAGACGTGCGAATATTCTTTCTTTAGGGTCTCTTACGACCCGCGCTGATTGATACGGCTCGTCTGTAAGGCTTTGCAGAAGAATGTAGGCTCTGAATTCGGCCACACATTAAAGCCTGAACACGAAACTGCTCGACCTTCCGACACCGCAGCACCCAACGCCGGGTGCAAAGAATGTCCACCGAACTGCGTTGTTACGCATCAGACTTTTAATAACAAAACACAGAACTGCGGCGGCAAAGAGAGGGCAATACCCGTCTGCGTCTTCCCGTCTCTTTCACAACCGATGATCAAAGCATAATACTACATTAAATAACTTATTACGGCGTGTGTGTATATATATATATATCTTTTTATATAATCTTTTTTGTATTTCTTCATACAGCCGTCTCTCACTAAAGATCCTGGGTGCTGTCTCGTCTACGTTGATGCAGTTGTTGCCTGCATCTTATCCAACTCGAAAAGAAAAAAAATCTCTTTTCTATAAAAAAAGAAAAAAAGAAAGAGATGCTTTAAAACAGTTAAAACTTTTGCCTCGGGCAAATACTGGCAATGTTCCGCAGACGCCGCTTGTTGCCCGACGAAGCCGCGCTTCCGCTGGGACAAGAGAAACGGGCAGCCAGGTTTCTGGCAGCGCCGTTTCAACGAAGGCGTCTGGCCGACTCGTGGGCGTCTTCCCGTGAGAGTTAGCTCTGCGACTCGTAGCTCGAGGAGAACTGCTCGCGCGCATCTTCCAAGCCCAGGCCGAGATCCACCGGACTTGGGGGGCTGCTCAAGTTGGAGCTGTTGTTGGAGGCGATGGAGTGCCGCGGACTCGACTGGTGCCCAGAGTCCTGGAGCGTGTGCGGGAAACACCGGCCATGTTACAAAAATTGTGGCAAACCTCCCGGTCAATTTGTGCACATTTTACCGCTTCCTGCGGCGGCCAACTGACGTAAAAAAGGCAAATGTTTTAACCATTACTCTCATTTGTACGAAGTTTGGAGGACATATAATTCGTTGCTTTGAAAGAGGGTGCCAAGTTTTGAGTTTATAAATGAACCCTTCAAAGAGTTGTGCAAAAGTACATCAGATAAACAATCCCCCCACGGAGGAAAACTCATTAAAAAATGACAATGATAATGGCCTGTAACTATGATCGTGTTCCAAAATGTATTCAATCTCGCTCAGGAGTAAAGGTTTTGTACCTTGTTGTATGAAAACCTACTCGCGTACAACATTGCTCTACACGATATGACTCGCTAGAGTAACTTGGATTATCGTATTTGCACGAATATAACGCAGGCTTTTCCTTCGACATTACGTGCTCCAAAACGCAGCTCACGTTATATTCGGAACTGAGTTCAGACATGAGGCGCACTAGTCTGGAGAAAGCCATCCCTCCGGCTCAATGCAGGAGATCGGGTGGGAAAAGAAGTGGGGGTGTGGGAGGGCATTTATTAGCTATTGGGCCATGCGAACATAAAAAGCATTTTTATCGCTTTTCTGTTTGTACAATGCACGCTAAAAAGCACGCTGCTGAAATACACGTCGCAGAGATGCAGTGCGCCACGCAGGAATGCGGGCACTGGCCAATTCAAGCCAAGTCAAGTCAATGCAAGTCAAGCCCAGGGCCGTGTATTGGGAGAGTTTGGCCAGTTTATGATCTTGCTGCCGTAACGCACCCCTCCCCAGTGAGCCAGCCAGCCAGCGGCTCAGAGTGAGAGGCGCGGGCGCATGCGCATGAACTCCCGGCTGCTCCCAGCTGTGTAGGAAGGGCCGCCATTTTCATTCATTCGCCTGGTGGAATGTATGGGATCGACATCCAAATTTCACTTCTTCCCTTTTATTTCGCTGGCTCTGGCTAGGAAATGATATAGCGTTATTCCTCAGTGGGTTAAAAAAACTAACAAATGAATTTTTCTCTAAATGTTTCATCGCAAACTTTAATTCAGGCGAAAAAAAGTTGGCCCGTAGCAGACGACGCATAGCCTCAACAGTCATCTCGCCGAATGTGTGTTGCGTCAGAATGGCGGTCGTTTCCTCTTTGCCCCCTCCTTCCTCTCGCTCCTTCGGCACTCTCACCCCTTTTCCTTCACTTTTCTCCTCTCCAGTGCCTTCGTTGCCGTGCCCACTGGCCAGATTCTCCCAATGTACGGCTCCCAGACCATTAACAGTGTTCACGCAATCGTGCAACACGAGGCGTTTGTTTATGCGGTGGGAGGAGAACAAGAATGAGTGTGATCATGCATCGAGTTCAGCAGTCTTTTCTGCCTGCGCATTTTTTAGTTTCTGCTCCAGACTGGTCTGGGTTTGTGCCTTGCTTCTACTTCGTTGCCTTGCTTAGCTTGTGGGCTGCCGAGGAGCTCACAGCACACGCCGAAGAAACAGGAACTACCAGACAAGCGACGCCGTGCTGCTGCATATCTGCGAAGTCGCCAAGTGAATTACAAACGGAAGGACCTGAGCAGTGAGGATGAGTGCAGTTGAAACATAAACTGATATTTCTTCGATTTCCGTTGCCTTTTCACTTCTGCTACGCCCCCAGTGCGGTAAATTTACGTAACCTCAAATCGCATTATAATAATAATTTTTTTTCTTTTTTTGAGGGCTTTAAATTTGCTTTTGCGGTATATTGGTGGGCGCGTTATATTCGTGAAAATACGGTACTCGGAGCAGTCTGGCCGCCGCCCACCGCTCCGACTGACCGCCCACTGCTCGATTATGCCGCAGGATGACAATGCGATTTTGCCTGCGCACATGGCTGCAGACCGTCGTATTTGGCAGGTCCAAGCACCGCTATGTTATAGCATCGCCGACTGCCGCCACTGCTTCAAGCAAAGAGCGCAGAGTGTGGTGTGTTAGGATCTTTTCCTTCTTCAGCTCTCAACAGCGCGCTGCCGGAGAAAACAAAATAAACAGACTCGACGAATGCACACTGTGCAGTGGTTCTTTCCGCAGGCGGTGAGCAGCGGAGAGCCGAGAGGATTTTTCTTTCACTGCTCAATGCTTGCTTGTGCCGTGGCAAAAGCCACGGCACGAGCAAGCATTGAGCGGTGAAAGACCTTAAGATGCAGGACAAACAGAATTTATTTCCCAGCCCAATGCTTGCACGTGCCGTGGCTTTCTTTTTTTCTTCTTTTTTTGAGAAATTCTGGCTTTCGTTTTATCAAGTGCATCCCGACGACAAACTACATCGTGCCGTGTGGTCTCGTTTCACTTTTGGAGTTGATTTCTTGCAATGGCTGCCAAAAGAAAGGCAACGCAGGCGTCTTTGTTTTCCTTTTTTTTTTCGAAAGTGGTGGCAAAAGATTGTAGAAAAAAAACGGAAAAACAAGTAGAGTGTGCATTTTTATACCTGCGATGTGCAATTTCATAAAATATTGCAGACCCCCCCCCCCTTTTGCTCGCATGGTGGTCATGTACACCCCTAAAAATTTCCTGGGGAGAACCCTGGTCACTCTATACTGGACCACCTGTTACCTCAAAATGAATGCCTCAATTTGAGTTTAGACCTTCCATAGCTATTGGCATGGCAACTACTGATGGATTGCAAAATTGCATTCAGATCCTCTAATCCCAGAAGTCACGGAAAGCACGCATTTAAGTATCACGCTCATTCGCAAATTTCTCTGTAAATTTCTCAATAAAAGATGCAACGATCCACAGTATCTCTGCATATAAATAGTCAAACCCACTGATAATGAAACCAGGAATAGCAAAGTATTGGTAATAAGTAACTAATGTTTGTTGCGTGCTGCTGCTGCTATAGTTTCAATGTGACTTTAATCTACTTTTAACAAATGGACTCGAGGCAGCACCATGGATATAACAAAAAAAAAAAAAAGTGCCAAGCTGAGACACTTTTTTCTGTGAAAATGATCACAAACTTCCGTGCCACAATACTAGAACAAAGCAACGGTAGCACTATACTGCAGTGCGTTTTGGAGTTGCACAAATTTCTCTGGGAAAGCTTACGCCGCCCTGCGCTTGACGGATTTTGCTTCGCTGCCCCCCCCCCCCCCACCCCCACCACATGATGCGACCTTACTTGCTTGCTTGTGGCCTTGGCACCATTGTGATGGAACGGGGGAACGCAAAGAAAGGTGGAACGTCTAGTATTGTGCAAATATTCAGATTTTCTAGTACTAGTTTTGAATATTATGCTATTCATACTTTTCAAAGTTTTGATAATGGCAGATTATCCCTGCAAAACACACTTACCGAGCATGGGTGCACTGCAAAGAAACAACACCCGTGGAAGCGAATTCCGTGGGCGTCACTTCACTGCAGAGCACCGGTGCTTGGTTAGGAGTGCACTCAATGGGGTTAACCTTCTGCGATCGATCGACACTTTAAAAAGTATGAAAACTATATCACAGTCACATGCTTAAGAGAAAAATACTTTCAAAGCAGGACAGTGTACGGGCACGCCTGAAGAAAGGAAAACTGTGAATGTTAATATCTACACTGCAGCAAATTTTCAAAGCTAACCATGGCTATGATCCAAGAGTATATGTTACGCAGAGACGTCCTGACAACCTGTGTTCATCATTCGCGATTGTATAATTTTCAAGTCTGAGATTGAAGAAAGGATATTTGTGTGCAGCAAGGAGATTTATAAATCCTCCCAATTAGGTATAGCTCCGCCTCTCTGCAAGTCTATTTTTATGTCAAATCCATAATTTACTTACCCTCCCAATGTAGGCATTAGGTTTTCTGAGGCTACAGTCCATAGATATACCATAATTAAATTAACTTCACTTAGAAATGGACAAGCGGAAGCTTGGAAACATCGTTCACGAGTTCTGCTGGGTTTTGCTAAGCATGGTGCAACAGTAGCAAAAAGCTCGGAGAAACATTCGACTTTAATTTAAAAATATTCAACCAAAACCATTATTCGCTTTGAACTCAGAAAAATACTGCCGGTACATGCTTAACAAGTCCCTCACAGCTGGGTGAGACGTGCCGCCATCCGAAGAAAGCGAATGAACATCCATTTGCATGCATACACGTGCACGGCTCTGAGCACAAATCTAAGCGTACCGACCTATGAGCTTCGCGCGACTCTCTCGTCGCCAATTCTTTCCCTACCGACGTATCCGTTTCTATTTACTTTCGGTTCTTTTCGTGTGAATCTAGGTGCTCAAAGCCCACAGATGTGCACGTGGAATAAACCAGTGTGCCAACGTTGCCTCGCGTAAGCTTCCTGTTTCGTCTACTCCCGGTTCCTGCATTTTCTCCTATCGTACGCTTTTTACGTGGACCGCTATTCCCTAATCCAGGTTTTCCGCATTGGTAGACAACCTAGAGGTGCGTATCGATGGGCCTTCGGCATCCTACAGGGTTCTCGCCACCAGCTTGCAAGTTTAGTACAGAATGTTGCGCACATGCAACGGTGAGTACTTTGTTTCTGAGGGCCCTCTTTCGTTGTTACGTGCTTTCATGGCCAGAGTAAGACACTTGCAATCAAATGCGGAGCAGCCTCTGAAGCCGCGACTAAAGAAAAGCTAAAAAATACTGAGGGGAGTAAAACAAACATATTAACTACCTTTGCACAATTCTAACCTGCAGTTTTTTTCGCCAAAATCGACACCCAAAAATGGTACACGCACGTTACAATCGAAACCAAAACCGCAACTCAAAATAAAAATGCGATACTCTATATAAGATGGCTAGCCCCATCGCCATCGTGACCATTTGTTTACATTCACCATTTTGGTATCCGTATCACGCGCATTCTCTCGTGTGTACGAACTTATGTCTGCCGTTTTAAGATGGAAAAGCAAAAGAAATTCTACTAGCAGGTGTTATTTAAACTAAAGGCCATCACGCTGGCAGGAAAAGGTAACAACGGAGCAGCACATTCTGGCCTCGCAATTCCAACAACCCGACGAGCTCACAAAGCGCTGTTTGCAAGACGACCCTTCCGGGGACAATGGTCACGCACTCGTACAAGCGCAAGAAGCGCGACACCTAAACCGCTTTAGACGAAAACGAGGATTATCTCCGTGGATGGCAAAGAACCATCATCGGACTATGACAACGGCGAGTAGAGCACGGTATTTATTTTTGTGTTGGCGAGCGTTTCATAAAATCTGTTCTACGAGGTATGTGTTCAACATTCATTATTTTACCCGCGCGGTAGTACTGTCGAGCCCGGTTATAACGAAGTTAACGGGATTCGGAAATCACTTTGCTATATCCGCTTTTGTATTATAACCGACTTCGGTTATAACGAAGTGCAAAAGGAAATGGGAAATCGTGATCGCTCAGCTGTAGATGCTATTTCATTATAACCCACTTCGTTAAAACGGGTCTCGACAGTATCAGCAGCAATTTCTTTTTAATGCGAAAGCATTAACTGCCTCATGGTTTCAAAGTGTCATGAGCTTTGAAACCACGCCAAACGACACCTTAAATCCTTTCTCCAAGGGAAGCCAGCTCCCAGCTATGAAACCACGCGCAAAGCTAACCAACGACACTGAAATTCCCCGATTTCAAAGGAGCGGAGTAAGGCTGATGGATTTTCGGCTTCAATCCCATTGATTGGCACGCATCGACAAGGCTACCGTTGGCCGGACACGCAGCACCATAAGGTGGCCAATCGTTAAAATTGAAGCTACGCGTCAGTTTCAACGACTGGCCATCCCATGGCGAGGAGAGGCGCCCTCTCCTTGCCGGCAGAGCGTGCCGCTATGCCGTCGACGCAAATACGCTGCAGACGAAATAAGGAAGTGGAAGAATGATGTACATGCTTTCGCATTCACAACTCGTAAGATGTGCTTAGGTGTACCTCGAGCCATCTTTAAATATCTGAGAGCTAAATCTGCCGGCACGTTAGAATTATGCAAACACGGTACTCTCATTTACAAACAATTGGCTCTTAAAAATAAGATACATTCCAACGTCGCAAGATTCCAGCTTCGAGATTGAGATGTGCGTGTCATGCTCCCAGGGTGCAACACTTCCCACATTCAAAGACGTGAAATTGCAGAAAGGAGAGTGGAACTTAGGTCAAGCATTGCTTTATACATACCGTCCCTTGAAAATGGAAACAATGTAGAATTACGACAGAGCTCAAGCAACCCCCCTTTTCCCTTCCCAGCGTGGCTCTGAAACTGCACCTGCGACAAACACCGTGGATTCTCCGAGGCCTCCATGCGCAGAGATCATTTGAAAATTTCAAATTGATATCTAGGCTTCAATAAAAAATAATGTCGCCTTTTTATTCTCGTTAATAATTTCTGCCACGTTAAGGGCCCACCTAAAGCATTAAATTCAAGGGGGGGGGGTCGTACTATGCGCGACACGGGGGACAAGAAAGACTGCATCTCTCGAGGTGCTGCCAATCGCCATCGACTGCTGACGAGCACAAATTAGCGGCTGTCCGGCGAGTCCATGCGAGAGCGACGAACACGTCCCAAAACAGAGGGCAGCTATATTTACCTCACTTCGCAGTGAAGGCTTCATCTTAATTTCATTTGCAGTTTGACGTTAAGCACCACATTCAATTGAGAAAGTTCCAAAAGTTGCTGGCAAGACGATCAGTGGACCTATCTCACCGACCACTTTAGTCTTTCTGCACGTGCTACAACCTGGCTGGAGCTCTGCACGTGTAGAGCATGAGACGGCACGAGGCCTGTCGTGAACTGCCGTTTTCCGCCTGTGAACTAAAGTTATGGCGGCATCATGCATGTGCCGAACGTTTGGTGGAATCGGTCTATTGGGCCGGCCCATATAATCGCTGTCCCGCCACGCCTTGGGTAAGCACGGCATCCTCGCCATCCACGGTGTTTGCCCGCAAGGCGTTGCGCGAGGGGCAGAGGGCGGACTCACGTCGTGAGCCGAGGAGGCCTGCGGACCGGAGGTGTGCTCCTGAGAAGAGAGTGATCCGTCGGGAGAGGCTGTCAGCGACGACTTGGCAGTTCTGTGGCCGGGAGCCAGGGGGGCGGGCCGCTTGGGCTGCAGGGGCACCCCTGCACGGAACAAACGCTTTCTGCAACGACCGCACCAACTCGCAGCTGGCTCCACAGCCAATATCATTCCCACGTTTCCCAGGCTTCCCAAACAGCTTTTGCAAAATTTACCTGCCAAGTTAGTGGAAGAGAGCCACCAGTCGGGACAATAATGTTGTATCGGTCTCGCGACTGAATGATAACCAATTGCAATCGCTCAGTTTTGATATTCATAACCTCCACCACTTTAATAATAATAATAATAATAATAATAATAATAATAATAATAATGTTTATTTTTGTATGCCCCAAATCAACCAGCAGGTCTTCACTTCATTGTGCGAACAAGATACATGCAAAAAAAAGAAAAGAAAAAAAAAGAGAGCGCAGAACAAACAAGAAAAAGGTCAGGAACCAAATATACTACACTCAATTCACACATTAGAAACAAACCCTTCCACATTGCTTCATTAAAGGGACACTGACACCCCCCAAAAAAATTTTTTTATTTTTTGCCAGGCGCTTCATTATGGCGTCGGAGGACTACCCAAACAATATTTTGCAACAGAGTAGCGTATTTTTTTAATAAAGCCAAAAGACGCAACTGCTCGAAACCGAAACCGAAACTTGACGGAGGTCGGAGAAGTGGAGAGAAGAGAGTGAGTGGCGGAAGTCACGTGGCTACACCCTACCGTGCGTTTTTTTGTTTTTTTTTTTAGTTTTTGTTTTTGTTTTTTTGTAGCAGACGACACGACATGCGGCGTGCGATGCGGCGTGCGGGAACTGCTCGAGCTGCGATTCTTTTGCAGTTATGTTTGTTCCGCTCGTTGTTCTGTACTCTAAGATGAGTTGTTTTGTACATTGAAGAGTTGGAGATGAGTAGTGAGTGCCCGTGGTGAATTTCCATGATCGGCTCCGAAAAGAATACACCCAAGATGTTGCGTGAAGAGCTGGCTTACATGTCCTGCGTCCGAAAAAAAGTGGCATTGTGCGACAGAGTTTACGAAAGATCAACGGGATCGGGACCAATGGCTGGCTGCAATTCCTGTAGAACATTTACGGGCCTCGGAAAGCGGACGCTACCTGACTTATATGCTCCTTGCATTTTGTGGAAAATGATTACATCGAGTTCGCAGGTGTCAAAACGAAAATCCCATACCATTTAGTTCAGCGAAGTATCGTCCACAACATTTGTTTGTTATTTTTTTTGTTTCTTCAGTGATGATTGTAAAAAAAAAAAAAAAAAAAAAAAAAGATATGTAAACATCAAAAAATGTTCGACAAAAAAAAAAAAAAATTGACGGGGGATCGAACACGGTCCTACGGCGTGTGAACCGGACGTCTTTCCCACTGATCTACTGGGGCACCTCGATTCTGGAGGATCTCTTTCCTTAGGAATAATTCAGCCGGTAAACTGTAAGTTGGAAAGTTGGCTGTCGATTTTTCTCTAGCAAAAGCACTCCCGGGTCGAAGTCGGGAAGCACCACGCTTTGGAGACATTCGCACCTAGTAAAGAAATCGTACGCGTGCATATTCAACTCGAAGTAGACACGTCGTGCTTGACGTTTGCGCGAGCGATATCTTCAGCCACGAGAAGGGAGCAACGGCTCGGCGACGTCTTCGTTTAAATCGGCTTGGTGGCCGGGCGTGTCGTACGGGATGAATACCAATTCTTTTGATCAGTCCCAAATTTCTCTTTTAACGGTAGACAGAACTCGCCGGTACCGCGAACGACAGTTCTGAAATAGAGGTCCCACGCCCGTCGTCCGCTGCCATCGCCGTCCCCGCGAGACCCACGATACGCGAAACGACGAACGCACAGAATGCTTCCGGTTGTGTGTGGAACTTTTTTTTTCAATCAACGTATTTACAGCTTTTTAGAAGCCACAAAAAATGGGTTTCATATTTTTTTCTATTTTTAATATTGAGTGTGTGCCTTCAGTGACCCACGACTTTGATTAAATTTGGTGGTCGCATCGATACCTTAGAAAACGGCCCGTGACCGCGAAAAGGAGAGTGAGCGAGACTCGAACCGGCCAGTTCTTGATCGGCGGTTTTCGGGCGGAAAGAAACCGAATTTCGAGCCGCAAATTCTGTTCTGGGTAGTTGAGTTCTCATATGTCACGTACAACTAAAAACCTCGGCGAGCATAAATACCCTGTCAGTGTCCCTTTAAAATAGGAAAGTTGCTTAATAAGGTTATCCTCGTATTATTGAGCTATTAAAAAGTGATTGTAAGCGCATTAAATATGATGGAAAATACCTGGTATGAACGTACCAATGGCAGAATGGTTTCTAGTCTAATGATATAGGACACAAATTTTTACGTCTGCTAAAAGCATACTATTTTCTACAATATCATTTACTAGCTCGTATAAAAATTTTAGGTCACGCTCTGCTGTTCTATCATATAGGATCCTCAGAGAAATAAAAAAAAAAAACTTTCAGCTTTTTAACTCTGGTGAAGAAGGAAGACCAGCGGAGCTCTACAATGGAAATGGCCGGCCGCAAGTCGGCAAGCCAGTGGAAAGGCTGCCGCCATCTATGAGCGACGGCAGCAACCAGATACATGGCTTGCTGCCGTCGATCATAGATGGCAGTAGGTGTCCAGAGTTCAATGTCTTTGTTTCTTTGCGGGGGACACAATCCTGGGGAAACTAGCTACATTATAAATCAAATCGACGTATAAAATAGCGGCCGTAAACAATGTGAATGAGCCTCGTCGGCACATCTTCCATTTTTGCTTTTTAAGAAGGAGATAATTAAATCCAAGCGATGGAGCAGAATTCTACTAACCTCAATCTAACAAAGGCAGAGAATAAATTAATGATTGGTGCTGGGTTCTTGAAGAGTTGTGTAATGCGTGATACAATACCCAACATCCTTGTCACATTGCCAATAATAAAAGACACGTGAGTAGCAAACGTCAGTGCGCTATCTGTGGACACGCCAAGGTCTTTTACAATAGATAAACATTTGATCAGCTTTCCAGAACATATTAATCATACTGCAACACATTGTGACATCTGCACGTCGACGAGACATTGGTTTTCAATGGATCTGATGATTAAACGTTGGCTGAACACCATTGGACCGTTCGAGATACATTATGACCCAAGAATATCACAGTGGATAAGAGAAAGCACATTCATAAAAAGCTTAAAATTATCTCGAAACAATAACAGCTGCGCATTTTCTACGTGCAAAGCTAAGTTGTTGGCAAATATTAAAAACAAAAGAGGACCAGCAATGAATCTTTGGGGGATATCGGAAGTTGAAAAGAAAATGTTTGAATAACTGCCATGTATGTGAACTTTGCTGGGACGAGAAGATAGGTAACGAACGCCCCTTTAGAAGTTTGTGCTGGCAACTTAGTAACTTCCAGCAGAAGTAAAAAACCGGTTGTGAATGACACGCTTGAACAGTTTAGAACACTTCGACAAAATGACCAGCACTTGAAAGACAAAAACGACACAAGGACCACAAACAAGTGCTAGCTCACAACTGATTGTGTACTACACTCATTCTCACCTCGAGAACCATGGTAAAAAAGCACTGGGCTCCTTGTGAAGTGTTGCTTATTTTACCCTTCATATGGTAAATTAAGGTACACTGTTAGTGCCACTCCATCGGTGCTTTTCCTAATTTTACCCTTGTATTGATAAGCCCCAAAATTTACCGCCCAGGCTAGTGACCTAAATGAGGACCTTCCACCACCACACTAGCAGTTTTTAGGACAACTTTTAAGTTTCAAGAGAACAACAATAAAAACTGGCAATTGCTTGTCTGCACTAACAGTGTTGTGCTATGTTTTTGTATGTACAGTCGCCGGCCATATGAGCTCCCCCGGCCGAACGCCGACCGGATCAGCGAAAATCCCGCACGCGGCGCGCCGAGCGTTGCCGCGTTTTGGGAGCCGGGCTATTGGAACCAAACCATTCCTTTATCAAAGGGGTAGACGCATAGATTTTATTGGGATTCCAGCCTTTAGAAGTGTGAATCACAAAAACATGGCCCATTAGAATTGCCGTTTTCGGGTGTTGGCCCCAAGTGTCCGGAGATGATGTTATAACTGCTGATAAACTGGAGCTTGCCTTAGGCGTAGATAAAGCAGCAGTGTTCAATCGATGCTTACAAATGTAAACACCTTATGTTTGATATGATATTAGGCATTGCAACAATGATCCCTCGTCAAGCGAGAAGTGACCGACCAGGAGGCCATTTGCAAAGTCATCGTGTAGAGTATTACCCTTGGCGAAGCAACACGCTACTGAGCGCAGAACAATGGAGTCTCCTCGATAAACCGCGTTCATGAAAAGCGTCTGAATCTTTATTCTGCTTCGACACAAATATTTTCTTTCTGTTATCTATAGCATATCCTTATAGAAAAACTAAATTATTTCAAAATCGCTTGTCATTGTCTAGTCTAGGTTTAAGAAAGATTGCAAGAAAGGGGGGCTTGTGCGTAGGACTACTCTTCGGGTAGGAAATATCTAAAATGACAAACCGGTTTTGCAAATAAAAAAGTAGCATATAACACATCAGAGATATTATGTATTGAAGAATTTCGATAAGCCGTCTGCGTTAACCTACAACCAGAAGAGGGATTGTAATCGGCCGTGCTTCAGACTCGCGTTCCAAAACGCGGAATCCCGATAAAAGCTATGCGTCCACCCTTCGATAACGGAATGGTTTGATCCCAATAGCCCGGCTCCCAGAACGCGGCAACGCTCGACGCGCCCCATGCGGGATTTTCGCTGCTCCGGTCGGCGTTCGGCCGGGGGAGCTCATATGGCCGGCGACTGTACATTTAAGAGGGGACATGGGCCTAAAGTTCAAAATTTAGGCCCAAAACAGTTTTATTAATTTGAGGTTTTTGGTTTTAGAACTTAATTAAACACCCATACACTAAATTTGTTAACCGTACGCCAAACATTTACGTTGATATAAAATATTTTCAACACATTGTGGAGTTAAATGTTTGAATGCCTCTTTCTTAGTTCCACTTTTTGCTGCAAATTTTATACGAAGGAAACTTTTGTTCGAAGGTAAAAGTATTCCGATACTACAATCAAGATGGTTCCGAAGGGAAATTTCCTGGGTAATCTGGATACCTACTTTATTATTTTTTTTTTTTAAGATGAAGTCCTCATAAGAAAAAAAACAAAGTTTTCAAAAATTGACATAGGACAGATATGCATCTCATATTTTGAGGTAATAACTCTTCCTGAAATATTTACATTTGAGTTATAAAAACTAAGTAGCCCAAAGTCCCACATCCCCCACTTTATAGACAAGGGGTCAAAATGGAGCTTAATAGCCTCATTTGCTTATCATAAATTTCTTAACGAAAAGTGACACATCTTCTTATACAGGTGCATAAAATTGTCCTAGAGAGCCGAGAGTTTGCACAATACACCTGCACCAGACAGTAAATCTCCCCTGCCAATTTCATTCCGATCACTTAAGTACACTTGAACCTCAATTTAACGAACTCACCGGGACCCGCTAATTATTTCGTTAAATCAGGCACTTCGTAAAATCAAGAAAGTCATTTTGCGGGCACAGGCTGCGCAAGGAATCAGAATTCGTTCGTTAAATTGGGAAATTCGTAAAATTGGGTTTCGTTAATTCGAGGTTCAACTGGAAGTGAAATCTCTAGCCAGTGTACCCCCATAACACCAGGTGTTTGTTATGTTGTGAAAAAACACAAATTTAAAATGCAAAAAGCATCAATTTTTCCTCCGATAACCAAATCTCGCAAGAACTACTTCTAACAATACACAAACTATCCACAAAACATGCTTTTTTCTTCAGGTCACAAGTACAGTCTAAGCTCGTTATAACAAACCTTGATTTTGACCAAGATTTCGGTCTGTTGTAAAAGGAATACGTTGTATGCAGATATGAAGTTGAGTCAATGGTATGTAGATCGAAACCAACCGAGCTTCACAAATCGGTATGTTATATCCAAATGTCTGTTGTAACCAGGTCTGTTGTAATGAGCTTAGACTGTATAGGTGTGGGGCGAAACCAATAAAAATGCAACGGTGCTTACACAGCCACTTTACAGTCATTTGAACAAGTTTGCAGATGCCAAGACACTAGCAGCCAAAAGGTAACGAAAGCGGAATAGCCTCCCAAATACAACTTGACTAGAAACTCAAGGCCACCGTGGGTGAAAGATAAGCAAACCCCTTTACGAGGGAGGTACCACTACTAATGTCAAGGTTCATCTTCTCAGGTAACAGAATGCTCCCCAAGTTCTCTAGCTCGCTGCTCCACTTTGTCCGTACCAGGTGCAATCTGGTAATCGGATTTATTAGTTTTAATTAATGTTTTGGTGTCTTTTCGCACCGAAAATTGGAGTCTCTGTGGTGTGACCAGAATGTGGTTGACATTTAGACAATAAAATAAACGCTAGAATTTCGTTGCTGTGCCCTTTTAAGGAAATGTCGAGTTGGCCCCGAGAAAATATTGCTCGTAACTGGGGCCGCAGATGAGCCAATGCATAAAAATGCCCCTTTCCCACTGAACTAACTTGTAGTGCAAATATAAAAAAGTTGATAAAAAATATGTAGAGCCCTTCCACTTCACGTGAAGATGGAGGACCAGCAAAGCTGTTATCTTTACGACATCTAGGACGATGCCTAGAGGAGGACCTCAAGGGCAACTTCTTGGACAACCTCAAGGACGACGCCTAGATGACGTCTAGGACGACGTCTAGGATGACCCCGAAGACTGCCTCTAGGACGACCTCAAGGACGACGTCCTGGACGACACTAAGGACAACTTCTACGATGACCTCGAAAACAATGTATAGGATGACCTCAAGGATGACTTCTAGGACGACCTCGAGGACAACTTCGAGGACGACAACCTCTTGACCTCAAGGATGACGTCTTGGACGACCTCAAGGACGACTTCTAGAACGACCTCAAGGACGATGCCTATGACGACCTCAGGGACGATCCCAAGGACAACTTCTAGGATGACCACAAGAACAACATCTAGGACGACCTCAAGGACGACTTCTAATACGACCTCAAAGATGACTTCTAGGACGACCTCTCGAACAACCCTCGGACGACGTCGTCCTCGAGGACAACTTCAAGGACGATGCCTACAGAAATTCAGCCTTTCCACTTCGGTGAAAACCAGAGTGGAAAAACTGGAAAGTTGCCGCCATCTGTGAGCAATTGGGCAACCAGACAACCGGCAAGCCGGTTATTTGGTTGCCGCCATCGCTCATAGATGGCGGTAGCTGTCTGCAGTTCTGTGTCGACATTTGTTTGTTTACGGACACAATACTGGGGAAACTAGCCCTTAACAGCTCCGCTGTAAATATTATACAAGCTCAATCATGCTGACCAAGACTAATAAGCGCAGAATGTGTGATAGGCCTTCCAGGGAAGAAGAGAAGGGTATCTGAACAGCTGCACCTAACGAAAATTCGCACTTGTTTCTGACACACCCCGCGAGATGGTGCAGCACAACAGAAAAGGCCACAAAGCACAACCAAGTTATTCTTTTTTTTTTTTTTTGGTTGCCTTTCGCAAAGGATTGACCAACCTTGGGTTCTGCTTTCGAGGTGTGACGCTTGAAACAGACCTGGAGGTTTCACAGACTTCACCCAAGCCCTCTTCTCCTCCATGGCTGCAACCCCCTGTGCCGTCTGCAAACCATACCAGAAAACAAGGATGTCTAGAAAAGTTAAGCACACTTTTCACCCTATTCAAAATACTTAGTTAAAAAAAAAATATTGCAGAAATAAAACATGCAAGCAATAACAGACACAGATCTTGCAATATGCAGTCAAAAGTCTGTATGATGAACCTAGGGCTACGAACATTACTGTCCATTTATCAAATTAAACTAAAGTTATTGCTCATTTTTCGTTGTATTCATTGTTTCAATTCACCACACCAAAACTCCCGTTTTGCAAGGTATAAATGGCCGCCACATTGAATTTTCGGGGTAAGAAGTAATTGATTTCATGTAAACTATCACGCTCGCACACAGTACCGACAGGCATGAAGAACGATGTGTGCTAGGGCAACTATTGCCGCGAGCCCTGTGCTACAGCCGTGTCCGCATTCTTTTATAGCGAAGCTGTTATGCGCTAGGATCTGGGAAAAAATGTGTCCACGGATGTTGACAGAAAACTCCCCATTGGTCGTGGCAATTATGAATAAATAAAAATAAAAAGAGGGGGCGACCAGCGGGAGTCAGCCTTCCTTGGCATTATTAGATAGTGAGGTCCTGATCCTTTGTTATCATCTCTAGGCATCGTCCCTGAGGGTGTCTTAGAAGTCGTCCTTGATGTCGTCCGAGAGGTTGCCCTAGGTGTCGTCCTCGAGGTCGTCCTAGAAGTCGTCCTTGAGATCGTCCTAGAGGTCGTCCTAGGTGTCGTCCTAGACGTCGTCTTCTAGGCATCGTCCTAAATGTCGTAAATATAACAGCTTTGCTGGTCCTCCATCTTCACGAGAAGTGGAAGGGCTCTAAGAATTTTTTTTAATGTTTTTGGGATAATAAAGATAAGAAAAGAGCTGGGCAGCAGCATTTTTTTCACAGCCAACCTGAGAAAAAACAATAAAAAACTTTCAGCCTTTACACTCTGGTGAAGAAGGAAGACCAGCAAAGCTGTACTATGGTAGGACGACCTCAAAGACGATGCCTAGGAAGACCTCAAGGACGATGCCTAAGACGACCTCAGAGACGACGTCTAGGACTTCTAGGACGACGTCTAGGGTGACCTTAAGGATGACTTCTAAGACGACTTTAAGGATGACTTCTAGGACGAACTCAAGGACAGCCTCTCGGACGACCTCAGGACGACGTCTAGGACGACCTCGAGGACAACTTCTAGGATGACGCCTAGAGAAATTCAGCCTTTCCACTCTTGATTTCACCAGAGTGGAAAGGCCGGAAAGGTTACGCCATCTATGAGCGACGGCGGCGACCATCGCTCATAGAGGGCAATAGCTGTCCAGAGTTTTGTGTCAACATTTATTTAGTGACGGACACACGAAACTGGGGAAACTAGCCCTTAACAGCTCTGCTGTAAAATGCACAATTCTTGACTTGTTTCTTGACGGTCGACTGCGTCCTCAACAATTTCACGATTAACATACAAACGTCCCTTGGTGCCCATATTTTTCTTTAGAACTCTTTTTGAGTCACAAGTTATTTCAATATCGCGTTCAGCTTTGGAAGCTGGTCTCGTTTAGCTTGGGGACAAACTTCCGGACATCCCGACTGCGCAAGTCAACAAGAAAATAATGAACTAACTTTCGCTCCATTGCTTCCTAAACCAGCGTACGGTCGCCGACTGCTTTTAGGACTTGGGGTGGACCTTGAAATTGTCAGAATAATCAAGTGGTTCGAAAAATCTCTTTCATCTAAATTATCAAATTTCCGTGCATATTCCGCTGCGTATTGGCCACTTTCCACTTGCTTGATGTCAAGTTTAAGTTCTCGTGCAACTTCTGCTTTATATTGTTCACTTTTTCACTTGTTTGTCTCCGTTTGATCACAGTGCTGCGCTTTTTATCGCCTTTGTTAGCACAAACAGCAAAGTTGAAGTTGGCGCCATTTGGCACTATTTGGAGACAACGTTTAGCCTACCAAGCTCGCTTCAATCCTAAGCCTATTGGCAAAAAAAAACCTTCGTGCTCAAAGACCACAAAAACGGCAGCCGGCCACTCTTTTCGCGGTCGCCCCTGAGAAACATGGACCACGAGAACAACTGGAAGAACCACAAGAATGGGCAGACGACGGCCATGTTAGTTATAGCCAAACCGGAAAACCCGACAATAGCCTCAATTCAGCTTGTTTATTGTATAGGATGTGGTATTGAGGCTACAGGGCAAAATCAAAACAACCAAAATGGCAGCGGCTGTCTTGTAGTTGTAAACTGAGGAAATCACGCAAATTATGTCAGAAATATAGAGCAATAAGCTTTATGGCATCCAAAATTTCGGTCAGTGTTATACATTAACTTCATGGGGTGAGTGACGGTTCAGCGAAAACGTCCGAATAACCAAACGTGTCTGAAAAATCAGCGTCTGAAAAATTGGCCAAACTCGTAGAACAAATGACTTGTACAACAAACTGTTTGATCAATGTGGAAGATCTTGATATAAAGGCATTCGACGGTGGTGGGAGACATTAAGAGGGATGGAACTGGGCAAAGCAGCTTTGAAGCAATCTTGGGAGCAGAAAGAACTGCAGCTTGGAGCAGGCTGGAAGCAGCAAAAACGAGGTCTTGGAGCAAGTTGGGAGCAGCATACGAATTTTAAGAATGTTAAAATACTAGAGGCTAAATGTCACCTGGCTTTCAAAACAGACAACTCCATGTGAACTTAACGGTAGTTTCAATAAACATTTTAGTTGCAAATATTTTTCACAAAATTACGCACAAATTGCACAAAACCTACAAAGTAAAACTGCACATGACAGTGCGACATGTGATGAAACTGACTTGCAAAGAGGTAAATATAAACAGGTAGAAACAGCTTTCATTGCTCAGCATTGACGAGTAAAGTATTCCGAAAAATAAAAAGGAAGGAACAAAAATGTTTTTTCGTTTTTCAGTGATTAGAACAGGGGTGGCCAAGCTGCGGCTCGCAAGCCACCTGTGGCTCTTCTCGTGTTAAAGTGCGGCTCGCGGCTCCCTCCTCTACCCCCTCCCCCCTTTTCCCCGCCACCCTCCCGGTCACACGAGCACTTCCCCAAAAAGAGAAATGGAATGTGTTTTAAATCGAAAGACAGGTTGCGGTTTGGTAGTCTGGTGCTACAACTACCTTACGTACAGTTGAACTGCTTTTGACTCTGATATATTGAAAGTAGTTTGAGTTTCGTTTATTGCTCTGCACAAATGTTTGCCCCCCACGGCTCTTGGAAGTTTTGTGGTTTTGTTTGCGGCTCTAAACCGGGTCAGCCTGGCCACCCCTGGACTAGAACAAGATAATAAATGTCCTCGTACATATAACTCTATTGGGACTTCATCAATTTCTCATGAATAGACTTAACGTTTTCGAGATTCAGAGTCAATTTCGCATTAGCCTCTGCTAACAGCACTTGTCCAGACTCAATCTTCTCCATCTTTTTTTCTTTTTCTGAGATCCAACTCAACCAATGACTCGAGCGTAGTCCACGAGCTCTCCTCGTACTCGCTTCCTCCACATCACTGTTCTTCCTCTTTTGCCTCTCCTTGTCTTGCCTTTTGACCTCTAGCCTTTCTGTGTAAACATTATGAGAAGTGAATGTCGAATAGCATATTATTTGAGACTACAATTAGAAAATTTGAATATATGCACAACACTAATGTGCGTTATTGCTTACAAGGTCTGCGGGCTTTATTGCATCAACCCGAAACCAGGAAGGGCCCATCACCTATCAGCAAAGTCTCTCGAGGTCAAAAGTTTGATAACTCTCAGCTTAGAGCACGTGCCCCCATTCGGCCGGCCTCTTGCTTCCAGACATTCCCTCACCGTGGGCAGGTCGATGAGTTTCTGGAGCTCGCTGGGCCCCATGTGCTGGATGTGGTTGAAGTTGGAGGGCGCAGAGATCATCCTCGACCGGCGGTCCCTGCGTCGCGGGTTCAACACACTGGTCGTCAGTTCAGACGATAATGCACGCTGTACACAAACCTTTTCACAAACCTTCGGTATCGTGCAACTTCATCTCCAACGAAACTGAATGCTTTCTATAAAATGGTAGTTTTCGTGCAGGCACACTGCCTCTCCTTTCTTGGCTCGCAATTGGGGTGTCCCTTATGCCATAGATCTAAAATTATGACTCGGATGGCTACCAACGGTGAATCTGAAATGCACCTTCACTACTGGCAATCTTCAAGGTTACCGTTCGACATATCTTTTTTTAACAGGTCATTGAAATGTGCGACATTATACAGTCATTCCAAGTTTCACAGAAAAAAAAAGTTATATAGGCTTGATGATACTGAAAGACCAGGAGGCACAGAAGGTATCCTGCACAAACCACACTCCGTGTGTCGTTTGTGTTTTTTTATGATTACTTTTTTAAAATTTATTTTAATTTTATCCTTTCTCTTTAAATTTCATTTATTATCTATATTTATTTTATTTGTTTGTTTCATATTTTTTATTTATTTATCTATTTTTTTTTTCTTTTCATTTTTTTATTTTCGTCTAAATCCCGTTGTCCTTGCCTTTCGCATTCAAATGAAATAATTGAGCCATACATACCAGCTGCGCTAGTAGCCTATAGCAACCGATTGCCACAGTGCAGACCCGGATTCGAGCACCACCAGGGGCTCTAGCTTTATGTATAAAGCTCATATATAATCTTAACGTGTGAAATGATCCCGGCGTGTCACTCGTTTATGACGCTCGCCACGACGCCCATTATGACGCTCATTCATGACAGTTTTCTTAAAGGGAATGCCGCATAAAACACATTCTGCATTAGTTATGTTGGAGACATTATGTGAAGTATTAAAGATAAGTGTGCACAGTACTAGCAGCGCAATACAGGTAAAGTAGACTAAGAAATGTGCCTTGTGATCCATTCTTTTGCTCGTGGGAAAAGGGAACATATCCGAGGAAACACTGGTATCCTATTTGTGGGATATTTTATGTGATGGCTGGGCAATCGGCAATACATCATCAGGTAAATAAAAGCTTTCATTTCAACATAAAGAACCAAGCTAGTCTCCACAAATTCCTGTGCGAGCTTCCACACGGAAAATCCCGGCCCTTTAAGGGGTATTCCGGCGATTTTTTCATGATCGCTGATTTGCCTCAAAATAGGATCAACACACGGATAGACATGGCTCTACCAGTTCCCCAAGTATTGTGTGAAAAGAAACACATTTTGCCAAGTTATTGAATTTTAGAATTTTGTTTTCATCGTCTTTCTCAAACCGGGAGCCCCTACTGGCAACACTGAAGAGTGACAACAGAAATGGTACAGAGTGGGCAGTAAACCATCTTCCCAACTGGTTACAGGTAGTCTGATGGCGGGAAAAGAATGCTTGATAACTGATTCACCGAGAAGCAAGCAAAAAAACACTCTACATCCCCTGTTTAAGACTACATGCATGACCTGAAAGTCTACCATTTGTGACGTCACAACATCGGAGGGCGCGCGGAAATTTGAATGCTGGTTTCGGCATCATCTTCATTCACGGTTTTCTCAATTGCTATTTTGAATTTCGATAAAATAAATAGCATACCGTGAAGACTAAAGCAAGGGGAGATCGGCACATCCGAGAAAATGTACGGTATTGACAGCAACAAAAGTAAAGCCTCGCAAAGTGCCCCAACTTCAAAATGAACTTTCATGGAATTCACGAACAGATGGGTAATCTGTCCCAGTCGAATTAAATTGGGAAACTTCCATAAAGAAGTGTGTCGCGTGAACGGATATTGCATATTTAAATGATGGACACTTAGTAAATACTAGGGGCGTGCGAATACCATTTCACATCTAATAGAGCAGAGTCGCACCGAGCTTTCAAGCCGCAAAAAGAGCCGAAGCGACGCAACTTTCTTTTACGCCGTAAAGGCTACAAACGACGCGGAGCCATTGATTTCGAACGGCTATTCGCACCCGTCGGTGCGCGACGCTCTTTAAGTCGACTCAAAGATAACAAAACATGAACAAACCAAGACGAGCGAAAGGAGTACGCAGGATGCATCCTCCTTTCGCTCGTCTCGGCGTCCTTTTCAGGTTGTCTGGCCACGGTTGGTGACGAACCGTGGCATGCCCACGTACCCCTTGGGGAGCTTCTCCTGCTCGCGCACGGAGAACCTCCTGCGGGCCCTGGTGACCAGGGAGGCAGCGACGGAGGACGAGGAGCCCCTGAGGGGCCCCAGGGCGTGGGGGGCCCCTGGCCGGTGGGGCTCCACCCTCACGGCGTGCTCCCTCCGGTGCACGGGGTGCAGGTACAGCACCTGGGGCGCCTCCGTCGTCAGCGAGAAGCACAGCTGGCCCTGCCGGCACAGGGGCTTCGTCTGCACAAGGGGGGCATGCCATCAGTCGGACGGCCGGCCGAGCTACCGCCCCGGGTGGCGATGTGCGTCCCCTGGCCAGGAGGTTCCTCCTTGAAATATATAAAAGTGCCAAAAATGACAGGGACAAAGAAGAGTGGATACAACACAAGGTGCACTCACAACTGAAGTTTATTTAAGCAAAACACATAATATATAAGCCGCTGTAAAACGCTTATTCTTCGCAACAATTGATGAAACCCTTCGATAAAACCAAACCCTTTCCCTGAGAGGGTGAGGGAAGGTTCGCTGATGCACTCATTTCCTTTGGCCCTAATCTCAGACACCCCGTGCAGTTCTCGGCACATTTTTTCTTTATATTTCGCTGAGTCTTAACATCATGTAGAACAGGTAATCTCGCCATCCATTGTAGTCATTGCCCATGCTTACCAGTTCTGCTTGATGTTAAGGTGCTAGCGAAATATAAAGAAAATCTGTGTCGAGAGGTGCACGAGGCGTATGGGATTAGGGCAAAAGGAAATGAGTGCGTCAGCAAATCCTCCCTTGCCCTCTCAGGAAAAGGGTTTGATTTTATCGAGGGGTTTCGTCGATTGTTGTGACGAATAAGTGTTCTACAATGGCTTATATATTTTGTGCTTTTCTTAAATAAACTTCAGTTGCCAGTGCGCCTTGTGTTGTATCCACTCTTCTTTGTCCCTGTCATTGTTGGTGCTTTTATATATTTGAATATGAACCAACTGGCCCAACTTTCCACTTTGCTGCAATTTCTCCTTGTAACGGAACGGCTTGACAGATTGTAGTATGACGCTGCTTCGCACAAATTCGAAGAAACAATGAGTATCACTTGTGAGCTCGCACCGCAAAGGCAATCGGCACAAAATTTCATTTTATTTTAGGCAAGGTTCTCCCTACGATGGTTACCTTTACAATGTCCCGCCTACATCTGTTTTTGCCGCAGTCAAACTATACAGTCGACTCTCATGAATTCAAACTCTGTTAATTCAAACTTTCGGATAATTCAAACTAACATGCAGGTCCCATCCTAGGCATCTCTATGGGAGGAAACTCGCAATAATTCAAACTTTGCTTTATTCAAAAAAGTTTTCGGTCCCCCTTAAGTTTGAATTTACTAGATTCGACTGCACTTCGTTTTGGCTCAAGTCCAAATGCAGCCGACGCTACAAGCTAATGTGACCAATCAAACAGCGTCAAAAGCGCGAGCCACTGGGCCTTTTCTGTTCAAGATTGGTTCCGCGAGGATAGAGTGGGTACAGAAACATGACGAACACCACGATGGTGCGCTTTTGACACTGTTTGATCGGTCCCATTAGCTGTAGCCTAGGCTGCATTTGGACTTAAGCTGGAATGAAGTATAGACGGCGGCAATATTGCAAAAGGCCCAATGCAGCGGGACGCTGGAGCTGCTGGACTCGTGAGGCGCCGTGCACACACAATAGAATCTCGATGATATGATCACGATTCATCCTAATTCCGGGATGATACGAATTTGTCAAAATCCCCGGCCAAAGTTTTTTAAAGACTAATGTATAACGTTCCGGGATAGTCCAAATGCTTCATCGGGCCGCGTTGGATCATACGAACAATGATTGACAATGTTTACTCATCTTTTAGGGCGGCATCGCTAGACCCCGATAACCGTAGCCACCATTTCTGCGCGATTTTTCTTGCAGTTCTTTCTACATACGCGCCGCAATCATAATAACCGCGGCTGCATTCCAAAGGAGTAACTTGCATTCACCTACTCCAGGGGTGCAGCTTTATTTTTTATTGTCACATGATAAACGGGTTTTAGCAACTATCAGTCACTCGAATGAACACGAGAAACGACATTCGGAATCGGCACTGACGACGTGAACGTCAACGAGCAAGCATCCTTTGTTATCACGACCATGTGCACGTCTGTTTTGTGCGATTTGCATCAACAAACTTTCGGAAGGATATTCCTCATCCTGCCTCGTCTGTCCAGCGTGAGTTGCGACTTGATTTAACATGTCACGCAAAATAAAATCGCTGTCCTTCAAAGAGAAGCTGGAGGCCCTGAGGAAGGTGGACGAGGAGCCTAAAAGAAAACACAAGGATTTGGCGAAGGAGTTTTGAAATGTTTTTATACTTGTTCTAAAACTGTCCCCTGGGTGATATTGAAAAAAAGAAGACTCAGAAAAACATTACTGACTTCTTTGGCCGGGAGTGTGACCAATAAACGGCAAGAAGCCCCCGCATTGCATTCATGTACTTAAGCGACATGTTTTTCATTCATACGAATTTCGTATTGTACGAATATTTTTCGCGATCCCGCCAGATTCGTATCATCGAGATCCTACTCTAAGTACAAATCACTCCAAAGACAACCGGTGCGTCACAGGCACAGTGAATGCGATATAACAATCATTGAAAAAGCGAGCTCATTGTGCAAAATATTACAAATAAAAACAGGCGGTGACATTTTTTTTTTTAATTTTTATTTTGATTAGAATGATTTTTTAGAGATCCTTCCACGGTCTTTTCGCCGATACGAAAACTAATCCGGTTCCACGATAGCACATGAGGACTAGAGGTCAAAAGTTGTAGTAGCAAACGACAAGACAGAAATTTATCGAACAATGTAAACAGCTTGATGGGGAACTAACATAAGGCACCAAGCTCCTCAGACGGCTTCTGGTAGGGGCTAGGAACCGGAACAAATTAATCTTTGCCTTATTATTTTCAAATGCCCCCGAATCTCAAAGATACTCAGCGCGTCCCTGGCGAGAGGAAATCTGCATGAGCAAGAGTCACCCTGGCCCAGACTGACCTTCTTGAGGTTCATGGTCTGCACCCAGTCCCCAGAGGTCACCTCGTACACATCCACGTGGCTCTCCATGTAGACGCACAGGTAGGAGTCGTGGTAACCTGCACGCACAAACACTGCTCACCACCCGAGGAGAAGACGCAGCGCCGTGCACGACTATATCTATTTTGCTTATGGATGCTAGCCGGGCATGTTTGGTCTCAAAAAAGAATGCTGCACGCTCAAAAAGCAATTTCTTTTAATTTTCTGGGTAGGCCATGCATGTCACTAAGTGCACTTTCGGCGAAAAAAGAGATTAATGCAATATATCTCTGAGCAAGATGTATCTTGAGTTCGAAGCAATCTGATCTGCTCACATCTGCTGTCTTAGAAGAGACTTCAATTTGAAGGCTATGTTACAATGACATAAAAGTAAGAATAAAGTGACATAAAAGTAAATGACCAAATCATCTTTTGAATACCGTATTTACTCACATAACTCGCACACTTTTTTTTTAATTTTGGGCATCAGAAAAGAGGCGCGTAAATTACACCGACATTTACAAGCACGTCCCAAATAACTAGGGTTCTGTGTTTTCGGTGTTTATTTATTTTCTCGAAATCTGGTACATTTGTCAACAAACCTGTTTTTCTAAATCACCCAATGCAACTCCAGAACAGGGGCGTTGACTAGAAATTTGGGGAAGTAGAGTAATCAGTCTCTGGGTTGCACAATGATGTACCCTGAGTACGTGTGCCCCTCTGAAATCCCTCTGCCCGCTTGAGCACATGCTGCAAAGAGACAAAAGGCCCACAGGCGCCGCCAACACTCACTGACTGCCAGAGGTAAGGCAGAGAACATCACTTCTTTCTCTCGGGTCTTCTTCCCAAGGTTGTTCACAAACACTCCAAGCTCTGCAGAGAAAGCGCAACATCGGCACAGGGGAGAGGCACTGCATTGGCAAAGGTGTGGACAACAGGGCCCTGCTGCTCTCACCAACAGAATGGATAATAAAACGCGCCTAAAGTAAACACTCGAAAATGGCACACTACTTTGCGTGACCCACGATTCAACATCGCCATTTAGAAAGAAGGCTGGGCTCTGTATAATATAATTTTAAAAATAAACAAACATAGATTTGTATTTTAGTCTACTTGCATTTTGTATAAAAGAACAAGCGCAGAGCTGAGAAAATAACTATCTCTTGGGGTTTACCCAAATCATTGAAAAGTACATTTGGGATGCATCAATACGACAAAGATAAGTTTTACTTGAAAATATAATGCCTACAATATTAGAAAAAAGTCTCTCTGAACAAATTAGACGTTTACAATTCTCTGTAATGCTGAATTAGAGCGCAGCTCTAGAGGAGGAGTAGGGGAGGGTATGCCCCTCCCCCCTTCCGTACCCTGCCCTCCTCCTCACCTGCTGCCCTCCCATTTAGCAAGAAATTTTGCTAAATTTCCCGCTAAATTTAGTGGGGAAACTGAATTGGTGTTGAGGTTACGTGGCATCTATTTCCCAGCTAAATTTACCAGAAAAATGTTCCCACTAAATTTACCTGAAAAATATTTCTTTCTAAATTTAGCAGAAAAAATTTTCCCCTAAATTTAGCGGCAGAATTTCCCCGCTAAATTATGGTGGAAAAATTTCCCCGCCAAGTTTAGCGCGAAAGTTTTCCATAATGCAACGTGCGCAGTTATGTTGACGCCGACAGCGACACCGCTCAACCCAGAAATGGGTGCCTAAGAGCTGCGCTGTAAAACAAAAGAGCCATGCCAGAGAGCGAGAGACATGTCTTGTAAAAATGTATCCGCACGACAGAGCTTTTCCTCCAGAAAAGCATTAAACGTCTTAGAGTTTTGAGGTTATGTGCACTGCGTCACGGATGTCTGCCAATCTCCCGAGCTCGCGAGGAACCGAGGAGAATCCGCAACCGGCTGACAGAATGAACGTCACCCCATCAGAGCAACCTTGGCCCCTTCTTTTGTCTCCCTCAAAGTACCTTTCTTTTTTTCTTTTTTTTTTCCCCTGCCTCTTGTACGATGAGCCCAAGAAGGTCGCCAGCACATTTGCGAAAAGAAAGACTCCACCGATTTAACTACAAGAGAAATCGTCGTGCGAATGCTCGCTAAGATTTTCTGCACCGCCTTCTTCTTCTTACGACACTATGACATCCTCGGTTTTCTCCAAAGGTAAAGATCTCTCGTGCGAATAACGCTATGTCTGTGCGGATAATCAGCCATGCTACTTCTCCCGGCAGCAGGTCATCGACGAGAGGACAGAAGGACCAGTCACTCCAATCTACATGTTTTGCTGCATTTGTATCTCAAAAAATACTACCAGCGTTTCCTGGTGTATTGTTACTGGTACTCTTAACTCCATAAAGTTAGGACACCGCAAAAGGTTGCAGGCCCATACCCGTAGGTTTGCGATACCTCATAACATACCAATAGGTACAGTCGCAGACGATATAAGAAATGCCAGGCGAGCACGTGGCTCCAAAGACCTCCAGTGCTATTTCCAAAAGGAAGCCGAGTTATCATTGAGGCTATTGCGTGACCGAGCGGCATTTGAGCGGCTGTTCGACTTCTGCCGCTGCTCCCCACTTCGTCGACAGATGCTTACTGAGTCAACACTGACGGTAGTAGCACCCGGTGAAATGAAATAAAAATAGCTCATCGTCCTTTATTTCACAAACTTATTACTAAATGCCCAAGAACTGATCACTCAACCTGCCGACCGGGTGGATCCAGTCATGCTTGATTCTGCCTTTTGTCGGAGAACGCCTTTATATTCGGAGAAATCAGGATTATTTCAGCAACAGCCGATCAAACGGGAAGTGACGAGTGCCTTTTCGAGTCAGAATAGTTTCTCCGAGCCTTTCATTACTGCACCATGCTTAGAGGCCGACCTACAAAATCATCTTCCGCAAAGTAGGAAAATCCCCCTCTCCCACTGGCCCCTAGACAACGGGGGGGGGGGGGGGGGGCAAGATGCAGCAACAAAAGGAGTCCCTTCACCATAAAGATAACAGTTAGAAAGGGGAAAATGAAAAAATTGGCGAGGAGGATTTTCCTACCCTTCAAGAAAACTTTTTGTGGGTTGGGCTTTAAACAAAACCCCAGCTGAACTCATCAAGTTTCTTTTCAAGCTTCCACTTGCCCATTTCTAAGCAAAGTTAATTTTAATCTAACTACATTTATGGACTGCCGCCTCAAAAATTCCAAACCCTCAGACTTTCTGAGGCTGCATACTTCAGGAGAAGCCACACCCACGAAAGCGAGTTCTGCAGGTGCTGCTTCTCCACAGTGCACCGGTGCTCGACAAGGAACGCGCTTAACAGGGGTAACCCGCCGCAATCTTGGAAAATATGAATATCACGGTTCATCTCGAAGTGAATATCAAATAGCATATTATTCAAAACTACCGTGCGAAAATTATAATATTTCCACAATTTTACTTATCACCAACGTGTCAAGCGGCAAGAAACTGGATCTTTTGGTATTTTACCAATTTTATGCTTTTTCTATTGCACTTTCGGGGAATATTTCGGTTGAGATTGAAAGTCTCCAGCCCATTGATGAGACCCGCAAGCAGGGAAGGCGCACTCACGGCTGAACACGAGTAGGTACTCGTTGTTGGGGAGCTCCACAGCCATGAAGGCATCCATCGGGTTGTGGTACAGGAAGGACAGGTTGTTGTCCGGCTGCACCAGGCCTGGAGGAGAGTACAAGAACCAAACATAGCAGTCTCCCTCATTTTATTTGGATTCTAGCTCGCAGTTAGTCGCGACGTTTCTCAGCACGTCAGAGGCATCAAAGTGGTGGCATTTACCCTAGCGTGGGCAGTTAATACATCCTTTTGCCAACATTACCCTAAGATACAGTGCCTGGCACCCACAAACATAACGACTCACTCAACATGAGACTTTTCCTCACAGTTATCGCAGAAAAGGTTTTAAACCTCGAGTTAATGCACAATCCTTAGAATAGCCAATGTACAATCGTTTTCGCCTATATTCGCCGTCACTTCAAGAAAAAAGTGGCCGTATCTGCCCTGCTGCGTGCCTATTGGTCATATGCCACCTCACATGTTCATCCGCTCTGCTAAAAAGTTCCTGTAAAGGTTCACTGTCACATATGTAAACGTTTTTGCAGAGCAGCAAAACTTGTTTTTTCCGACGAGGTGAATTAGGAACACCTCGAATATGAATGCTAGTATTTCAATGCACCACGAGGTTCAATGATCAGTTCATAGCCACCGCCAGCCACCGAAGGCCAGCTTACCAAAATGGCAGCTTTAACTGTTTGAGTAACGCTTTCAGTTCTGTCACCAGATGTTTTCCTTCGGGTCTACTTCAAGTAACATGCGAGCAGAACTGTCTGGTCGAGTCATACCATGTGGCCGGACAAGAGAATCTGCGTTAACCACTTTTCTCCAATGTGTGGGCAGTAGTAAAAAAAAAAAAGGACAGATCAAGTTGATATTTACACTGCCAGCACGACAAGTGTTAGTGTTAGCTCTGTTAGAGTGGGCTAGCTCTGCTTACTTGGCAACAAAGTTATGAAAATACCATCAAAGAAGCGCCCGAACGGTGGTGGTAAACGGAGGAGGATGATTAACTATGACGTGTTCATGCCGACGAGCGTGAGAACCCGCATGCACAGCTTCTTCCGTCGAGGTGAAGTCCCAAAGCTGAAGGAAATCGCCGCTGGCCTCGGAGAACACAGAGTGCTTTCGCAAAGGTGCGATCGAGTCTACTCTCTAGCGTCTGAGTGCTGAGCAATCTGGACTTCGAGAAATTGAAACGGAACTGCAACTCTTTTTTTATCGAGAAGGACGTCCTGAAGTAAAGACAGAGGTACCTGGGAGGGATCTCGAAGCAGAAATCCAAGAAATTTAAGATCAAAATGAGATTTGGACCAACTCCAGCCATACAATTGTCAAGGTGTGGACCGACAGCTCCATAAATCAGCACACCAAGCATTTAAGTTCAGGGTGAGTAGGTACTGGGTTGAAGGCCCCTTCAAAGGGCCCTGCAATCATATTTAAGCGTGTACTTTTTTTGCAGTTTCCACGTCTCTTGGGTTCGGGCAAGTCAGTGGGCACGGAAAGAGTAACTAAATATTAGTGTATCATATTTTAACTGGACGACGCAGAAACCTCCTCCACCTACAGGGGCGACCCACTGTGCTGAAAGTGTGCAATGTGTGACGTCTTTGGTCCTGGGGTCAGAGCCGCTAAAAGCTTCTTTTTAGTCGAAATGCAAAATATAAGTGGTGCGAACCGTTTCAATTATTTATAAAAGTACCGTAATATCCCGAGTCATCGCCCACCCCCCTACCGCCTGAAATTCATTAAAAAAGTGGGGTGGGCCATGTCTCGGTGGGTGAGCACAAACACTTGAAAAAAAGCGGAAAAAACCGCCTATTTTTCTCTGCGTATTTAGCGCTGATGCACAAGAGATACATCAAACTCAAAACTCGATTTAGTTTCATTGTTTTATAGAAAAAAATGCTCACGAAAGAATATTTTACTATAGCGAAGTCCGTTGCTTGCATACGCGCTAGGAACACGGCCAATCTGCATATAGCGCAAACGTTTGTTCCGTGAAAGAATGTCACCACTATATGTTCTCCTAGTTAGTAAAAAAAAGAAAGAAAAGTCTACAAGAAAACAGAAAAACCGACCAGGCGCAACGAACGAGCGAGCGAGCAAGCGGACGAAAGAAGCGACCAAGAGCAATGCTGGGAAAGCGGGAAAGCCGGCGGTCACGTTGGCAAATACTTTGGCGTCGGGCCAAGTCGGGCGCCTTGTCAATTGCAAGCTCTTGCGCAACTTTCTTGTTTGGTGCGTACATACGTGCGTCCGTGCACGGCGGGCTATCAATGCACGGTTGGGACGCTCTGCAAACGTCTGTGTAGGGCGTTCCAGCAAAGCTTTATTTACGCGTTGGCTTTGCCTAAAATATTGCACAACTGCGGTCGCGACGGGCGGGAAGAAGGAGCGGGTTCGCGGTGACCTTACTTCGGCGGAGACAGACTTTGACCTAACACTCCGCGGTTACATTAACAAACTCTTATTTTGTTATCTCCATCGTTTTCTTTTCGCACGGATACACGACCACTTTGGGGTCGCTCACGGAGGAAATGCGTAAACAAAAAGAAGTGTCTTTCCCTCCTTCGTTTTACTTTGTCACGAACGTCCTCCAACTGTAAGGTCCGCGGCCGCGTCATTCGGGTAGGATGAGTGTTCGCGGATCGCAGAGTCCGCGCTGGGGTATTTGAAGGGGTGGGCGATGACTCGGTGTTTTTTTTTCGGAAATCGATATTGGCCCAAAAAATGGGGTGGGCGATGGCTCGGGGATGGGCGATGATTCGGGATATCACGGTAGTTTTTGTTCAGTATTTTAGGTCAGAAAAGAAACAAATGCAGTTTATAAAGTATTCAAACAAGATATGACCCGTCGACATACCCGTGACCAAGTGGTGGAAAAGGCGGCGCATACCAGAAAGGGGTAGTGGGACGAGGCACCGACGAGCAGCGAGCTTAGAAAGGTCCCGGATGTACGCGGCGGCACTGCGGTCATATACGGGCTCGATGATCCGACCGGTTCCTAAGGCCTTCGGCGAGAAGGTTTGGCTTGCCGTTTGGCCATTTGGCGGTATGGCAGTGCGAAGTGGCTCCCGTTCTAAACTGATCTTTACCCCGTTTTTGCTGTCATTTGCGGCGAATGAAGTGTCATGCCGAATTAGTGCTTAATCGCGCCGCAAATGCAATGCGAGCCGCCCCGGTTGCCCGCTTCATACAGCCTATTGAGAACATGCTTTAGTGGAGCCCTCTCAAGCCGTTGACACGGAGTGCGGCAGGTGAGAGCGCTCGCTGAGCTCATTTGTTTTTTATTTAATTACAAAAACAAGCTTTTTTGCTTGTTTTTGTAGTTTTAATTTTGCGTATAACTTTTAAAATAAAGCAAAATTCGAGAAAAGAAAAGTTTTATTAAGTTACTACGTTCAGTGCACTCAGGTTAGGTACAAATTAAAAACCAGTAAAAAAGTCCTTGCAGGGCCGGAAGAGGGGTGATTATTACTCCTGCATGTAGCGACGACGACGCTTTTGGAATGACTGTATTTTTCATTGCTCAGAAAACATTTTATCAATTTCGATGATGATCTGCCTACATTCTGTCTGCTCTTCTTCGGAGTTGGCTCTCTTGGTTTCTAGAGCTGAGCGAGGCCCGTCTCCGCCGTTTGAAGTCTACGAAACACGAGCGACCCGAAAGCGGCACTGCCAACATGCATTGACGTTGCATCTGTTGAGACAGTCAACAAATTCGAAAACTTCACCCAAAACAATGAGTGAGTTGAATGATGGTACAGGATTAACCATTAGATTAATGAAGAAAAGAATCTATCGCATTAGTTCGAGCGAAGCTACGATCAACACTCAACCACTACTAAATCTCACCACCTTTGTCGAGCCAACTGACCCAACAAATCTTACTACTACTACTACTACTACAGTGGAATCTCGTCAATTCAAACTCTCTTAATTCAAACTTGCGGATAATCCAAACTAACAGGCAGGTCCCATCTTATGTGAATCGATGGGGGGATACTCCCAATAATTCAAACTTTGCTTTATTCACACAAATTTTCGGTTCCCTTTCGAGTTTAAATTAACGAGATTTGACTGTACTAATGATGGAAGGGCGCCTCAGTACTGAGCATGTGTCCTAAGCTGGATAGCAGTTCTAAGCTGGATAGCAATGTGAGGATACAACAGCTACGTCGAAGAATTTAATAAACTCTCAACAAATTAAATTCAACATTCTCTGCCACCACTTTCTTTCTGTAAACAATAACAATAATACAAAATTACTTGGAAAATATGTTTACGAGATTCATTCAGCTGCGAGCATTTTGCGAAACGATTTATGTGCGCTTACGTCGACGAGCAAGTGGAGATTTCAGCAAACGCGAGTATGAGACTCGAGGTTTATAAGACATTAAACGAACTGAAATGTCTATGCAAGAAACAGTCTGAACAAATGATACAAAAACTGAGTCAAGCCCTTTAAATCCAAATTAACTATATTTGCTCAATTTAGCAGCTAATATTGCAGCTTTTTCACTGCACAGTGATGTCGCGGTAGCCCCAATTCGGTTTTGGTATTAAAATGTACAACCCACCACCGTCCGACGGAGAGTAGTGCAGTCTACGCGTCATAGCACCGTCTCATTGGAAAAAAACAAAAATGTTCCACCAGCAACTGAACCTCTTCGCTTTGGTTTTTGAGGTGACAGCGAGTATAGTTGAGTTTCTATGGACGGAAGCAAACGGTAGTAAAAGCCGTCGGAACAATGTGGGAAAGAGTAACACATGCTGTTTGGTCGTAAGAGACCCGTCGACACGCAGTTTGTTTATATCACCCAAGTACATTAATTTGTCGACCCTTTCTGCGGTTAATGGTCCACGAGTGTGCACGAAAATTGAAGTAGCACTCGATGCTGCCCCCCTACCTCGGGTCAGTTCGTGTAAAGCGAGCTCGACGCACGTGGGGCATGAGCGTTAACTGCCCAGGGGGTAAACTTCCTCATTTGGGATGGTTACGGTGCGGGAGAGAGAAGAGTGCGGCCACTCACAGATGGGCTCGGTGGTGCCCTGCAGGCTGTACAGGTAGAAGAGGGAGGGCAGCCCCACGCAGAGGCGGTCCTGCCAGACGTCCAGGCACTGGGCCACCCCGGGCACGCTGATCACCTGCCGGCCCCCGTGCCGGCTCTTGGTGCGGTTCACCTGGTGTACCAGCACCTGTTGTGCATGCCAAGAGGGGGCTCAGCACCCGCTGTGTCAGGAAGCCTCCGGCGCGACAGGTTGCGTGTAACCACGGTCCCAAACTTCGTCCCGGAAGTCCCGAGCAGTGTTGGCAAAGGCGTCGACACGAGTGCGTGGCTTTGGAAAGTGTCTCCTATCGACGGGTGGTTGACCGGATGGAAACCGTTCTGCGAAGCTGCACATTTGAGCTCGTGCCTTTACCAGCACACACACAACATTTCAGGTATTACTATTAAACAATGCTGGAGGAAGGGAACAAAAATCTCCTTCACGTCGGCCCCCAATTTTTTAACATTTCCGACGTTCCTGGTAGCATTACGGCCTCAATTGGCGGAAGATTACCTCTACGCGCATTTATCGTTGCCAGCTACCTTTCACCGCTAGTGTCAAGAAAGGCCCCGACAAAATGCAGGAACTACCACAAGACGACGGCAAAGAAGGAAGCTGCATTCGATAAATGAGTGGAAAGCCGCCGACACCGAGTTGAATTCTCACACATGTTCGGAGTTTCGACCGCAATAACTTTCTTGAGCTACACAACCATTCGGACCTTTGTGGAGTCCCCGCGGAGTCCGAAAAGACGCGTTTGGGTGAATGTCGGGAGCGTGAATGCACCTGCTTCTTGACGGCCACGCAGAAGTAGTAAGTAGAGGAGCCCCCATGGTCCATGCGGGTGGTGCAGAAGCTCGAGCAGCCCTTGGTGTCCGCCACCTTGATCCAGTCGACCTCGTGGCCGTCCAGGGCCCCCACGGGAATCAGCCGCAGGTGTCGCTGCTTGCCTGGCACCGAGAGGGAGACACCGCTCTACGTGGCTCCACCGCATGTTTCCCTCTTGCAGCAATCGCATTGTTCCCCATTTGGCCCCACTTGCCATTAGGTGGATGAAATGAGGGCGTAGCATTGCCAAGCATTTCATTCACATCAACCCTAGTCCAAACTATGTGCCAGCGAAAGCTACAGTGCACAACCACCATTAGCCAGGGCAAACGATCGCCAATTTTTTCTGTTCTTCTCGGAGAACGGAAAGGCTGTCAACGAAACTACTGGTGCAGTGGAAACTGCTTATTTGACACACCAACTTAAGTAGAAAATTTGAAGCCTGCCTATAAATTTTTGAACTAAACCGCAAAAAGGCAAACTGTTGCGTTTGCATTAATGGTGTCAGATAGTGTAACACATGCTTGCACTAGCGGCATCGAGGCAATGTCTGTGATCCGCAAGTTACACCATACAACTTGGAACAACACCTACTGTGTCCAGGTGGATTTTAATAATATTGAACGAGCTTGATGGACTCTACCTGGTGAGATCAAGTACCAGAATAACTTGCTCAGCAAGGAATATGGAAACTATATGAGGGGAATCTGAAGGAACTACTTAGTGTCTGGAGATGCCAGCCGAACATAGGAAGCTATACGAAGAGAAAGAAAAAAATTACACGAGTACACTTAAGACTGCTTACGTGTAGGAAGGCGAAAGCCAGTCAAGGATGACGTCTCGGACGACTTCTAGGATGACCTCTAGGACAACCTTAAAGAGACCCCGCAATCATATTTAAGCGTCTACCTTTTTTGCGGTTTCCACATCTCTTGGGGTTCGGGCCAGCCAGCGGGCACAGAGAGAGTAACTAAATATCAGTGAGTCATATTTTAACCGGACGATGCGAAAACCTCCTCCACCTACGGGGGCGACCCGCATTGCCGAAAGCGCGCGATATGTGAAGTCTTTGGTCCTGGGCCTACTACTGGTCAGAGCCGCTAAAAGCTTCTTTTTAGTCGAAATACAAAATATAAGTGGTGCAAACCATTTCCATTATTTTTTAAAGTAGATTTTGTTCAGTATTTTAGATCAGAAAAGACACAAATGCAGTTTATAAAGAATGGAAACAAGAAATGACCCGTCAACATACCCGCCACCAAGCGGTGGAAAAGGCGGTGCATACTAGAAAGGGGTAGAGCATGGGATCGGACACCGACGAGCGGCAAGCGTAGAAAGGTCCCGGATGTACGTGGCGGCGTTGCAGTCGTCTATGGGCTCAAGACCGGTTCCGAGAGTTCCGAAGGCCTTTGACGAGCAGTATTGGCTTGCGGTTTGGCCGTTTAGCGGTATGGCAGTGCGAAGTCGCTCCTGTTCTGAACTGATCTTTACCCCGTGTTTGCTGTCATTTGTGGCCAATGAAGTGTCATGCCGAATTAGTGTTTAATTGCGCAGCAAATGCAATGCGAGCCGCCCTGGCTGCCCGCTTCATACAGCCTATCCAGAACGTGCTTTAGTGGCACCCTCTCGAGCCGTTGACACAGAGTGTGGCAGCTGTGAGCGCTCGCTGAGCTCACTACCCCTCCTCTAGTTCACGGCCACTCAAGCGACCAAGGACGTCATGAAGGAGGTTATTTTTTGCTTGTTTTTGTAATTTTAATTTGCCTATAACTTTTAGGTAAAGCAAAATTCGAAAAAAGAAAAGTTTTTTTAAGTTACTACATTCAGTGTGCTCAGGTTCGGTGCAAATTAAAAACCAGTAAAAAAGTCCTAGCAGGGCCCCTTTAAGGACGACGTCGAGAACGACACCTAGAGGACAACTTCTAGGATGACGTCAAGAACGACGTCTAGAACAACTCCTAGGACGACGTCTAGGACGACTTCCAGGATGACCTCTAGGACGACCTCAAGAAAGACATCGAGAACAACGCATGGACGGCAACGTCGAGAACGACGCCTAGCAGAGGACATCATGCTGATGACGTATGAGGACGTTTGATGACATCACGGTAATGACACTTGATGACATTATTTTATAGCCATCTTTCGGGCACAACAACGCTGATGTTGCTTGTTTCTCACGTAATGTGACAAGTGAGGTTGTCTTAGAGGTCTAGGAAGACGTCTAGGACGACCGCAAAGACGACGCCAAGGTAATGGGACAAGTAGGGTTGCCCATTGAGTGGCGCTTGCCGTGCAATCGCATTTTTATCGACTTTTTCTACAATTTTTAGCTTGATGGGACAAGTAAGGCTTTCGCCTTAAAAGGACAAACACACTGCTGGACTAGCAACCACTTAGCGAAGATAAAGCTCTTCGTCCACTTTCTTATCGTTAATTCAGTATTTCAATATTGAGGGGGTAGCTTCTTCGTTGGTCATCATTTTCACTCTTCAGGTTTTGTTTCCCACATGAAGTGCTCCACGCAAGCACATCTTTTCTTTGGAATGTAGCATGATGGAAGCAGCGCTCATGCATTCGCCCTTCTTCGCGTCAATGGCCAAGCCTTCAGGATTTCTCTCGATAGCTGTTTTCAATGTCTTTTAACAGAATGTTGACGTGGTGGAAATCGGGAGTACATTGGCAGACCCGACAGTGCTCCTACATTTAGCTGGCATTATCAGAAGCATGAATCACCAACTAGCTCAGTTACAAGCAGTCAGAACTACTGAGATAGTGTTATACACTAATTAGTAATTTTGGAATAGTAGTTTCAAATAAAAATCCTGAGCCATTCCACTTTGTGATCGTGGATGACCAGCGAAGCTGTTTGGCACACGATGCAGATCCGCCGCCAGGAGCCAGAAGAAGCTAGACACAGAAGACGGGACCATCGCCCGTCGGTAGGGGTGTGCGAATACTCGAATATACGAATTTGAATTGAATAGAAAGTTCTCGAATAATTCGATTCGTGAATCGAATTTCTAGTATTTGGTCACTCGAATATTCAATATATTCGGCCAAAGACGTGCGGCCGGCGCGGAGCTGACAAAAAAGCCGTTCTTTCTCCCGATGTAAGCGCCGTGATATTAGACAGACCATGCGAAAAACAGCTCTTGGTCCTACCCTTCCACAAAAATCTAACGGACAGGTTAGAAAAAGGTAAGGTAACAAACGCCGTGAACTTTAGAGCACGCAGATTTACTCACGATCGTGACACAATATACCCTGGAATCACAACCGAAACATTCTGTTTGTGCCGCTTCCAGAGAGGAATTGTTGGCAGGCCGAAATCCCGCACCATGCTGAAGTCTTTTCACGGGTAAAGCCCCTCGTTTCAAATTGAAGCACCAATGTAAAACACACTTGCCGCACTCACAGAAATCGGCGACTGCACGATCGCAGAAAGGAAACCATGTTAACCACGCCGATGAGGCCAGCTGAGTTACGTCGTCGTTTTTTTTGGAACCGCAAGCTACGCAAGCTGCGAATTCTGATTCGGAACGAAACGGAACGCGGAAAAATAGTGTGCCTAGATTTGAGAGGGTTTCCAACCGTTCAAGTGCCGCGTTTGAATTACAAACTGCGAGAAGGTGACGAAAAGACGAAGGCATCGATCGGGATCGGGCAGGCAGGGCAGGGAGGGCAGGCATTGCCGCCCTTCTGTTTGCTTGCCTTTTTCCACGCGACAACACAACACATGCGCACTAACGCCCAATCTGCGCTAGAGTCGTCTCCGTGGTTTCAATTTCACTTGCTCCCTCTTTTAAATCAAGGCTCTCTAAAACAAGATAGATAGATGGAAAAATGGATACATAGTGGCAGTTGGACGGTGTCTTGCGCCACCTAACCACGTTTTGTTTCTTACTTCAGATTATATTGTTTAAGCGTGTTTACTCAGATTTGACACCTATCTGTTTATTAATGTGAAATAAGATCCCGGGTACCCTTTTTCGTCCTTAAAATGGAAACCAAATATCGCAAAATGCCCCTTTTCTGAGATATACAAATATTTATAAAATAAAGTAGCGGTGTTACATTCTGCTTTTAACGGGAAAAAAAGACATGCGTGGCTGTAACTTTGTTGTTTTTGTTTTGTGACGTTTAGGGTACATAGATTATATTTCTGCCATAAAATTGGATCTTTAGTGCCCAACATCCAACAGCAACTGCTTTTATTTTTTGTATTTTTTTTACCAGAATTTTACATTTTAGCTTTGGTTCCGTACAAGATGCATATTCTGCACCAGGCGCATACTCTGCACATATAATAACCTCATTTGCAGCACACTTTGAAAAATTCCTACAAATAAAATCACTATTCGATATACGATTCGATATTCGGCTTTTTTTCCTTGATTCGATTCATTAATCAATTCAAAAAGTAATATTCGGTATTCACACACCCCTACCCGGCGGAAAGAAGACGCGCAAGACGGGACCAAGACGGGAAAGGAAACTAGGCACGCAAGCGCTTGGAACAACGACAAAGAGAGGGCGGTGCGAGCGTAGACATGGCCGACGTGGGTCGCACAGAGGGGAATCTTTGAGAAACCTTTATTAATGCGAAAGCATTAACTCTCCCATCGAGCGAACCGACGTCATCAGCTTTGAAACCATGCAAAACGTTGGCCAAAAGGCACTTAACGTCCCCTTTCCCAAGTGAAGCCAATTTTTGATGGATTATGCTCACATTGGATGGCAAGCATCATCAAGGAACGAGGCTCCCATTGGCTCTCGTGCAGCTTAATTCCAAAAAAAGTCACCAGAGAAGCGCTCTCTATGGCGGCGGAGCACACGCAAGGGCGCGGCCGCCAGTAAGAGGAGGGAGCGGTGGCGGCAGAGGCAGAGCTTGCCTGGGCAGACTCCAGAGAGGCCGCACAGCCGAGCTCACTGCGGGGCGGTCACTTCACGAAAGCGCGCGCTCGGCCGACTGCTGTCAATACGTGGCCGTCTACTCCATTACGCAGCAGACAAACAAAGGGAGCAGAAGAACGACATTTATGATTTCGCATTCACAACTCATAAGTGCTGAGGTGTGCTCTGACTTTTATCTACCTGAGAGTCTACCGATCTTGAAAATGGTGCCTATTGATAACAAATCTACTGAATAGACCTACTGCTAATTTAGCCCAAGCATCAAGACCTACAGCTAATTTTACCCAAGCATCAAGGAGAATGCAGGGAATGGTGTTCTACGCACCGGCGTCTTCCGCAGTAACTGTTCTAAAGCAAAAGCCTAAAACAAATGGCATCTTGCACGCACATTCATCAACGCTTTATTTTGGTTATTTACTTTGAATCTTTTATACAATGAAGGTGTGCATAGTTTTTAGTCACTGCGCACAAAAAATCTACGAAACCCTCGCCATAAACAACTTCGCTCTAAAATACCTCATCAAGAGTCATCAGCGTAATGTCATCAAGCGTCATCATACATCATCAGCGCGATGTCACCGCCGGAGTGCCGTGTGCAAAAGGTGCGCTTCGGACTTCATTTGTGCTCGTTGTGTGCTTCGTGCGATGGACTGAGGCGACTGTGTCTACATCTACGGCCTTGACATCGGCAGCAGCGTCTACACCTACGGCGGCTACCGCAGGCAAACATGGCCAATTGCGCAAATAAGCCACAGCCCCCTAAGTGTCCTCCTCTAGGCATTGTTGTCAACGTTGTCTTAGACATCGTCCTCTAGGCATCGTTCTCGACGTTGTCCTTAAGGTCATCCTAGAGATCGTTCTTGACGTCATCCTAGAAGTCGTCCTATACGTTGTCCTCGACGCTGTCATAAACTGTCCGAGAGGTCGTCGTTGACGTCGTCCTAGACGCCATACTTGGCGTCGATCTCTAGCAAGTTGTCCTCAACGTCATCCTATACGTCGTCCTAAACTTTAATATGTGTAGAAAAATTACTCGAAAACATTTTTTTCGCGAGACTATAATACTTTCACATTCCTACACGTAAGCAGTCTTAAGTATAAAGTGAAACCCGTTTAGAATGAACCCACATAAAAAGAATTATTGTCGGTATCAAACTCACGTAAAATTCAAATAAAAAGTACTTCTTATAACAAACAACATATTGGCTATATCTGACTTTTTTCCCCGGAAAGGCTTCCAAAACGCGCAAACAATTGTCGTCTAGCTTGTCCCTTCCCCCCAAAAAGAAGTAGGAAAGAAAGAAAACTCCAGAAGCTCAAGTTGCGAACAAAATTTAGAGAAGAAAAGCGATTAGAAGGGGAGAAAGCTAAAAAATGCATTTTGCACGCACGCACATAAAAAAAAAAACTTTTCATCCCAAAGCGTTTGCCACAAAGAGAAGTGATTCAGAAGGGGAAAATAAGATAAAAGAACAAACTCTGCACGCATGAAAAAAGAAAAAAAGAAGAGAAGCTTTCCAGCGCATTTTTACAAGGCGGAAGTGAAGAGATAAGAAAGAAAGAGAAGGCCTTAAAACGAACGCATCGTGGAAGTTCGTTGCAAATAGTTTTTGCTATATTGAACCACTTGCTAGTGCAGGTTTCACTGTACTTGTCAAAGTTTTATTGAATGCTGTAGAGATCGATAATTTCTCTTACAAATAAAATCTATAAGCATTTCATTTCATAAGGTGTGAGAAGAACACACCTATAGTATTTTACTACCACTCACAAACTCTATTTTCTTATTGAATCTAAAGGTATATTTCCGCTGCGCTTGTACGTGACACCCAAACGTAGAGCCTATGGTGTTACTTTTCGCACATGCCTATACTATAAAGTTGCCTGAGCAGATAACCGAAACAAAATAATAATAATAATAAAGGCAGGACGTGCCACATCACGAGACAAGAGTGCGTGCCAGCTCACCTGCTATGGCAATGAGCAACTGCTCGTCAGGAATGTACTCGAGCTGAGCGATCCTCTTGCCGTCCCCGATCCGAGCGATCTCTGCAGTATCAAAGGAAGGGCCAAACTCAGCCGGAGCTGCCCACGGGAGCCTTTGCTCACACGGTGCCACTCATATCAACCCCTTGGTCACACCTCCCCATCTTTGAGACCAAGCTCCCCAGCCAACGCGTCAGAAAGCACCAAAAATGCATGTCAATCAACATGGGGCGACAACTGCTCAAAGCTAGGGCAAAGGTGCTTTTGTCACTCATGATGTTGAAACCCTGAGACTGGAAAGAAAATTTAAATAAATTAGAAGGGACACAAGAAAGAAGACAGACAGTGTCTCAAACTCAGCTAACAAAACTTATTCAACCACTGGCGTAAGAGCGAACCAGACCCAAACAGCTCAACAAAACTAAGCCCTTTGACACACAGACACACAAAGGAACAGAAGAACAAAGTCACACAAGATGCCTGGTTCTCCGCATATAAAACTTGCCAACAACAACAAAAAAAGTGGAATTGTATTTCTAGTTTTAAAACAAAGACAGCAAACCACCGAAAAAACATGAACAGTCTTCATTCAATTTCAGTTACAATTTCAGAAACATTTTAGACTGGTTGTAGAGTTGCATTGAAGCTCGACTGATGCAATTGCCCGACACATGTATCCAAACCGTTTCTTTCACTACAGCTTTCATGTTATTAGACTCTCTGCAAATCCCTTCTTTTCCTGACCAATCAAGCATACTATTGTCACATTCCTGAATATGTACAGCTAATTCCGAATTCAACATTTTGTTCTTCACGTTACGTTAGTGCTCAGTTAGTCTATTGTTACTTCATCCTGAAGCTGGTTTTTGATGGCACATTGTTTGCTGGGTTTTAGTCAATAAAAATGAGTAGTTCTAGATCACAAGAGATCCTAGTAAACTTGCAGCAATAGAAATACATGGACACTATTTTCTCCTGGGGGAGGGCATCCTGGGTCCCCACCACATCCATAAAATTTGACCAATGAAAATAGTTATTTGTGTAACGATTTCTAACGTTACTAGTATTACCCTTTTTAGGTGCATTGTGCATTATATTTTAAGAAAAATGTTAAATCTTTGGGTGTAGAAGACATAAACAGCAATTAGTTTGAAAACACCGTCTGATGGCGCCCCCCCGGCGCCTCCTCTAAGGCACAGAAAGAGGGGCGTGCCTCAGTCAAAGATTAATAGAAAAATCGTATGTCCACGAGTGTAATGTCACGCTTTTTGGTGTGCTTAGAGCCGATAGATTGAGTTACCTCCATAAGATCTCAGAATTGAGCTTTCAAGCTATGTCAGGTCAACCGTGCCGGCCGCTACACGCAAAACATCTCGCAATTTTCTGCGTAAATGCGAGTTCATTTATGACTAAGGTTCTACTTTTATGAACAAACCTAAAAAAATCTAAGGAGTCCTTGCCCACATACGTTTGCGACCCAAATTTATATCAGAAACTCATTTTCAAGATCCTAATCCATTTGAAAGAGCAAATAATTTTTTGTTGTTGTAAAGATCTTCTATTAATGCCTCTGGCTTTTTCTTCCTATCTCCGCATTCTTCTTCGGTGATTTCCGTAAAGGGAAACGAGGTCTGTTCTGGCAGACCAGATTAGATCCGACACAAAGAAACTGCGCGCAATGCGATTAGACAGAAATTGGCCGTAGGCAAAAAGCATTTGTTGCGAGCAAAACCCTTCAATATTATGGGACAGACTTTCGAAAATTTGAGGAGCTAAGTAACCTCTGCGTCACTATGAAAGAGACTAAAACGATGTGTCGCAGCCAAATGACCAATTGACGAGAAATTGCGCATCTCCTTCGTGCATTACTCCACTGGCCAAAGAGTTCAGAGCCTGCGTTTCCCAGTGGCGACTCTGGTTTGTGAGCAGGCCTGCCCACCCTGCCGCGGGAAGAGCAACGTGCTGGAGCGAAAAGAAGCGATGAAGCGAAGAGGTGATCAAAGACTGTTCCAGACCTCCCTCACCTTCTCGGTCCAGGTCGACGCAGTACAGCCCCTCCTCGGTTCCCAGCGCTATCCGGTCCGGGTCTGCACACAGAAGCAGAAGAAGGCGCGAGTCACCTCCACGGTCGTTACTCGCCACACCAAAGTCACGCGAGACTTTGTCGTTGCGCAGATTTCATTCTACAGCTACAGCTTTCTGTAACTCAGGAGTGTGGTCGTCCTCCAAGTCCCCCAAACCTAGCTGTTGTGCCACATCTTGTAAATGAGCACAGACTGAAGCCCATAAGCAAAAAGAAAATATGGAACATACGGGTAAGCCGGCACTGGACAGTGGGCTTGTTTTCTTCCTACACACCCTTACTTTTTCAGTTCTTTTATTCTTTTAGTGAACAGGCCCATTGCTTGCAGGTGCCAGAGGAAAAAGATATGCAAACACTAGGGGGAATCGGTGGCTGAGTGGGCTAACGCGTCTTAGCTCAGAGCGTGGAGCGAAAGCTTGCGCTGGGAACCTCCTGGGTTCGATACCCACCGCCCCCGCCCGTTTCGATCTGGATGAGTTTTGTACCGGCACGCGTTCGTGTAATCACTACTGCATGATGCATGTTAAAAACCCCAGGTTAGCGATTGTACTGCACTGGCTAAATTTCTCATCTACAGCTAAGAGACCGGTCACCCGTTGAGGCATACAAACATCAAAGCTGCATAAACATACAAAGCAAGACAATTTTTGCAAACACTAAAAACCAATGCTCTTAATATGTCTAGTAGTAGCTAAACAAGGTGTCAGTGGAGTCTGCTGCATAGGTTAATTTCTCTCGAATGTTCCTTTTGATCTCCTCTCCTAATCCTGTGTTACTTCATAATAATGAAGGTTACACGCTGTTTTGCAGAAATTATGCGGATTATTTTTGTTTTTAAGGGGTCGGTGGCTGAACACTGCTATGTCTGGTGTCCATTTCTGTAACATTCCTAATGAAGCGCTACTGAAACAACCCATCCCAAAACGAAGGATCACATGACCCGTGAGTCCAGGCCAAACGGTGACTCACCTATCACAGTGGCTGATAAGGCATTCTTGATAATCACGAGGGTGCTGTCCAGAATCTCCTTGGCTTGGAACACCTGGTCACGAGGCACACAGAGGCTTTTTGAGGGTTGTTACAGACAGAAGTCGATGGTCGATTTAAGTCTGTGCTCCTAAGTGAAAGAGTTTGGCGCTCCATTCATTAAGGGAAGACACACACCCAGAAAAAAAAAAAATTTCTGCAAAAATTGTTGATCTTGAAAAATGGCATATTTACATTTACGAACATCTAGAGAGTATTCCCAAAAAGTTTAATTAGTTTACACTGCATAGTTAATTTTTTATAAATTATTTTCTGTCCACCAAAGCTAAAGAAGAGGGTTTGGAGCACTTGGAACACATTTTTCTCCGTTCCACTTTTTTGTATAAATTCCATTTTAGTCATTCTATCGTTTGATAATGGCAAGACAGGGAAGGCTCATTCTTCCCTTTTCCTGACTGAAATTTAATAAGGAATGCGGCTATGGAAATTTTTTGTCACTTTATGGATGTCTTTCATAAAACATTCGACATTTTGCCGATGACACAGAAGACCAAAAAGTTGACCAATTTTGCAGAAGAGAAAATTGATAGAAATAAATGACTTTTTAGGAAAAACGTTATATAGCCGCACCCTGTATGCATTCTGCTACATACCTAGCAAATAAAAATCTTGAATATGGTGATAGTTTTCCAACGACATATTAACTAAACATTGTAGGGGTGTTGCTGTAGAAGCTACTCTAATTTCCTTCTCATCGGAGCACAAGTGACTGCTTCGCACCCTGCGTCGTCATGTCCACATACAAGATGGCTGCACTGACAGAAACTCTGTCAAGATGAAGGATATAGTCGGACCGCAAAAACTTTTTCAGCTGAATAGTGCTTAATCCAGCAGGTAAAAACAATTTAATTTGAAAGTCACGAAAACAATTATCATTCCGGAAAAGGTTTCTTCGTGCATTTTGCCTAAAAACGAATTAATGCGCTCTCTATCGAACGATAGCGTGCCGATAGCACATTGACAGAAAAGGAGATGAGGAGGCGGTTGGACCACTGTCTCTTTTAGAATGCTTAGCTCAGAAAATAAAGATGCTTCGATTGGAAAGCCGACATGTGAGTTAGCAATCCGAAAAAGGTTTGTTTGTGCGTCGTGCCTCAAAACGAATTGATGTGCTATCTATTGAACGGTGGTGTGCCAGTGGCATGTTAACGGGTTCCGTCTTGCACTGCAAGACGGAACCACAAAAAATCTTTGACAAACTTCTACAGTTTCCTGCGTCGATGAGCGAGTTCAAGAATTGTAAAAGCACTAGTAGTTTGGCTAGTTGGTGATGAACGTCTTGAACCGTGGTTAAAGGGGTACTCCACAGGTTTTTTTATTGTCTCCGATTTGCTTGAAATTTTGCTAAACTAACCAACAAACATCGCGAAAATAGTATCCCAAATATTAGGTCAAAATATTGTTTTTTCGCGAAGTTATTGAATTTACAGTTTTGGTCGTCACCGTGTTTTTCAAGCTCGAAGTCTCTACTGGCAACAATGAAAAAGTGACGTCAGTGGAAGGCAGGGGTTCACTCTTTAGGCTGTAGATTTTGTTTTAAACTGATTCGAAGCAGTTTCATGGTGTCAAATGAATGCTTGGGAAGCTCGCTGCAGTACCCGCGCTCCAGCACAGAACAAATGATTGGCATATTCTATTTTTAGACTACTTGCTCGACTGGCAAACCTGCCTGCCACTGACGTCACGGCACTGAAAAGTGCGCGTATATTTGAATGTTGGTTTTTGCATCATTTTCATTTGCCGATTTCACAATACCTATTATGAATTTCGCGATTCTAAATAGCATACCGGAGAGAGTAAAGGCCGGGGAGTCAGAGAATATAGTTAGTTGAGGTAGCTAAAGAAATCGGTGGAGTACCCCTTTAAGAGTGCTAAAAAGACAACACAAGAAAGAAGACAAACACGGCCGCCCGTGTTTGTCTTTTTAGCGCTTTTGACCATGGTTCAAAAGAGTTCAAGAGCAAAATGCACGGTCAATAAATAGAATGGTCGGGGTAACTTTCTGCCCATGTGCTCGAGGCGAATCTCTAAACCTTCTGGGAGTATTAACCCCTTAAGTTTAAGTGCCAAATTTCTTTTTCCAAAAGTAACCTAAAAGTGAAAGTTTTTTTTTTTTTTTTTTTTATTTTGAATTGTTACTCCTCTAGTATTACACACAAAATTTGAAAAGTTTATTAGGCAAAAATCAGCGTAGGCGAAAAAAATATTTGCCAGCTAATACGAGTGCTACCATCTACGATCAGCGCCGCAAAACCACTTGGACGTTTCAGCTTGTCCGTGAAATTGAGGACAACCGAAAAAACCACTGGACGAGCTGAACTCGTCCACGGCATTTTTAGCCAGAAAGTGGGCGACGAGCTAAGCTCGTCCAAGTCACTTAAGGGGTTAAAACATTCAATAAAACTTTACAACGTCAGCATATTTTTTAATTTACCCTCCGTCGTTCTACGCACACCTTAATTTATCTTCAAAATAATTTTGGCTTCTGACACCCGTATCCCCGAGGGCTCGTGCAGCTCGTCGACAGATTCGGTGCGTCACGTTCCCATACGCCCTGCTCCGTCTAGTTGCTGTGCTCGGAGTACAAAACTTGGAGCGTCGGAGTAGAAGTGAAGGAGTGCGGATTCCAACGCATTCATTGTCTTCCTCCCAAAACAGGAGAAAGACCCATTCTAATCAACTGAGGATGCTTTGCTTTGTAATTGTTACAGCCTATTTGCCCCAAAATTGTAGTATAGCAGGGACAATAGCAAGGAGCAAAGAGACAAAACAACCGCTTAGGCTGTTCTTGAGAAGATGTGCTCAATAATCGCCTTGGCGCATAAAAAATAGTTGAAACATTTTACTATTTTCTGCCTTATTGTGGCAAAGGCAGGGGTAACAGAGAATGAATTGCGCGTTGCTTCGCGGCAACGTCGCACAGAAAAACTCAATGCGCGTTTTATGCTTTAACGGTGCGAGCACAGTCAGGTACGGCGTCTCCGAAAGAAAGCTCCGCCGAAGCTGGAGCTCGAGAGGGAGCTAAACACAAAGTATGTGTCCCCAGAAGTCTCAAATCTGAGCCTGCTATTCTGCGTCTCCTTACTTGCTCTGAAGTACGCGCTCAGGGTCTTCCCCCTCGCCTCCCACCAAATGTGCGAGCGTGCCAAACGCCAATGCGGCGCTCGTGCGACAGTTTACCGTTACAGGACTGCATTACAAAGAACTGCTATGAGCCGGCAACGTAACGCATTCTTAAAAAAAGGCATCCTTCCTCCTTGCCAGACGCACGTCTTTTTTCTTGGCATCCTCTTTCGAACAGATGCCACGAAAAAGGTGGGGGGGGGGGGGGGGGGCACGTGCCCTCTTTCAAACAGATGCCACAAAAAAGGGGGGCACTTGCCCTCTTTCGAATAGATGCTGTGAAAGGAGGGCGGGCACTTGCCCTCTTTCGAACAGATGCCGCGAAAGGAGGGGGGGCACTTGCCGTCCTGTGGGGCAGCTTGTTCCGGCGGAGAATGCGGTGCAGCTCATTGAGGGCGTCCACCCACTTGACCTTCTCGCTCTCCTTGTCCACCATCATCAGCGTCTGGCTGCGCAGCCCGGGGGGATCCATCATGGACGTCGACACCTGGAGGCAATGCAAGGTTAATCGAGGCCAGGCGGACCCGCGGGGGCGGCACTCACTCGAAAGATGCACGGGATGTCCTTCCGGTTGGCGTGGATCACGTCCGACTCGAGCACGGAGGTGACCGAGAATTCCTCGTCCCTGGGAAACACGGCGGCGCGAGTAAAGCTTCCCGTCGGGTATGCCTTGCACGAAAAAAGTCTAGCGCAATGAGTCTCCCCAAGCTCGTCTCACGAGGTAAAGTTCCCGAGTCAGCTCTCTGCAAACTTCTCCCCAGATTGTGCCTCGAAGAGCAACTCTGGTAAATATTTTAAAATTTGGGATTACGACTGCTTTCGGCTCGCTCGGTGCCCCTGAATTACGAGGTATATTTTTTTCCTCCATATTGCGCATAGTTTTGTAAATATTGTGGCTCAATGTTTCGTTTTGAGTGCCTACAAAAACCAGAATTATGTGCCAGAGGATTATAGACACACCGATCATCCCCTGCACGGCAACGACGTCACGTTGATGCTGCGGTATGCGGTACGACGTGCAGCCGACCTAGCCAAGCTGTCAATTTCGAGAAGTGTAATGTATGCTGCTTCTCTTTTAGCCTTTTGCATCGTACATACAAAGCATATGTAGGACAGATCAGTGCGTATTAACACAATCGCGTTTAGGAGCTCGTGTCGCAGAAAATCCGGCATTCTCGTCGGTGAGACCATAAAACCACAGCGCAATTGCATTGCAAGTTGCATTATAAAATTCACCAGCCAAATTTATTGAAAAATTCTCCCGAGAAATTTACCGGGTCAATAAGGTCACGACGTCACAGCCACATGTGACGTCATGCGACATCTGATGGTACCAACTAGACCATGCACACACGCTTGCACGGCTTGGCAACGAGCATACATTTATATGAAAAGGCTTTGCGATTGGGATTGTTTTCCGTAAAGCTAGCGGCTTTACGGAAAACGGTAAGGCTTTGCGAACGGGATTGTTTTTCGTAAAGCTAGCAGGATGTTCACGAGAAGCTTGGCAAGAATTTTGGTGATGTGTGCATCATTTCTTGGGACTTAGCATCATACATGCTCAAGCTGCACAGGGACATCCAACTGTTCCATGCAGACTTCATGGCACCGCACTTCAAAAACCTGCCCCATCTCCTGAACATCACGCTCGCCGAGGAAATAAGACAGGTTGAGTTCAACGTTGTACAAGATTTTGTCATCCACTTCTCTGCCCTCCTGAAGAGTGCGAGAGCCACAGCGTAAGTTTGAAATTCTTTGTCCCTCTGTAAATCTTGAACCAAAGTGTCTGTCCACGGTTAGCCCTTCATGGTCGTTTTTCGTTTACAAGGCACTCACTGATGTTTTGCCTTACAGGCGCCCAATTCTATCTTTTCTGCAGAGTAATGACACAGTTGGTCAGAAGTGCAAGAGGCTGAATGTGCTTGTCTCAACTCCAGAGTCCTAGCAAGAACTTCCTATTAAAATAACTTTCAACCAGGATACTTTGAGCTCACTACTTAGAGGGAAACTAAAGCGAAAGCGGCTCTGTATTTGCGAAAAAAAAAACACTTTAATGGCCTTCATTCGGCCTCCGGGATCACGAATATCAAGATTATTTTTCAATTTGGTGCACGGAGGTTGCAGAAATTAATTTTTAAAGTAGCGCCGAAGCCCCTCCTTCCCGAGAAGTGACGTCAGATTAGGAGTTTTCAGAATCTCTGCTCTTGCGTTTACATTCGCAATTTTTTCCCCGATAATCACAGTTTCTAGCATCTGCACGAGAGAATTCACTGAAAAGCACCGGTATTCTAGAAATAAATAAACACCGATAAACATCCACCGATTTTTGTCATAAATAAACACCGGAAAGTATACGCCCTACAGTTTGCACGGTGGAGAAGTTAGTTATATCGCTAGGTTCATTTAAATGCGGACAACCTATGGTGGATGCTCTTGCATGTTGCATGTTCATCCTCCGCTCAAGGGATGCTACCTTCTAGGGCCATTCATGACGCTAGCATTTAGCGCATTCATGCAGTGGTGCAGTGCAGAACAGCACAGCGTGACTGCATAGTTTATGCTAAGGAGCACTACTACGTATACAAGGAAGGATACACTGGAAGCTAACAAAAACTGCTAAAACGAAAAACAAAAAGATAAAAACATGGGAAGCAGCTTTAGACACTACTTTACAAAACAAACAAAAAGGCATAGGGAAGCACCGATGCTACGTCATCGCCCAGTGTTCCTCGAATAACAGCTAACCCGCTGTCCGCCCGCTAAAAAGCAGCTGGCCGTATCTTCAATATTGGCCTTAGCGGGGTACACGGCTATTTCGGCTGCGAGCATACTTCGTGACACTAAACCGATATCAGTCATTTATATTAGTTACATTTTTGTCCGGAGTTGCCTTTTAAGAAAAAAATGAGCAGTGCCCAGCAATAGCTGCAGCACGTCACGGCGTAATCGTTGGGCGTCGGTGTTGCGTTCATCCACTGCAGGGTCTCGACGGCAAAGTCTCTCGGCTTTGTTCTCAGGAGCATGCACCTCGCCGTTCTCCGGCAAGACACGTCGGCGTCGGCGTTAGCATGCATTTCAGCGTCTCACAACAAGTGCAACGCCAAGACGCACGCATCTGTCGCTCTGAACCGTATTCTCGTCGAACTTCGGCACGTCTGCTGCTCGAGGCGGTTCGGGGATCCAGTAAGGACGACGTAATGTGCGGGCCTTGTCGTCTGGGCGGTATTGGACGGACGGATACTGCCAAACTTTTTTAAACGGGCAACGGCTGCTTGCACTGCATAGCCGAAGCCATCAATTATGGCGATAGCTGCTACGAGCTCTTCCCACCACCGAAAATGATGTTCGTCGTTGTTGCAGTCGTCCTCGTAGGGCGTAGGGCATCCGTTGTCGGCGTCGTCCAATGCCCAAGAAAGATTGCCCACCGCCACCGCGTTTTCAGAATTTCGACTTGGGTCCGCCATGTGAGAAGTGGGTGCATTACTGCGGAGCTACACCACAGTTTTGAGAATCCCCTTCATCGGCAATCGGTAAACGCAGCGCATACAAGACTCGCGTAGCGCCCGCCCGATGGCCACAGATGCTGCAACGTTGCGATAAAAAGTAATTTATCGTTCGTAATTGCAAATTTAATTGAACCTAATCGTCGAAATTAAAAGCTTCAGCTGGGAGGTGTAAGCCGCCACCCGATGAAAAGGGTTTGGCCGCATCCATCCATCTCTCCATCTGTCATTGTATTGTGCCATCTGCGACATCGCGTCACGCCACCTTACCCAATACCACGTAGAAGAAGAGGCCTTTCTTCCCAAACGTCACCGCTAGTGGATGCACGCGGCACCAATTCGCTCGCGTCAGCGATGCCACCTGCGCATCTCGCAGTGTCTTGCACGGAGTGCGACGCCAGCACACTGCAACGCAAAGACAGATGTGTCTGCCACTTAGTGGCCAATCTCGTCAAGCTTTGGTGCATTTGGTGCTTGGGGCGGGGATTTACTGACGATGACTTCATCGAGAGGCTTCATCATCCAGACTCCACAGTGCGTCAACGCGATGCCGATCCACTTCACCATGTCAATGACTGTACCGTACATTCACGTGCAACTCCTACTTTTTTTAACGACTAACTCGGATTAAATTTATAATTAATTAAGAATGACGAAGAAATTTCTATCGTGGCGTGTCAGCAAATGTGACCATTTAGTGAGAACGAATGCGAACGTGTGTGCTCCACAAAAGGTGGGTTGTCAAAGCTGTGCCGTAGATCTGCGCTAACGCGTCCACTTCGCACGCGGTGTGCCCCGGGATCACATCCCAAGCACTGCGGTGGCGGGCGTTCTTCTTTGGGCAATTGGCAATATCGACGATAAGCACCCTATGCCCTACTAAGACCGCTGTAATGACGACAACTACGACGACAGACGTCGTTTCCAGTGCTGGAAAGAACCCGTAAAAGCTATCGCCATAAAAAATGACTCTGAAAAAAGAACCCACTGTGTAAGCCTTACCCCAAACAGAAAAGCCTTGCTGGATGGGTCTCGCTATAAAACCTTTGTAAGACACGCTACCAGTAAACGCAGACTCGATTATCACTCGCATCATTTGTGGCATACGAAGCCATCTAGGCTTTCCTTCGCTTCCTCAAGGTCGGGCACTTATACTTCCTAGGCGTGTGGGAAAAAGTGAAGGAAGCGGGGGGGCGGACACCGACCTCATGTCGAGCACCTGGGAGGCAGACACTGCCGGCTGGACGTTCTTCTCCTGCAGCAGGTCGTACAGGAAGAGCTTGAAGTCGCAGACAGCCACAAACTGCCTCTGCCAGCCTTTCTTCACGCCGCCCAGTTTGGGCACCTGCACGGGCGAAGTCCAACCTCCATCATTCCATATCCGTTTATTTAAACTCCCGCACAACTCGTACGATTTCCCAGGTCCCGAAACATCTAACTGAGATACGACCAGATAGTATGAGTGCCCTGCAAGCATCTACCGGGTAATTTGATGATTCGGTTTCTCTGTCTCGCTTTGTATACACTACCGTATTTATTCAAATATAACCCAACACCTTTCTTCTTTTTCCGGTGTTGTTTTTATTAATTTTAAGGGTCGTTCTACAATTGTGACCAGAGAATTTCAACCTACGTTCGTGACCAATTTCTTGTCCCCACCGAGTGCATAGAGCTCACAAGTCACTGAGCTCCGACGCAACGGGGGAAGGGGGACGCGACGCACCCTGCCTCCTCCCTCCCTTCCATCCCTTTCCCCCTCGTGGACACGCAACAAAAAAAATATACTGAGGTTTCGCTTCATGCTGCCCACAACAATCCCCGGAATCTTCGAGTGACTTCCGGTCAGCTATTTGAGCGCCATCTCTTACTCGTTGGTATCCTATTAAAAACTTCCGGTTTATGCGTGAAAATTCATTTAATAAGATGAGACATATTATTGTTGCTGTTTACAGGTTTAAAAGCTTATCCTGCTAAGGTGAAACAAAGAAATCATGAGCCATTCCACTCTGTGACAGTGGATGAGCAGCGAAGCTGATTAGCACACGACACAGACCCGCCCCGAGGAGCCGGAAGAAATTAGACACGCTGGACGGGACCGCCACCCGGCAGAGAGTAGACACGCGCATTGGGACCGCCACCCCAGGAAAGTGGAAGGAAAGGAAACTAGGCACGCAAGTGCTTGGAACGACGACAAAGAGAGGGCGGTGCAAGCGTAGACATGGCCGACGCGGGTTGCACAGCGACAAATCTTTGAGAAACCTTTATTATTTACCTGAGTGCCTACTGATCTTAAAAATGGTGCCTATTGATAACTGATCTACTGAATATACATTTTGCTGAATTACCCAAGCATCAAGGAGAATGCAGGGAATGGTGTTCCACGTGGTGCACGTGCCAGCGTCTGCAGTGGCAACTGTTCTAAAGCAAAAGCCTAAAACAAATGGAATCTTGCACGCACGTTCGTCAATGCTTTATTTAGGCTATTTACTTCGAATCTTTTACACGGGGAAGGCGTGTGCGTGCGGTGCGTGCAGCGGTGCAAGCCTAGAGTTTTAGTCACTGCACACACGAAAAATCCACGGAACCCTAGCCATAAACAGCTTCGTTGTAAAAAAAAAAAAAAAAACACACTGTGTATTTTGAAAAACTGGTTGCTTTTCTCTTTCATTGATTTTCAGGGCAAGGAATGGTCTGTGTTAGGACTTGGTCAGTAATAACTGGGATATCTTCATTACTTGTTACAATTATAAACTCAAACGTTGGAAATATCATCAGTCTCATTAAAAGGCTGGGCTCATTGTAATGACTGGCAGTCATTGTTACCAGACATTGTTACCAACACGCTCTTCAGTTAATGTTGACCATTGTAATGCCTTGTGAAGCCCCTATTTTGGCTTGATTTGCTATTTTCTTTTAAACATCGAAAGATAGCCCACTCCTAATAATCATAGTGTTCGGATCAATGACAACATTGGCGTAAATGTGGCTAGTTAGCTGTGGCAGGACTTAAGCAAACATTGCTGAGTGGGAAGTAAAGTTATCTTTGCTTCATTGTTCCTCACCGCTATGACAAGTTTGGCGGGAAAACATTATCTAAAAAAAATGCTTTTTCAACTTTTTTCGATTTTACATAAAAAATGAGCCCACTCCTCATTTTCACCCAATTTGCTCTTGATTTTAGGTACACTATTTCTTGGAATATTACGGTAAGCTGATTTTAGCTATGCAAGACAAATTCAGCTTTAGGTCTCTCTAAGACCTACAACTCCATCAACCCAAGGGACAATTAACTGCACATTTCAAGCTCCCGTCAAGTGACTGCGTCTGCAGTAGGCCTTCCGTATACTAAGCTGCATGAAATGCAACGTTGTGAGAAACTCGCCTTGACATATCCTTCGTAGGCTGTTCCCACGCCTCTTGTTGGGTCGATTCCAACCGGCCTTTTTGCTGAAATGCAAACATTGCACATAAACCAGCCCCCCTTGCAGGAAGCCTTTCCCCAATTCTATCCTATCTCTGTAGACGCCCTTTAACGTACAGGCGGCAGTCTGAAAGAAGGTCTGCTCACTCTGATCCATTGGCACTGGACACACGGCAGGCACCTTGTCTTGACACGTGACGTGGCAGGCAAAGCCACACACTGCAAGCCAGGAAAGGGAGCACCCGTTTGTTTCAGGCTCACGATACAGAAAGTCTTTGGCTAGCTATTTCTGCAACTGCCCCAAACTAAAGCTACCCAAACAAACTAAACTACCATGAAATGGCAAAAGAGACATCAGAAATTGTTAGACATCGAGATTAGGAGCAGGCAGCTTCTTGCGCGTTTCTGCACAACTTGTAAACTCAAATTGACTGCACCACAGATAGAGGTTTATCGCAAGTTTCCTTAACAGTGAAGTTGTGATAAGTTGTATGAAATTAGCAAAAGTTGGTAGAAAGAAGTTCAAGACATTACAGTCAAACCCACTTACTACGGACCTGAATGTAGCGAAATAATGAATATAACAAACTGGCGTATGTTTCACGCTCCCGTTTGTATGCCTTGAATGCGATTTGAGCCCCCTTTTAATAACGACAGTGGCCATTCAATCGGCTTAGGCTAATACGCTGCATGACAATGACGCTCCATGTACCTAATAAAAATAAATATTTTGCAGAGCTTATGGCGCACCGTGAATTCACGAGGGCGCCCATCAAACCATTCGGCCAATCTTGGCCGCGACACGATCACATGGTCGTGTTGCCGCGGGGTCGATCGGGATCTCGAATTCGGCTCCCGACGCGCCGCTTTCTCTCCTAGCCACTGGAGGGCGCTGCAGGCGCCCCCGTGGCAGGCGAGGAGAAACCTCCTCGCCCATCGATAGATATACTCGGTGGGGCAGGGGGCGAGAGGCCGCTAAGAACTCCGGACGCGACCGAGACGCAGGCACTGGCAGGCAAGTGGGTGGCGCTGGCGACCGGATCTAGGATATCGCGGGACGCGAGGCCTAAGGGCCTCCTTTGTGTTTAGCTTTAGCCTGAACGTGCATTTGTAAATAATTGTGTAATGTAGCTTGTATTTGTAGTTTAGATTGAGTGTTTTGTAGTGTTGTGTTTTATTGTACGAATAAACGGGGAGCGGAATCCCGCTCCCGTGAAAGAACCAGGCTGGACTCGGTTCGTTGACGGACCATTTGTAGGAAATCGCGTACCGCCGCCGATTCGCCATTTCCCAAGTGGGTGGCGCTGGCGACCGGATCTATCCTGGAGGGTGCCTCGGAACCCTCAGTGTTTGTTTTTCTTGTTTTTGCTTTGAATGTTTTTTTGTTTTTTTTTTTGTGTGCGGCGTCGCTGTTGGTGTTGGGGTACTGCTCCCTCGCTGGGCGCACGCCTTGGACTTTTCCCATCTTGTGCGTCATCGCCCCTGCGGCTGCTGCTTCGAGACGCAACTTGGTGTGCACCGAATGGTCCTCTCTGGGAGGGATGAAAGGAGGAGTCGCCGTTTGGACAAACACCAGCTTGGGCTGAGCTCCTCGTCTTCTGGCAGCGTATTCCCCGGCAGGAACCACAGCTCGGGGAGCCTTGTGGGATGTCCGCGACGCCACGCAGGACGCCGGGGTGCAGTTCTCAGTGACACTGGACTTCCAGCCCCGCATCGTTCCGGGAGGGCGGTCGCAGCTGGGTCGCAACCACAGTCCCTCTCCGGTGCACCACTCTGTGGAGGGGCCAGTCTCATGGTGGCCAGGCACTCTGCTCAAGGACCCCGTTGCCCCGGAGGCCGCCGCCAAGCCGAAGTCGACACAGCCTACTGTGAGGTGTGTGGTGGCCGCGCACCCCAGGTCTCGGGCGAACTGATGGACCTCAGTGAGGACGACCTATGGGACCAGCGGTGTGTGTGTGCGTGTGGGGGTCTCCAGGCCAAACCAAGCGACGGTGTTCCCAGCAGCCTAGCCGTACGTCTGAATTCCGGCGTACTTCGATTTTTAGGAGAGGGGAGTATGGCGCACCGTGAATTCACGAGGGCGCCCATCAAACCATTCGGCCAATCTTGGCCGCGACACGATCACATGGTCGTGTTGCCGCGGGGTCGATCGGGATCTCGAATTCGGCTCCCGACGCGCCGCTTTCTCTCCTAGCCACTGGAGGGCGCTGCAGGCGCCCCCGTGGCAGGCGAGGAGAAACCTCCTCGCCCATCGATAGATATACTCGGTGGGGCAGGGGGCGAGAGGCCGCTAAGAACTCCGGACGCGACCGAGACGCAGGCACTGGCAGGCAAGTGGGTGGCGCTGGCGACCGGATCTAGGATATCGCGGGACGCGAGGCCTAAGGGCCTCCTTTGTGTTTAGCTTTAGCCTGAACGTGCATTTGTAAATAATTGTGTAATGTAGCTTGTATTTGTAGTTTAGATTGAGTGTTTTGTAGTGTTGTGTTTTATTGTACGAATAAACGGGGAGCGGAATCCCGCTCCCGTGAAAGAACCAGGCTGGACTCGGTTCGTTGACGGACCACGTGGGAAATGGCGAATCGGCGGCGGTACGCGATTTCCTACAAGCTCAAACATGAGAAATCTTAGATACAGTGAACATGCCTCTGATTCCCATTGACTTTGTTATAACCAGGTTCGCCTGTGCCACACTAGTGGCAGAAATATAGATCTAAGCATTCTAGATATTAAAGGCAGGAGTTGGGTTTTGAGACTAGCTTCTTAAGTACAAGAGTTAGGAACAATAAAATTTACATCTGCTTTTGACTTTGTTAAGAAGGTCAACTGTACAAAGTTTGAAGCTTTCCTGATCATTAGCTTGTGAGTTAAAAGATTTTGCATGTTGATGATTTGTGCAAGCCCCTCAGACCTAATAACACACTGTATAATTACAGAACTTCACATATAATGCCCCAAGACATACCTCCAGGGGGTGAAATTACTGGATTATTTTTTAGTTTCATCAAAAACAGTTTTTACACCGAACGATTTTGTGCTACCTAGTACTTAATTTTCAAAAAAGCTATATGTCACTGTCGCAAAGGCTACAGGTCAGATATTGATAACCTAATAGTTTCACCACCTGCATTTGTTATTTAAGAATATAATACAGCAAGCAGAAGTGAAATCAGATTAATAGTTTTCAAGATATTTCCTGCATAAGCAAGTCAGATGACCACAAAACATGTTTTGAGAAAATCGAAAAAGAAGTTAAAAGGTAGCGGCCTAGCCTCATATCATGAAGCACTGCCTTAAAAGAGCCTACCATCGATGTCCAGGAGACATTTTTGTATGAAGAAACACTATAAAAGTAATTTAACAAAACCAAAACAAAAAAAGCTTGAACAGATTTGGTTTTGGAGTAACCTCGGCCACTGAAAATCAGCGACAGTTCCTCATCGCATGAACAAACGAGAACAGAAAAGAGACAAGTCATTATTAAATCTTTTTGACAGCTCCAAAAACATCTTGACATACCCCTCAAAAAAAAAAAAAAAAAAATGTGATTTTTTTTTTTTAATTTGAAAAATATTATTTTAATGTTTATTAATATATTTTTTAATTGGACCTAAAATGAAGAATGAAGAAATGATTTTTGATTTGAAGGAAAGGAAAATAACAAAAAGCTATTAGAAAATGTGTATCAACAGTCCCTGTCGGGCATTTGCCAGTTGTGAAATCCTGATATGTGGTCGCTAAGGCCACATACAGAGTGTGCTTCATTTGACCACAGCAGAAGTTCTTTTTTATTACCTCTTTGCATAACATCGCATGTTTCAGGGCAAAGTGTGAAAACGGGCAAGTTTCTATTCTAATTGATAGGGTTGCACATAGGACGCCAATCTACAGGGTGTCTCAAATAGCGGCCAGGCTCTTTAAATCAATTGCAAAGATTGGTTTATTAGCCGATCCTGCTACGATTTTGTGCAGCGTTGCCCACAGGTGGCGCTTTTTACAAATTTAATATAAAAAAAAATTGTGAAAAGCAAACTTGCTTGGGGAAACACTAAAAAAAGATAAAGGCTTAACTCTTATCGAAATGCAAAAAGCCACCCGTTTTCAAATACAGTATAGACTACTTACAACGTAACCGCTTATAGTGCAGGACCGTGTATAACGCGGTTTTTTTAAACTACCGGTTCGCCTCCCATAGAACTCCATGTATTTACATACCGCTTAAAATGCAGGCGCGCGAAGGGAAATACCGGTTATAGTGCGGTTTTTGGCACAGCCCGCCGACCGCGCCGACGACCGGAGCAGCGAGCACGCTTCCCTGTGCGACACTAGATAACGGCGCTGACGGCGCGGGGCGAGGACGTTGCTCGAAGAAGTGGAGAGAAGCGAAGAGAGAGGCTTCAGTTGCCATAGCGACGGAGGGACGCATGCGTCGTTCACGTGCATGCGTCCATAGAGTTATTATAATAAATGCTAGAGGCTCAGCTGGCGCTAGTGTCTATGGGACTTCCGGTTGCAAATTGAAGCAGACAGCATGCAGTCTACTTTTCCAGTCGTCCTGTGCATTCCTATGGGAAAACGCGCGTGAATTTTGTCTCGTCGTTGGAAAATAACATTAATAACTTTTGTTATTTCGGTTGTACCGGATAGTATGTACCCTTATTAATATTGTGAAAGTGTAATTGCTTTAGTTACAGCATTTTCCTTTACCACTGAACTAGTTAAACTTCGCTATATTTCAGGCGCAAACCTCTGTTTCACGGCAGGTATGTAGAAACGAGCGAAGATTCCAAGCAAAATAACAATCGAAAGGAATGTAGAGCGTGTTCAAAGTGCGCCAGCATTCCGTTGGTGCTTGTATATTGCTATTATGCCTGTCCTCTCACTATATAAAAATTCCCCCACCGTGCATCTTTACGAGTGGTTAAAAAAACGTCCGAAACGTAAAGAATAAAGTACGTTGGGCAGTTTTTATCGCGCACCTGTTCCCTGGCTTCCCCCTATTTGCAAAGATTTGGAGCGTGCGGGTGATGATTTGAACACAGAACAAGCATCTTCGCATGTATTCATGAGCAGAAAGAATAAAGCAGTACTTATTTATTGCAAATCGGACTATATTACGTGACTTTCAATTTATTTTGATCGTCTGCAAGCACAAGGAGTTACTTATACAGTGTTACTGCGTAGTTCTTGCCGTCTCTCTTGGTTTTCCACATGTCCTTCGTTCGTTTGGCACGTATACCCCCATGCTGGAAAGCGCCGGCGCCGTGTTCGCGCTAACAGTGTCCGACAGTGCACATAAATACGGGTACGAAGCGGCTTTAGCACCGTTTTTCATGCCACGATTTTAAAATAAAAACGCCGTAACTGACCAATTATTTCATCTGCGTGTCTGGGAAATGTTCCAATGTGCCTAGTAGGTACGAATTATTCGTGATATTTGCTCTTAAAATCGAGCGCAGGAAGGAAATGCACTCGCTTTTTTCCGTAGAAATGCATTACCGGAAGTCGATTTCGGACTGCTTGTTGTCTGCTTCAATTTGCAACAGCACACTAGCGCCAGTTGAACCTCTAGCGTACATTTTAATAACTCTATGCATGCGTCCCTCCGCCCCTCCGCTGCGTTGGAAACAAAGAAACAAACAACCGCACCGACAGACCAATAGCAGATCGAGGAGAAGTGTTCGCGCGCGTTGCATGCCGGTCACGGGCCGGCTGCTTCTATCCGCAAACATGGCATCGGTTGTGATCGTCGTCATAGACGGCGTTCATCTCATCGTTCTGCGTAAAAGCGCTATCCTTGACTGTGAATTTTCGTTGTGTGTCGTTATGATAACCCAGCACGTACTAGAAGGGAAGATCCACCTACTCGTGCGGCGATGTCGTGGCGGCGCTCTCAAGACGGCAGAAACGCTCGTGTCGTCGTGTTTGTTTACTTCGACTACAGTGGTGATTTCTAAGCATTTGTGTCCTCGAACATCGCCCGGATTTCTTATTTGGCGCATTTCATGGGTGTGCTCAAGTTCAAGGTATTACTGGCGCGTACCGTACGAAGGATGCAAATTTTCACGTGTTTTCATCTCCGGAGAAAAGTGATTAGGGTTAGCAATCCTGAACGCTCGCAACGTCCGTCCGCAACCCGCGACGCCGTTAAAAGGCCGCGCCATGCAGAAGCCGCTAATTCCTTTCAAAATGTGTGACACACTTGAGACAGAACTGTACTAGTCTGGTGAAATAAAGACTTTCCTCAAACTAAGCTTTATTTTTCATCTAAGATAAAATAAATTCTTTTACAAAGGTAAGTTGTCTCATGGCATGTATTTTGGCCTGAAAAATTGATGTTTTGGTTATAGCACGGTACCGCTTATAGTGCGGATTTTCGCGACTCCCGCGACATACGTTATATGCGGTCTACACTGTAATAGGGCGCCGTTTGACACGGGAGAGAAGAGAAGGTGCAATCAGACGTGACGCCAACTGCCGCCAACGAACGAGCATGCGGCGCCGAGAACCCGCATCATTAGCAGACAATCTTTTCAACTCAAAAGCGGCACGCGTTCCGCAGGCGGCGACAGTTGCAGAACCGAAAACAGGTGCAGAAATAACAAGGAAATGCACAGCAGACGATATAAGTACACCCCAAAAGATAGTCAAAATAACCCGACAAAATGTTTTTTAACCGATTATGTGCCCAATGTGGTTTATTAGTGAAGTTGATAAAATCATGCATTGTCCGCTACTTGACGCCGGCTCTTGGTGCAGCATGCTCGTTCGTTGGCAGCAATTGGCGTTGCGACCGCTTGTCTACCATGCCAAACGGCGCCACATTGTTTGAAGACCAATGGCTTCGCTGCGTTTCCATAGGAGTTAAGCCTTTTTGTTGTTTTTTACTTTTTCCTCAGGTAAGTTCGCTATTTGCAAATTTTATTGAAAAAAAGCACAACCTGTGTTGGCAACGCTGCACAAAATCGTAGCACAATAGGATAAGAAACCGATGTTTGCAGTCGATTTAAAGAGCCTGGCCGCTATTTGAGACACCCTGTAGATGGCTGTAGCTCAGCTGCTTTCAAAATATATTTTTAGTATTTACAATATTTGGACAGAAAGCTCCAACTAGCGACGGAAAAATCACCGAGAACAAGGCATGCAAAAGTACTTTGCTAGCGAGCAGCAGCTTTACACCGGCGCGAGCAGACGACACGTGAGGCGGAAAGGAAGCGGGCAGGGAGGAAAGCACACGAGGAGGCTCACTCATTGCCCGGGAAACCGAACGCACAACCAGTGGGAACACGTGCTCAGATCTTGCATTCGATGGAGCCATTGAGCATGAGTGCAGCAAATTCTGGATTTCTACATTTTGTGCAGCTTCCGAAGGCGCTACACAAATGTCATCATCGCCATTCGAGAGCGCAGAAAATGGCCTTTTGAATGTGCCCAAGATCGCCGTGCTCAAGCACATTAGAGCACGTTGATCTCCCCAAAAGCCACTGAAAACGCAACAAAAAACGAGAAAATTTAAAGAATTTTTGGCGTTTTCTGTTGAGTTTTTGGCGGTTTTCGGGACACAACTATTAATTCGTCGCTTATTTTGCTTCAATTAGGAACCCAGTAAAGAGAAGAAATTTTACTGGTTGGTTCATTATAACAAAAAGAAGAGAAAAAAAAAAATAGTTTCATAAACTGAAACTTTTTTTGTTGTTTCCGCTTTTGTAATTTGCGTGCCCCATTAAACGAGGTAAGCAACCAAGTTCTCTGTGAATGAAGATGGCCGCCCTCACCCTCGCACACAGCCCCTTGCCGGATGAGGCCCACCATGAGGGAGGTGCAGTGGTTGCACTTGAGGGGCGCCACAAACGTCCGCACCAGGAACTGGTGCGCCTTGGGCTGGAGGGAGAGGGAGGAGCGCACGGCGTCAGAACACTGCCACGACCGTATCACAAACAGCAGCTTCCAGAGGCTCGCTTCGGCTGCAGAAAGAACATTGCCCCGCCGAGCGTGGCACTCTCTCCGCATCTTGCACCAGACTATAGTCCGTTGCAACCTAAGAACGAAGGGCGAGGGTAAGACGGGCCGGGGAGGAGGAAGCAGATTGAACGCTGGAGAAGAGAGGGGGAAACCTCCTTTTCTCTTTAGCCTTCCGTCTGCTTCCTTCTCCCCGGCCCGTCTTAGCCTCGCCCTTCGTTCTTAGGTTGTAACGGACTATAGGTGTGCACAAGTGCAATCCACTTGTGGGGATACTACATATGACAAGGTGTTGCCTGTAACGACGAGTTTCAATGAAATTGTCAATTTTCCGTGTTAGGGTTTCATCAGCATATTCAAAGGATCGCGATCGAGTCACTCGGAAAATATTTCTCGTGAAAAGCGGGTGAAGCATATAATGAAACATTTAAAAAAAAACTTTCAGCCTTTACACTCTGGTGAAGAAGAAAGACCACCGAAGCTGTACTATGGTGAGAATGAAGTAATGGCCGGCCGCAAGTTGGCAAGCCAGAGAGGAAAGGCTGGAGAGGTTGCCGCCATCGCTCATAGATGGCGGTAGCTGTCCAGAGTTCTGTGTCATCATTTGTTTGCTGACGGACACAATCCTGGGGAAACTCGCCCTTAACAGCTCCGCTGTAAAAAAAATCCTGAGCCATTCCACACTGTGATGGTGGATGACCAGCGAAGCTGTTCAGCTTCGCTGGTCCGCCACTCGAGACGGTACCGCCACTCGGCAGATAGTAGACACACGCATGGGACCCCCACCCCGGGAGAGCAGAAGGAAAGGACACTAGGCACGCAAGTGCTTGGAACAACGACAAACAGAGGGCGGTGCAAGTGTAGACATGGCCGACGTAGGTTGCACAGCGACAAATCTTTGAGAAACTTTTATTATCTACCTGAAAGCCTACCGATCTTGAAAATGGTGCCTATTGATTACTACTCTACTTAAAAGACCAATTGCTAAATTAACCAAGCATCAAGGAGAACGCAGGGAATGGTGTTCCATGCACCACACGCGCCAACGTCTGCAGCGGTAACAGTTCTAAAGCAAAAGCTTAAAACAAATGGCATCTTGCATCTGTGTTCGTCAATGCTTTATTATGGGTATTTACTTTGAATCTTTTATATGAGTGCGGCAGTGCAAGCGTAGAGTTTTTAGTCACTACACATGAAAAATCCACGGAACCCTAACCACAAACAGCTTTGCTATAAAAGAGATTCACGTCGAAGTTGTTTAGGACGGACACACATGAAATTCTCTGCAACTAGTCGCTGCATGCGCATTATAAGACAAGATCTTTCGTCGTTGCTGGAGCACTATCTGTTGTCAGATTTCAAAGGTGGCACTAGAAAAACGTCAACAACTTTAAGCAGTCTCGGTGCAGGCAAAACTAAGTGCACTGAAAGGTTAGCAGCAAGGTTTCAAAGTAGGGAGACTAGTCCAAAAGTATGGGCTCTCCTCTCTGCACCGTCGTTGACGCTGCCATTAATAACGGCGGTCACGGTGGCAACAACACTGACGACAAAAGCAAAAAATATGACAATATCGCTGATGATGGTTTGCCTACAACGTCTCTTCGAGGTAATTTTCCTGCAATTTAGTTCCTGGCTGATTTCGTGCTTGGGAAAAGATTGCAGCTAGCATAAATGCATCGACTGGACACAATGCAAACTAAAATTATCCAGATTCCACTTCCGCGTAAAAAGTTTAAATTTCCTTCATGTTTTCACTTTTGAAAACTTGAATTAAGGAATGTTTATTTCAAAGCAGATATTTTATGACACCATACAGTCGTGTTGCTAAGTAACGTGCTGTATCTTGCTGCATGGCGGCATATTTGGGGCGCTTTTAAAAGAGTGTCCAGATGAGGCACAACCTGGTTACAACGATACAAGCTTCCTGGATCACTCAATATTGTTACGAGTGGATTGCATTGCCCAGCAAAACCCCGAGAACAAGAGGAAGAGTTACCTTGGGCGTGAGAACCGTGATTGTGGGACGCGCGTCGCTAATCGGGGAGGAGATTTTGATTCCTCGCCGTTCCTACACAGAAACGAGAAACGTCAGTAAAAAAATGCAGCAACTTCATTAAAAAGTGCACATCAAACTTTTTGTGGTCACTATCGCAACCCCAAATAAGACACAGACTCAGACACAGCTTTAAAAAGTGATTCACGCTACACTTCATTTACCAATAAGCTGACAGGTGGCAGAAGCTACGAGCTCTAGGTCCAGTCAACCGTCTGTTTTGCATCACGGGATCACAATATCCGCAGAAGCGCACAGACAGAGGCATAGTGTGATAAAAGGGAGGTGATTGATTGGGCAGGCAGCATCCATTGCCCTGCCAGCTGAGTTGTGAATAAAGGATAGATAAGCTCGTGCTCACTCGAGGCACCTTTCTGAGCTACAAGTTCTTCTGCGATATTAATGCACGTTAATGACCCTTTCGTGCGGAACTCGCCTTCCTTTCGTCAAAAGTAGCAATATTTGCTACATTATTAAGAATTATAAGCTTTCCCTGTCCACTAAAACATTGTACACAAAGAAAAAAAAATTAAATGGAGGATTTCTTGGAGGCCACAAAGGGCTGTTCTTTTGACCGAAGTATAAGTTGGAGGTGAGGACCGACGCTCATTCCATCTTCCTCTTTGGGTCAGAGGACGTAAATATGCGATGGATGGATTCTTTCTGTTGGCAGCAGATGCATACTTGTGTCTGTAGGCTATACACACACATTAAAAAGAGACCAAAAGAAAAAAGATCTCTGCAAAAAAAATTGATTTTAAAAATGCCATATTTACATCCACCGGCGCCAGAGTATTCCCAGAAAGTTTCATTTGTTTACGTGGCATAGTTATTTTTCTATATATATTATTATTGGTCCACCCTTGCTAAAGGAAATGTAGAGGTTCAAGCCCTTCGAATGAATTCTCCTCTGTTGCACTTTTTCCATAAATTTCAATTTAGGAAAACTATCGTTTAATAATGGGACAAAAGAAAAGGCTCATTAATTTTTTTTCCTAATTGGAATTTAATGGGTGATGCAACAGTGGCATTGTTTTTTTACATTGCCAATGTCTTTTATAAAAGATGTTAATATTTTGTCAACAACATAAAAGGCACAAGATTTGTTCGACTTTTTTGCACAATGTTAGCTTGTGCCAGGAGCAGCGCCTGATGCAAGGCAGCGTCTGGGTTAGCTCAATGATGTCTCAAATGTTCCTCACTCTTAAGGGTTAACACTTTAGCGTTGCAATTGCGGATTTGAGCCTCCATTTCAAATGAAGGCTCAAAAAAAAAAAAGCTTCCCAGTATTTGAATACGCATGGATATTTTCTGTGGGTCTGAAGGTTCATGCGGAATGAATTGCCACGCGAGAGTTGCTCCCTGCATTATCTATGGCCCCAAAAGCGTATTTGGAAGTAGTTCTTTCCCAGTTGATACTTCCCTTTTAATTTCAGTCCCCCATTAAATGAATTACGGTTGTACTGTTTAAACAAATTTCCCGCTGCTTCCAAGTGGCGCACCTCGGTGGAGGTGCTGGACCTGACGATGGGTGGCGGCGGCACCTGGTTTTCCATCTCGGACTCCGTCGTGTCGTTGGCAACGGCTTCTCCGGCGGACTCCCCGCTTTCACTGTGATTGAGTCGCGAGGTGTCCTTGAGGAACTGGTCGAGGAAAGACATCTGCGAAGACGGCCGCTCCAGGACTGCCAGGGCGTCAAAGAAAAGGAAACAATAAATCAATCCATCTTTCATCAAGAAGCATCATTGCAGCCCTTCTGCCTCCGACTGACTTTCTGTCACAGTCAGAAGCGGCAGAACCTGAGAAAATCAACTTGCTATGAAATACTGAGTGAGCGCCCACTCAAAATTTGGATAGGGTAAAACTGGGGATGGGTGCTTCCTAGGTCAAGAATATGTGAAGATATGTCCTTTGTGTATTTTCTGAATGTCGTAAAATTGAGAGGCAAGTGCTTATTGTGGAATGGGCGGATGCTCGGTATTTTACGGTATGTGAAAAACAAATCGGTATTACATCAGCATCATTATAACTTACATGCAGTACCTTAATTTCTTGAGCCAGCCTTACAAGCTACTGCAACTTAGCTTTACCATAATATTCTAACTATTGCATACAGAAGTACAAATAATTTACCCCCGTATCACAAAAAGAATCAATGTAATGAAAATTTTACTACCGTAATATCCCGAGTCATCGCCCATCCCCGAGCCATCGCCCACCCCATTTTCTGGGCCAATATCGATTTCCGAAAAAACACAGAGTCATCGCCCACCCCTTCAAATACCCCAGCGCGGACTCTGCGATCCGCGAACACTCATCTTACCCGAATGACACGGCCGCGGACCTTACAGATGGAGGACGTCCGTGACAAAGTAAAACGAAGGAGGGAAAGACACTTCTTTTTGTTCACGCATTTCCTCCATGAGCGACCCCAAAGTGGTCGTGTATCCGTGCGAAAAGAAAACGATGGAGATAACAAAATAAGAGTTTGTTAATGTAACCGCGGAGTGTTAGGTCAAAGTCCGTCTCCGCCGAAGTAAGGTCACCGCGAACCCGCTCCTTCTTCCCGCCCGTCGCGACAGCGGTTGTGCAATTATTTAGGCAAAGCCAACGCGTAAATAAAGCTTTGCTGGAACTCCCTACACAGACGTTTGCAGAGCGTCCCAACCGTGCATTGATAGCCCGCCGTGCACGGACGCACGTATGTACGCACCAAACAAGAAAGTTGCGTGAGAGCTTGCAATTGACAAGGCGCCCGACTTGGCCCGATGCCAAAGTATTTGCCAACGCGACCGCCGACTTTCCCGCTTTCCCAGCATTGCTCTTGGTCGCTTCTTTGGTCCGCTCGCTCGCTCGCTCGTTGCGCCTGGTCGGTTTTTCTATTTTCTTGTAGAGTTCTTTCTTTTCTTTTTTTACTAGCTAGGAGAACATAGTGGTGACATTCGTTCACGGAACAAACGTTCGCGCTTTATGCAGATCGGCGGTGTTTCTAGCGCGTATGCAAGCAACGGACTTCGCTATAGTAAAATGCTCTTTCGTGAGCATTTTTTTCTATAAAACAATGAAACTAAATCGAGTTTTGAGTTTGATGTATCGCTTGTGCATCAGCGCTAGATACGCAGAAGAAATTAGGCGGTTTTTTCCGCTTTTTTTCAACTGTTTGTGCTCGCCCACCGAGACATGGCCCACCCCACTTTTTTAATGAATTTCAGGCGGTAGGGGGGTGGGCGATGACTCGGGATATTACGGTAGGCTTACATTTTATATATCTAATGACAGAACACAATTTTTAGCTATTAAACATTAATGTGCCTCAGCTGGCAGCGACTGCGATGCAAATATGAAAGTCTTACATATCAATACTTGGCTTTTGAAATTGCAGAAGCTTGTCTAATGAATGTCGACTCCCACCCAATGCATGGCATATTCAAACGTTAGGCCTGTTCTATGAGTCTACCCCATTGTCCTACCAAATTCTCTGGGAGCTTTTTTTTTTTTTTTTTACTTGACAACCAAGAGTTTTTAGAAGACAAAGTTATTTAACGAGCTGGTTAATGTTACGCGCGATTATAAACCGAAAACGAACGGATGACAAGGGGACAAGCACACATCTGTTTGTCCCATTGTTGTCTGTTCATCTCCGGTTTAGAATCATGTGCAAAAGACTACCTCAGTTTACGGAATTAGTTCTGTAAAGTTGGCAAATCCCCATCTAATTTAGAAAAATATGAAGGTACCTGAGACCACCCGCAGTGCAAAAATATTGCTGCATCAGTCTTGATGAGCGCGGTAGCCTTCGGGCTAAAATAAATATATTGTTGCAATCTGCGACTGACTGAGAAACGCGGAGCTTTATTCCCACACTCACGAGAAATGGGAAAAAAATGCACCACCATGTCCCTCCCGACTACTACGAACTACTTCTATTTTTGGTAACATCCCGGTTAAAATTTACAGAGAATCAGATATTTGATTTAATTCTGCGAGCTACTAGAATCTGGGAAGGCAACGTGGGCAATGTGGCACTCACATCCGTCACCTGTGGCTTCCAAGCGCTGCTGCAGGTCTCGGATCTGGGAGTCCTTCTTGGTAGACTCCTTCCGGAAGTGCTCAAACTCCTGCTGAATCTTGCGATGCTCCCTGCACATGCCCCTCCATAAGCTCGGACCAAGGCAGAGTGCAATATGCCGGGCTAAGACTAACGTCGAGTTCCATCCCCTGGTGACCTTACGTTGTTTTGATTATATGTTGACCTTTAATTTTTGACAACATTTGCGGAAAAAAAAAAGTAGACTTACATTCGAATAAATATGGCAATTATGACTCGCTGGCAATGGTCGTCTGCAAACTAATTATGTTGGACGAGGTACCACTCGCCGCGGATGGTTGCATGCTACTGCAGGCGACCGTCGGTGGCAAGCCATACCTATTTCGGTTGCTTGCGCTCTCGATCATCTCCTACTTGACGAGCCAGGTGAAAGTGTGGGACTGCGGATCCCATGGTCTGGGGTTCGATTCCTGCTGAGCTCCTTGATGTAGCTCTCTGGTTTCGACTGTGTTTTCCTAGTTATGATGACGCATGATTTGTTCCGCTTATTATGCCTGCTACGGGCTATGCATCCTTTATGTTGCCTCAGGCTTCGTGCAACACCTTTTCGTCACACTCAAGCTTTACAGTTTTCCATGAAACCAGCCTATAAACATTTAAAAAAAGCGGTGCTGTAAAACTAAATGTTTAACGCACCACCGGAAGTGATTCGGGGGTAGTTTTTTGATGCAGGCACCACATTCTTCCAGCTCACACAGGGCGGAGTAAATCGAGTGGAAGACAAGAGACCCTGAGGGCCAAAAGGGAGTGACTCACTTCTGCTGGGCAACGAGCTCTGCCCGCACCCGGCTCAGCTCCTCGCAGACCACCTGCTTGGCCTGGATCTCGCTCTGGAGGCTCGACTGCAGGGTGAGCAGCTCCATCTTTTCCAGCTTCTGGGACCGCCGGTTGCGCCAGTTCTTCTCCTGGGGGGGACGGGAGGGTGTCACAACCCACCCAGGAGACTGCCGACGGGCCAGTCATACGAGGGCACTTCACACAATTGACGCCCATCTTCCGCTTCTCTCAGATTCTGCCCCCGAATTCCGGAAGGCTTCCCATTCTTCCTGCCACTTCAAAGCACTCTAGCCACTGATAAGATGAGAACAACAGGCAGAAGCATCAGCTGTCCCACCTTCGCCGCAAAATTCTTACTTTTGGCAATGCCTTGGCACCTCGTGTATCTTGAGCACGTAAGCACACGACCAAAGCACAGCTGAAGGCATGGTGTGCGTGCTGGAGGCATTCAAAAGATGAACCTCGATGTTATCTCTGACACTGATACCCGCTTTTTGCCTAATTCGTAAATCTTTTTCTCGTTTTGCAAGCGTTCCCAGCCCCACTAGAGCTTCCCAGAGAGCCCAGGCCCCGGATGAGGGGGGCCTACCGCAGTGGGCGTGGGCAGTCCGCTCATCCTCAGGTAGTCCAGCTCCTCCGTCATCTTGGTGGCCAGGGCTTGCAGGTAGCCACGGGCATCCTTCTCGTCGCTCACCCTGTCCAAGGGGAACACAGGGTCAGATCTCGGGGCACCGTGTGCGGGCAGAGTCGGAGAAAAAGAGCGCGCGGTCTAAAAGCCAAAAAAGCAGGTGCACGAAAAGGTGGCGGTCGGACATCTCGAATTCGAGAAAGATAAACAGCTCCACGTTGTGTTTTTCTACATCTCTTTTCTTCCGTCAAAATCTCGAAAAAAATTGTGTATATTACTACCCAAAAAAGCTTAAGGCACGGTTACATACTTGACCTCATCGAGGGTCATTCCAAACAAAATCCACAATGTTTTGTTTCGTTTAGCGAACCATCTGTCACTAAACGCTCAAAGTAATTTGTTTCAAGAATTTACCTCGATACATAGAGAACAAGGCGTAGAAATTCTGCTCGAAATTAGGCGTCCTTTTCCCCACCCCAGCTATGTTCCGCGAGGCCCCAGGAAGGCAGCATGGCCTCCCTTCGTGCTTCCTGTATATCCCGCTCCCTTTGTCCCTCACATGCACGCAACCGAGGTACTCCCTGCCCAAAGGGATGAGCGAAGGAATAAAAAGAAACATACTCGCAGCACATGATCGAATGAACAGTGGGACGCGTCAGTTAGATTAGTATTGCCAAGGACTGCAGCTAACTGACGTAAGAGGCAAATTAAACGGGATTTCCAACATTCCTCCGCCATTAGAGGGAGTGAGGTAACAAAAGAAACTAACTACATACAACGGCTGTCCGCATGTGTCTCTTTTCATTAGCACCGCATAGGATTCGTAAGTATTAATTGTAAGAGCTTATTTCCATGCGTCGAGAGAGTGTTAATCCTTTTATGCGGGTCTCACAACTCGTACATTGGGTTTTACAGATTGCCTGTTCGGTGGCTCCCTCTCCAAAGCAGTTGACACATTTCCCCTTTAACTCGCAAAATTGAACGGAGATCATTACATTTTTAGCGAAAATAAAAGGCGGTGCTTTATACTGATTCACTACACCGCATCAAGTGGCAAATTATTCTATGGCGTGAAGCAAAGGGATCGATGGTTGTTTGAAGAGACAGCATAAATCGGCTTCTGAACAAATTGAGCTAATATTTCATTCAGAGGTGGCCAAAGAATGTGCAGTAAGATTATGAAAGTTTCACTCAACTAACTTATCCTAGTAAAAACCTGGAAATAAAAATCAAGCAGTCTGTGTTAATGCATAGTACAGTCATAGTAATAGCTGCAACACGTCTCGGCAAAGTCGCTGGCAATCGGCGTCACCTTTCTGAACAAAATAGACATCTGTTTTATTCCAGACACTTTTGTTTCTTATTTGTTCCGGAGCGTGTGAAAGTGCACCTCCCAGCACGAGCTTTTAGTATTGACAGTGCTACAACAACATTTTGTTATCTGCTAGCTTTTTTGTTTTCTTTTTTCGAAAAGCATGTTTTGTACTACAAAACCCCTAGGTTTAAAGCGGGTTGTTAACGCTGTGGCATAGTTCAGTGGTAACGCCTCTGCATTGCACGCAGCAGACCCAGGTTCGATTCCCATGGGCAGACGGTGATCTTTTTTGAGGATTTTGCCACATCGACGGACACCCTACATGCCAACTGCAACGACACTACTACTATGACATCAACAGCTACGACATCAACAACTACAACTACAACAATGGACGTCATATCCAGTGGTGGGAAGAGCCCCTTAACATCTATCACTTTAAATAAACTTTCCTACCTATGGCGTCCGTCTGCTAAAAAAAGGACGTCTGATTGGCTCAACCGCCAACAGATGAAGCCACATAAGATCGCAAGCAGCCACGACGGGCGCTTTTCTCAACCTCGTCAATCGCAGACGATGTTTCTGAGCCAGAAGCAATGCACTCTTTTTCTGCGGAAATTTTCAGTGCGCAATAATTTAGTCCATCAATAAAACATACAAATTAAGATAAAAGTAGAACAAACGAGGACACCTAAGCACTTCTTACGAGTTGTGAATGCACAAGCATGGATGTCATTCTTCCGCTCCCTTAGTTCGTCTGCGGTGAAGAGGCATGGACGGCCACGTTTCGCTACTGCCGAAGTTGCGGCTGCCGACGATATAGGCCGTGTTCCAAAATTTACTCGATCTTACTCCAGGGTAAGGGTCTTGTACCCTTGGCATTTTAAAACCTACTCGCGTCCAGCGTTTTTCGATCTGCGCTGTCAGGTGATACGATCCGCCGGAGTAACTCGGATCGATTTCGGCAAGATTTGGAACACAGCCATAGATGCCTCAGGCGCCGCCATGTTTCTGGGCGCTGAAAGGAGCAGAAACAGCTGCACACTTGCTCACGTACACACACTTGCACGGCTTGGGAACGAGCGGGGGTTTATATGAGAAGGCTTTGCAAATGGCGCCCGATACCGCTATCGCGTTCCACTGTTAAAGGCAAAGCTTAAGCATACTCCAAGTTTTTATAACTTTAATGCACGTTTTTTGGCCACCCGTGTACAAGACCTTGGCTCAATACGTTCAGAAATCTAAATATCTGGTTCTTTCACACAGCCAATGATCCCTTTGCTTCACGCTGTAGAATTTGATGAAAACTCCGCTGCATCCTGAGTGGGATCAATTGTAAGGGCGGCAGGTCATTCCGGCGGTTGAAGAGAGAGAAGGGCCTCACCACTGGATGATCTCGCTGATCTGTGCTTCCCACTGAGCGACGGACTCCTTCTTCTCCCGCAGCTGGCCCATCTCCTCTTCGAAGCACCTCCGCTCCTCGTGCAGTCTCCTCACAGTCTCCGCCAGCTGGAACAGGGCAGTCGGCGTTTGTATGCTCAGCACCGACAGTCAACTTACGGACCCAGGAAATTCTGGCAGTTTGTACGTGAAGCATGTTAAAGGGGCACTCAAATGCTTTTTGTAGAAGCTTATTTTTGATGGCATATCATTTGTTGGGGTTCAGTCAATAAAAATGATCAGTTCTAGATGGCAAGACGTCCTAGTTGACTCACTAGCAATAGAAACACCGGCACTGTTTTCTCTTCTTGGGGCATGCTTGGGTACGGGCCACCTCTATAAAATTGGACCAATGAAAATAGTTAATGGTGTGGAGATTACAAACGTTACTATTATAGCTCGTTTCAGGTGCGTTGTGGATTATATTTTTACAAAATGTCAAATCTTTCGGTCAGTGGCGCCAATAGGGTAAGCAGCACCCGGGGCAATGGCCCGCTGCGGCCCCTCCCCCCCCCCTTTTTTACTGCCCAGCTGCACTCCCTTTAGCACAGCACTGCACTCGCTGCCATTCATACCATCGATTTTCGGAGCGTGTACACATTTTCTCCAGACTGACCCATCACAATCTGCGTTACCACAGCCATTGCCACGCTAGTAAGGCAAAGGGAGAATATTTTTGTTTCTTGTTTGGCTTTTATCTATGGATGAAAAGAGCACTGCTTTTCTTTATTCGCTTTTTCTTTTAAACGTCAACTTTCTCTCTCTCTCTTTTTTTTTTTGGGGGGGATTCCAGGGTTTATGTTGCTCAGGTAGTGGCCATGCGCGCACGTAGGCGCAATGACAAGCACGGCGTAAGGCAGGGCGAGATGCACGCACAAGCAGCAGGGCTAGCGGCTTCCAACTACTACACTTTAAAGAGGTGCTACAGTATTTAGCAGTTCTTGGATGCACCATTTGGTATGCTCCTGTTTGTCAGGGTCTTCGGTATTAGCAGAGATACGCATAAATTTCAACTGAAGATTAGGTTAACATACTTTTGTATATTGAATTAACAATACAGTACAGCCCGCTTATAACAAACCTGGAAATAACAAAATAACGGATATAACGGAATGCCAAAAAGTCGGAGATCGCCCACAAATATGAGATAGCGCCGTCCACTGCGTCGACGGCACTATCTCTTATTTGTGGGCATCGTCATACGACGATGCTGGAAGCGTAAACCGGAAGGAGCTCCGCAAGTCTTTGTACAATGATGTGGAAGAGGCACTGCACAAGTGGCTTGTTGACGCCCGTGCAAAGGCAGTTCCAATAAGTGGTCAAATCCCTCTAGAAAGGGCTCGGAACCTGGGGTTTCTGTTGAAGCATGATAACTTCAAGCCTGGAAGCGGCTGGCTTCAACGCTTCAAGGACCAGACGCTTGCGTCCATGGCTTTCCCAGTGCTATACGCAATTTCTGATGCTGAGCATAAAAAAGAATTCACCAACCTTTAACAAAAAAAAAAAAAGATTACGTATTCCATTGCGTTAATTGCATTATCATCAATTATGTATACCGTCATGTGAAAACGTGCTCTCATCTTTCGAGACGACATCCAATTATTTGTCCGAATGAGGTTCTAATTAAAAGTACTTGCGCTTTACTTTGGAAGTACTTACATTCTATTTATGGTACTTTACTTCAAGTACATTGCACCTGGTGTACTTACTACTTTATTTTCAAATTCAAATTCTTTATTGATCCCGAATCAGAAAAGGAATTTAAAGTATATAACTTCTCATTTACTCTGTACTTTGCTTCAAGTACTCTTTAGATGTACTTTACGCAACACTCGCCAAATCCCGCCGAAATACGAAGAATGAAAACCCATCGGCCTGACGGGCAGGGTGGCTCACCTGCTCCCCTTCCCGGGTGAGCTTGCGGACCTCTTCGGAGAGCATGGCCTTCTCCCGCTCGTGGGCCTTCTTGATCTCTGCCAGGGTCTCCTGGCTCTCCATGGCGCTGGTGGGGAGGAGGGGACGGCCGCTTATTGTAACGGCTCGCTCTAGCACAGGGAGCACCCACGTCCGGAGCACGCCGGACGCCTTGGCAGTAAACGTGATCACTCCAAGCGGCTCCCCGAGAAACTCGCAATAATTGCTCACGACTCACCGTCGTTATGCACCTCAACGTGTGGGAAGATGCATCGCACCTAGTCACGAGGCTATGTCGCTTCTCGTTCGTCTCGCTGAGGACTAGTTTTGTGTCTCCTGCTATGCCCAATACACCTCGAATAACGATGTACAGTATATTGCACGTAGTGAACCAGAAAATCAAAAGTTTTACACCTTTCACCTTAATAAAGTTTCATTCATGATCTACATTAATTACCTATATTCATGTGTCTTATCCTCAGATGGCCCATTTGCTGGTGACTGCGTCGTCTACTTTAAAAGAACAAATGGTTCCAGCGCGCAATCTTTTCGGTATGACCTTGACAATGTTTCTTGTTGGTGCGATAAATGGCAAGCTCAATTCAACGTTAGCGAGCGTAAGTACACGGCAGCACTACCCCTAAACACCTGTCCTTCCCACCACATCAAGACTGCTGTACAGAAGTCTGTAACTTCATACAAGCATCTTCGATGCATACAGTAGCTAATGAACTCCTTTTTGGCTCCACCCTCCTTAGAAGAATAAAGCTCTTTGGTTTCCAGGGAGCATGAATGCTAAGCTGCTATCTAGAACCCAGGTGCCAATGCTCGCATTATCATTAGAAGCCATTCAAAACTGCTCCGTTCAAATCACACTATCTAACAGTCACCGTATACCTATTGGGACAGCAATGGAAATGACCCCCCGAGTTTGCCCGACCTCTCTGTCTGCAGACGAATTTCCACCCGTGTTTACTTCATAAAATCCACTTCCATAACCCAGCACTACTGTCGAGAAGGGCTATAACGAAGTAGACAGGAATATGAAATCACTTCGCTATATCCACTTCTTCGCTACATCTGAACTCTCTAAAAGTAATGCACAAAAACAATTTTGAGCATTATGCCGCACCTCGTGAGAGACACATCCTGCTATTGGTAAGCATAAAAAATAAAACTCTTTTTTAATGTAGCTCTAGAGAGAATTACCCCCTTTTGTTCGATCAGCTACCACTCGATACAAAAAGTTTGTTACCTTGTGGCCAACAGCACTACTTCCAACAAGAGTTTTTAGAAAACACTAGATGAAAAGTTGTCAACAATTTTGCGCTGTGAATCCTACATATTTGTAAAAAATCCTTTCAAAACCACAGTAAATGCAGAAGAGATTGCAAGGAGCCAGACAACACCTGTGTTGTACAGGAGGACCCAGTCGAAGGAGTTATCACTGAACAAAAGGTTCAACAAATTCTTCGAAATACAGACAGTGACAGTCAGGCCGTCGTAAAATCACTGTGTGAGCATAAAAATAAAGCTGAAAAATTCTCAATATTTGGTAGCGCAAGCCAAACTTGTAGAAAACTCAAAATCTATGGCAAAAGACAACTTCCAGAAAACAACCTAGAAAATAAGCTCTAAAAATGCAGAGGCCAACTTCTAACCAGCTCACCTCTCAGCCCGGTACTTTTCGTTCTTCTCCTTGAGCATCATCACCTGATTGAGACGGACAGGAGAGCATCGTGATGTGGGGCACACAAGCTTGTTCCAGTTCAAGAAAAGTTGCACCAGAAAACGACGGGTAGATTAGAGCACGGCATGGGCCGAAATTTCTAGGCCCGGCCCGACCCGGCAGAGTAGAGACACTGCTCGTGCCCAGCCCAAGCCCAACAAATTTTGTTAAATATGAGCCTGGCCCAAGCTTGACAGATTATAAGCGTGCTGCTGGAGTCCATACATTTTCTGGTGGAGTCCATACATTTTCTTTTATATACTTGAAAGCTTTCCAGGAGCAAGACGCCTTCTTTTTAATGCGAAAGCATTAACTATCCCATGGAGGGGAGCCGGCAGCGTCTGTAACCGTAAAAAATTGCAGAAGAAATGCCCATTCTCCCATTGGCTGAGCAAAACGGCTCCTAGATAGCCACTGGCGACCGCCACTCTCGTGGCATGCGTTGCCGGAGAGGAGTGGGGAGGGGGGATTCATGCTTTCACATTCACAGCTCATAAAAAGTGCATAAATGAGCCCAGAATCTTTTTTTTTTTTTAATGGCATTGTAGCGATTTGGCATTTTGCTTGTTTGTTTTCATGGAACCTAAAAAAAGATCAATGAGTCCACTTTGAGTGTGACGTGGTTTGGGAAAAGTGCATATATATAGGTGACGATGGTATATAGTATATATAGGTTATATGTGTATATATATAGGCAAAGTTTATGCTTTCCAAATTTTTAAATTGTCTAGATAAAAAAAAAAAAACATTGATGTTGAAGGAATTTCTTTTTCTGAACTTTGCAATGTTTTCCTAAAACTACAAGAGTGTGCTTATTTCTGTTTGTACTGAGTGCTTATATTATGATCGTATAATTTCTTACTGTTATTCTTGTGTATTGACTTTCGTGCCAATGAGCCATTTCTTTAATAAGGGGGCCAAGGAACTGTCACACTGTCTTGACACAGCTTTTTTCCTTAATCTCAACCACGGATGTACATTGATAGAAATAAAATGAAGAATTAATATTATTACATAAGGCGCATGCTTTCTGAAAGCGGAATATAGTAACGTTTCTATCAATTGGTGACCGGTAGCTACGGGGCTGTGGGCCAACCATGGGCGAGCGAAAGCGTTCCATATTATTTTGATCCAAAATATGCGTGTACGAAGAAAGAAATGCAGTGAAGTACGAAAGCTTTCTGACCACCTCAAAGTTAGTTCGCCCAGGTGCTGTGAGTGTGCTGCCATACTCAACTTATACATCATCTTAGTTTGTGTTTCTATTTATTCACACTGCCTAATTCTAGTCGTCTTCACCTAGTCTCGAATTGTTACCTCGACTTTAAGGAAACTGTGCAAACAATAAACTATGGACTTCCAGAGAGTGCACTCTTCTCTTTAAGAACAATTGACTTATCAAAAATTATTCAATTGATTTTCGATTTTTCCACCACCACCACCACCACCGTAGAAAAGGCGCCAGCGGTAGCATGAGCTAAAATTTAGGATTGATAGATAGGGTCATGACGTCACAGTCACGCAACCTTGCGCGGGAATTTCAAACAACCCACAACGCTCATGTGACGTCCCGCATGGAATGAAACTGATTAAAATATGACATGCAATGCAAACTAAAGGTCGTCTCATGTCTCAAATGATTTGACTTCATGAAGCAATTCCAGGGGTGGAACTCATGAAATGTATTTGGGAGCAGCCGCGGGAGCAGTTCTAACCGCTGTTTTGGAGCAGGTTGGGAGCAGCTAAAACTACATTCTGGAGCAGGCTAGGAGCAGCTCAGATCAGTTTTCATTGCACTTCTGCTTGTGTCTTAGACGAGCACGGGAGCAATTTCAATAGTGCTTAGCAGCACAGATGAACATGAGTGGTTAGGAACCTAGATAGATGGGATAACAGTGTAGCAGATGCGAAAACTTGAAACTTCGTGAGCCTTAATGAGAACCAAAAAGCAAGTACCATATATTTCTGAAGATGGTATCCTTGATATTTTCTGAGTGGCTTTCAGCTGCTCAAAATACAAACCAACACTGCTTATCGCACAACTCACGTGCTCGACATAGTAATTATATGTGCGAACCACGTGACGTGCGTAAGCAATGGACATGCTGTTGCGTGGAGGAACAGGGACACAAATTTCAAGTTTATCCTATTGTGCAACTCAATATCGAAGCAGCAGACTACGATTAACAGACTTATCGTATTCAAAGCGATGATAAGGAGAAAGGTTAAAGGACGCCGAGCAGATCTACCCCTCGCCTGAGAGCTGCTGGCCGGCAAGGTTTCGGATCGGACCGCGTTTCAGTTCTAACAAATCACAATTTAACTTGCCGGAATGCGGTTCCAACTTCCAACGATGAAGCACTAAAAGGAATCTTTCGCTCATTTGTTTTCAACTGCGCTCACGTACGGATCCTGGGCCGCAGAGCCTCAGGCAATCTGCCGCTTAACGACTCGACCTCACCTTGGCCTACTTGGTTAACCGCTGATGGTTGAAGAATAGCAATCCAATCGCAGGTGGTGTAGCGCTTGGAATCCGAACCCCGAGTTTTTCCGCGCGCTTCCGACTCGGAACACACACGGAGAATAAACAGAACAAAGGATTGCAAGGCCGACCAAGCTAAACGCGCTCATTGTTGCCAATCGAGTCCATAGAAACCGAAACCAAGACAAAATACAATTTGTTTGGCGCACGTTGTGCGATTTGATGCATAATGGCGCAAGGTATTGGCTGTGGCGCAGTTTCCGCAAAATGGCGCAGGATGGCGCAGACAAATGCGTCTGGCGCAAAATGGCGCAAATGGCGCAGCCGTTCCACCCCTGTAATTCATTTGCCGTAAAGAAAAATATGAAGAATTTTAGACGGGATTCGAACCCACGACCCTCCGGTTGCGAGCCAGACATGCTACCGACTAAGCCACGCAAGGCACGCTTGCACAACTTGGGAACGAGTGGGAATTTATGTTTATATCCGTGCCGGTTAAGCCGAAGTCAGGCAACAGGACGATCCGGAGGTGCGATAGCGTCTCCGGATCTTGGAGGGCACTCGCGTCTCTGAGCATGAAAAGTGAAGGAGAAGGTGATGCTATCGCATTCCACCCATAAAGGCGAAACTTAAGCGTCCTCCAAGTTTTTTGATTGCTACTCGATTCATATTCCATTTGGTTTTAAAAATTACTGTTAGCACACCCATTCAATTTACTGCTTCCATTGTAATAAACGAATGCCACAAAATTGAAGGGGGATTTAAAACAACAGGGTCAAAGCAGCAGAAGAGGCAAAAGTGCGAGGAGAAGCGAGACCCACCTCCTTGAAGAGGGTGTCCCGGGCGCTGTCGGCTTCGCGGAGCTGGTCACGCACCGAGTTCAGCTCGGTCGCGTGCCTCGTCTGCAGCTGAATCTCCAGCTCCCGGAACTTCACCTCTTGGTTCTCCAGCTCACTCTTCAACCTGCAAGGGCACATCGTCAAATTCTCCGCAGCCTTCGGACGCATGGGAATGCGCGAGATAACAGCCAAGGAAGAGAGGAAAGCACGCTCCGCATGTGTGCTGAAAAAGAAAAAAAATTAATTCAGGCTCTCTCGCTCATGGGCTCCTAGTTCCCAGATAACCAGCAGTTCTCTAAAGTACTCTCGTAAGTTCCCCGAGCTCCCCAATTTCCTTGACCATCCTGGCACCTTTCACGCGCAGGAGAAGTCCCCCCTTTGCTCCCCAAGACGCGCGTCACGTTGGTAACGACGTCACGCCTTCACATATTCTTTGTGTCACGTCCACCCTTTTACCCAGCATCTTTTTCTAGGACAAAGCAGTTCGTCGTCTTCCGTTTCTAACGACGCAGCTGCCATAATCATATACCATCATTTCATGCAGGCTTCCATTTTTTTACTCACATCAACGCACACCAATTCTTGCTGCTGAGCGTATGACAGCTAAATTTGTCCGCGAACATCGACATTTCTCTCACCGATTTGTCGTCTGTGTGAATGCTGCGGCAGGGGAGGGAGTCGCGCAGGTTTAGCGAACCGCAGATGTCATGCACATTGCTCCCAAAAAAAGTTGCTCTGTATGATACCGCTTAAAGAGACACTGCAATCAACATGTCTTTTTTTTTTTCTAAAGGAACACGTATATTAAAAAACATTTTATACCACAAAAAAAAAAAAAAAAAGTTTTTTTCTAGCAATATTTACGTTGATAGACGCAATTTAGGTGCAGAATGAGGAGGTTGCAGCCCGCTAAGCCTCACACCGTGCTTACAAGGTGCTTGCATCTTTCATTGGCTCAAGAGATGATTGACGTGTAAAATATTTGTTGTAAATTGGTACCCCCGTGCTGTGACTGTATTTTAATTGACTTCTTTTTTTTATATTTAAGAAAAGAATAATCTAGATAGAGTCATTATTGATTTCAGAAATATCCCGAGATTGACTTTCCGCCTCGGTTTCATACGATAAAAAATATGGCTGCCGGCGTCTGCGGAGTGCTATGCGAGCGTCGCTCAATGAGCTCGTCAATTTTACGAGTGCAGGTCGTTTTTTGAGCTTACAGAGGTGTTTAGAGGAAGATCTCATCAACTGACACAATTGGCAGCAAACAGCTGTCGCAAGTATGCGCCAACGATGGCTGTCGCCTTAAACGGCTCGTGTGGTACGCCGAGATCCTCTCCCCACCCTTACACACCTGGCGGCCTCCTGGGAGACGTCCGTGCCCTGGGTGGAGAGGCGTCCCAGCTGGCACTGGCGCAGGGCCTCCACTTCCCCCTCCAGGTGGTGCACGTACTCGTCGCTGCGCTCTCGCAGGCGCCGCTCCTTCAGGGCTTCCGCCTGGGTCTCCTCCGCCCGGGCCTCCAGCTGCGTCACAACCGCTTTCTTACTCCCTTTCATGCTCTATCACAGTGGTTCTCAAATGGGGGTCCGCAGACTTTTTGGGGTCCGCGAAAGCGTTGTAGGGGTCCGCGAAGCCCCGCCTCATTAGTCAAGCCGGGCAATAAAAGTTGTATTTTTTCTAGATTGAGAAGAAACTTTCCAACTTTCGAGTGGGTTTTCTCGTGTGTATGTCAAGGATAGAGGTCTAGCACTTATTTATCGATTTATTAAATCATTATCATATTTAATCTATACCTTTCCCTTCCCTTCACTACGGACGGGGTCCCCCATCATCTTCGGCGATCCACAAGGGGTTCGCGAAACATCAATGGTTGAGAACCACTGCTCTGTCAAAAGGCACCTCCGATGCATTGCACACCACCATAATGTCCAGAAAGACATGACCCGATGCATTGCACACCCCCGTAATATCCAGAAAGAGATGACCCGCTCCCCATTTTTGGCTTCATTCGCTACTTTCGCTTAAACACACAAAGTAGCCCACTCCTAGCAATCCCAGTGTTCAGATTGACGACAACCTCGGCATAAATGGGGTGGTTTGCTATGGCGGGATATTGTACGCAAACCACGGGTCAAGGTTGTGAAAGAAAACAAAAAAGGACAAAAAAAAACTGGGCTCGTTCAGAGACCAAAGCTTCCAGAGGATGCTGGGGGGGGGACATACAATAGTAAAAGAGGCTGCAGTCATCAACCTGAACTGCCATCGGATACTGGGTGATCCTTTGGGGATTAAAGGTTGACAAATAATTATGCGAGACGCTTAAGGCACAGTTCCGTAATGCACGAATACCATGCAATTCTGTGTATGCAGGGATGGGTAGCATTCAAGTCTCTCACAATCCTCGTGCTCAACCTCCCTCTGTTACTCTTTTCGATTTCGTGCCGTGTAACATCGACAATCCCACCTTGTGCCGTTATCAAGGAACAATGTCTGGTCTCGGTCGCTCAAAGTACGGAGTCAATCTCACTCCTGAGGTGAGAAGCGTGACCCTTCAGAGAAAGAGATTGCGCCGCTGCTTCAGGCAGCCGGGGCAGCACCCACTTCTCTGCGCAGCTTGTCGGCCTTCCTGAGGTCTTGCCGGAGGCTGTCGATCTTGTGCATGGCCTTCTCCAGTTCCTCCTCCTTGTCCCGCACCTGCCGCGACAGCTTCTGCTTCTGGGTGCGCAGGTCGGACAGCCTGCATGAGGAACGGCAAGGGTCCCGCTTACCAGAGCGACGCGTGGGAAACGAGTGACTCAACTACGGCGCAACTTCATAAAAGAAAGGCCAACATGTCTAAAGAGTGTCCACCCCAGAAAACGAGTGTTTCACCGTAAAAAAAAAAACTATGCATTGCCAAACGCTCAGTGTTCGCTCAGATGTAGTGCTAGCGGTCCAGACAAGATGCCGAAAATTCAGGGCTTGCCGTTATCCGATTCAAAAGGTACAAGTAATTTTTAAAACTTTTCAATAAAAAATCCTGAGCCATTCCACTCTGTGAAGGTTGATGACCAGCGAAGCTGTTTAGCACACGACACAGATCTGCCCCAAAGAGCTGGAGGAAAGTAGACATGTGCAACGGGAACACCACCCCGGGAGAGCGGAAGGAAAGGAAACTATGCACGCAAGTGCTTGGAACGACGGCAAAGAAAGGGCAGTGCGAGCATAGACACGGCCGACGTGGGTCGCATAGCGGCAAATCTTTGAGAAACCTTTATTATCTACCTGAGTGTCTACTGGTCTTGAAAATGGTGCCTACTGATAACTAATCTACTGAATAGACCTATTGCTAAATTACCCAAGCATCAAAGAGAATGAAGAGAATGGTGTTCCACATGCCATGCGTGCTGGCGTCTGCAGCAGTAACTGTTCTAAAGCAAAAGCCTAAAACAAATGGCATCTTGCCCGTGCGTTTTTAACGCTTTATTTTGGTTATTTACTTCGGATCTTTTATACGGGGAAGGCATGCACGTGCGGCAGTGCAAGCGTAGTGTTTTTAGTCACTGCACACAAAAAAATCCACGCAACCCAGCCATAAACAGCTTCCCTGTAAAAATGGTGGCTGAGAAAGTCCACAGAAACAGCGAGAAGCAAAGTGATCGATGGCTGTTCGAAGGAACTGCATAAATCAATTCGTGAACGTACTGAGCTTAGATTCTGTACAGAGGTGGCCAAAGAATGTGCATTGAGGTTTTAAAAATTTCACTTAACAAATTTACCAGAGTAAAAAGTTTGAAATGGAAACCTTAAATTTCTACCTATGGCGGCCATCTGCTAAGGAAAGGCATCTGTTTGGCACAACAGCCGACAGATGGCAGCATGCTCGAACGCAGGTGGCCACGACGGGTGTTTCCTTCAACCTCGACCACAGCAGACTACGCTTCTGAGTCAGAAGTGATGAGCTCTTTTTCTGCGCAAAGTGTCAGAGGACGATTATTCTATTCCAGCAATAAAACATAAAAAAATTAAGATAATGCAAGAAGAACAAACTATGTGTGTTGTCTTGTTTTCTTTTTTTTTTAGACAATTATTTTTGGACACACGTCATTGTCTCCTATGCACAACCCGGCTGTTACCGCAACTCTTTTCTTGGTTGCAACTTTCATCCGTGCAGCTTTAGTTTTGTGGTGCAAGTCGTCTTCATGGTGCGCTTAGCTCCCAACAAGTGAGTCAAGGTTGGTATCTGGTGCGGGGAGTGCCAGAGAACGAAAGAGGACCACTTGCTTTTTCGGGTGGATTTTTGGCGGGAAACTCCAGACTCCCTTACAATTTTGCGCTGGGTGAGGCGCCTCAACAAGGAGGGAAACATCCAAAACGAGCCACCGACAACAGTGGTGTCATCACTGAAGCTGACGCAGGAAAATGCGGTGCTCGGTGCCCTCACCACCAATTCCCGCCTGTCGACGTGGAGAGCACTGCTGGCATCTATCGGCTGTCGCGCCACTCAGACGCCTTTGGTTAGCACACGGCTGCCATAGGAAGGGATTTCAAGTTTTTCATTTCAAACTTTGTGCTGAGGTAAGTTTGTTGAGTGAAATTTTTACACCCATACTGCACATTCTTCAGTCACCTCTGTGCAAAATCTTAGCTCTCTACGTTCAGAAATCTATTTATGCCGTTTCTTCAAAAAGCCATTGATCCCTTTGACTCAATCACCCTGTACAAAGAAGATGAATGGCTTTAGCTAGCAGGGATGGGCCCCATTGAAAGTTTCAAAAAGTCACATATAACTTTTGAATAAGGTAACGGCAAGCTCCGAAACTTTGGCATCAAGTTCGGATTGCTACTTCAACTTTTGGGCGACGGCCGAGCATACAGCTTTTTTTAAAAACCGTGTGGGAAATTGGTCAAAGTCTGACCCTGTGCACGCAACGGCCCCACTTATAACGAGAATCTTACTGGCACTTCCGAGTTCACCCGCTACGGTAAAACAGGGATCAGGGCCTTACTTGTCGCTGACTTCGGTGTATTCATCCATGGCTAGTTTCCTCTGGGCTAGGGCATCCTTCAGTTCCTTTGTCTGCTGCTTCAGCTTCTCTTGGGCTTCTGTCAGGTCCTGCAAATATTGGCAGCAACGGTCAGTCACTACACCATCAGGAGTCAGTGGTCTGGAGTTCTCAAACTTTGGGATGTCGGGAACTCTCAGCTAGTTTGAGCGAAAGACAAAATTAAATGTAGCGCGACATCCTCGTGTAAGATTAGAGTTACGGGACAAGGAGTAGACTTATATTATACGAGCTTACACATGCTGACAAAGACCGGTAAGCACAGGGTATGTGATAGGCCTTCCAGGGAAGGAAAGGGTGTCTGAACGGCACCGCCTATCGAAGATTTGCTCTCATTTCTGACACACGCCGTGAGATGGCGCAGCACGACAGGAAAGATGGCTAAGCACGTGACCATACCTTCACCCGCCGCACCAAAGAGTTGGCTTTTCCATGCCCCGACCACCGGCCTTGGATAGCTCAGTCGACAAAAACTCACAATTCTGAAATGGTGAGTTCAAATCCTGCCAGGTGACCGAAGTATTTTTATATATTTTTTTTTCCTGAGAATGTAACACTTTTCAGCGTCGGTTCTTCATTACAGTCAGCTGTACAGCCGATGGTTACAATTAAACATTACAAAGCTCCATGAAAATCAACTGATAAAACATATTCTGCGTTAAAATACAGTAAAAAAATGAAAGACGTTTAATGCCGAATTAGAGCGCAGTTCTTGAGAAGGAGCAGGGGAGGGGAGGGAGAGGAGGGTATGCCCTTACCCCCCTCCTCTACATCTCTTCCTCCCCACCCTCCTCCCTCTCCCCCTCCTCTCATTCTTCTCCTCCCCTCCTCCTGCTCCCTCCCTCCTCCCTTGTGACGTCACTCGTAAAGGCCTTGTGAAGGCAGTGACCTTCACGAGACCTCATGAAGGTTATGTAAAGGCTTCACGACGTGAAGGTCACAACCTTCCCATGACCTTTACTGTTTTGGTGCACTGTGCATTCACAAGGGGGCCCATCAAACCACCCTGCCTTCTTGGCCACGAAGCAGCTATGCAGTTGCCTTGCCTCAGACATGATCACGTGGTCGTGTCGCCGCGGGATCTCAAATTCGACTCCCAACGTGCCGCTTTCTCTCCTAGCCACTGGATGGCACTGCAGGTGCCCCATGGCGGCAAGGAGAAACCTCCTCACCCATCGATTGAGATATACTCGGTAGAGAGTGGGCGAAGAGCGTTTAGAACTTCGGACGCTACAGAGCCCAGGCAAGTGTGGGGCGACCGGATCTAGGGTAATCGCGGGACACGAGGCCTGGGGGCCCACTTTGTGTTTAGCTTTGGGCTTAACGTGCAATTGTAAATATTTGTGTATGTCGCATGCATTTGTAGTTTAGATTGGGTGTTTTGTAGCGTTGTGTTTTATGTACCAATAAACGGGGAGCGGAATCCCGCTCCCGTGAAAGAACCAGGCTGGACTCGGGTTGTTGACGGACCACGTGGGAAACGGCGAATCGGTGGCGGTACGCAAATTCCTACACTGTGAAGGTTGTGACCTCCATGCGTGACCTTCGTGACATCACTTGTGACCCTATTAACCTTCGTGATGTCATTTGTGATGTCACACAAATGTTTTTTTACCAATATAATATCATTAAATCAGGCTTAAAATAGCATCACCGCACAAAACATATTTTGGTGAATGCAATTCTATACTTTGTTTCACCTTAGGTCCGAGCGTGGCCGATGTTGCGAGCCGAAGAGCCAATCTAACGGCGAAAAAGGCGCACCATCATGGCGTGCTCTCCGCAGTTGATAGGACCAGTGGTGTTCACCATCTTTCTGCGCGTGCTCCTCCACTGGCTCGTCTTATCGAGAGCGGAGAACGCCGTCACGTTGCGCTTTTCGCGCTGTTTGATTAAACCTTCGGCTCATAACAACGGCCACGCTTGGACCTAAGCTGAAACCAAGTACATAAAAATTTCTTATATATTCTGGACATTTAAGTTAAAATTACATATTTATTGATAACTCAAGATCTAGTAAAACTATCCGAAAACTAATTGCATATTTGAAATTCCCTCTGAGAAATACATCAGTACACTAAATAATAGCACGATAAATACAAAATAAAGAAAGAAAAAGTTAAAGACCAGCATCCCCCCTTAAATGTAACACATTAACCTCAAATTAAAGTGATGCATTCCTCATGAACCTCAGTAAGAAATAATCTACTTTGGCAGTTACATTTTCAGTGAATAAGGTGTAATGGTACTACTTGATTCCATTTGTATAATGCTCGAAAGTTAGACGGAACACTAGGCTAATTTAGATGTGCTCGTATTAAAATCGGGTAATAAGTTGCCAACTCCGGATACAGCCTGAATTCGAGTGGAAGAAGCCCGTCCAACATGCATCACTCACGCGGTGGATGTCGTCCTTCTCCGCCCGTGCGAGACGCAGCGCCTTCTCCAGCTCCTTGACCTTGACGTCGCCCACCCCGACGGAGTGGCCGCCGTGCGAGTTGGACAGGGGCTGGTGCTGCTCCAGCTCTAGCTGCAGTTCTGGAAGCAACCCACAAGGGCACGGGGAAAGCATTCTAAGGCCATTTTCTTCCACAAAGGCAAAAAAAAAAACAATTTTTAGACACATTCCTCCGGCAAACTTTTAAAAAAATCTTGCAGCTTCTGGCGACACCTGCACATTTTACCTCTCCTTTAGGGCAGAAGTTATCAAACATTTTGGCCTCGAGGGACTTGCCTCAAATGGCAGCCGAGGTACCACGGCTTGGCATAGATGCAAAAAAGCAGTGCACGAGTCTACAGACCTTCTAAACCAGGGGTCTCCAAACACCTACCCGCAGGTCAGATCCGGCCTGCAAAAGTCTTCTGACTGACCCGCGGCCTGCTTCCAACACAGACTCGCTGCTACCACAGCAAACAGACGAGCGCCTAAAAGATGGCGCCGCAACGCGTTCCAAATGCGTAAGAGCAGATGCCAGAAAGAATGAGAGAAACTGCGTCGTAACGGGGTTCTCTCGCAATGACCGAACATTGTCATCACCAACGTCACCACTCCCCGGCTTTGTGTCTGTGCAACAATATTAAAATTCCTTCGCGTTCTCACATACATTGTGCTTAGTGTCCTCTGTCAGAACTATCGCATATTGTCAGCATTAGTTTTATCAATCTGATTACTCCTGCACTGTGCGAATGTGCCAAAGTTCCCATGCGCTTTGATTTATGCCTGGTGAGTCTTCTTGGTCCCTATTGTTGCGTAATGTCCTAATTAGTTGAATATAAAATATCAAATTGAAGTATATACGGGTTCAACCCCCTTAGGGTACTTCAATACTCACTTTAACATTCATTTTTGCGTTTTAATGCTTATCTATAGTCGGTGACAGGTCAAGAACAAAATGGAAGCTCCTCCAAGCTCTTTCCACTTTAGCAGAGCAAACGCTGAAGAGGATTGCCAGTGTCCCTTTCCTAAAGTAGAAACAGGTGGGAATGTCTTCCACTTCCTTCTTGAGCTGTCACCGACTATAGGGTTATTTTTTTAGTTCTTCTCTTTTATAATTACTCTTTCTTTTCACGGCCCTCGAAGCTGTGATAGATACGTAATCTGGCCCCTCAGTCAAACAGTTTCGAGACCTCTGTTGCGAAGAACACTAAGGAGTTACGTATCAGTGAGTGATCTGCTCAAATAGAGCTTCAACTCTGGGGCAGGGACAATTCAGGAAATTCGGGAGTTTGGGGGACACTCTGGGAAAGCAGTTTGAAAACTTCAGAGCATACAAAGTAGGGAACATATTGCTCAAGTAGCAGAAAAGTACAGTGCCGTAAAAGACTGGCACAGAATCCTGGTATGTAGTACAAGAGGATTGGACAAACTGAATATTCATCGACAATATTCAACTTTCTTCGTGGGTCAAGGTTATTTTCACACCCCAAAAGAAAAAGCATCCAGTCTAGCAATGTACTCGGAAACCTCGTATTTAAAAGCAGTCCGCACTTCGAAATTCAACACTTGGTTTCGAGCTACACTGCACATAAATTGACTCATGGCACCGCTACACCCTCCCTACTTTCTGCAGATAGAGAGAGGGCAATTAAACATCAACCTAACAAAAACGAAAGAAGACAATAAGACCGGCAGCACATCCAGACGTGCACTCCTCCAGAGCACTCTGACCCATTTCGGGTGAAGCTGCACACTTGCACCGAAAGCCCCCCGAGCTGTTCTGGAAGGGTGCTGGGCAACGTACCAGCATTCTTCTTCCGGAAGGTGTTCACCTCGTCCTGCAGCTTGCGCACCTCCCCGTCCGTGGTGGAGCTGTTGCGCAGCACCACGTCACCTCCGCCGCCAGAGTTGGGGAGCCCCCTCTTGAGGTCCCCTGGGGACGGGAGCGACGGGGCACAACTACTTTTCTACCTATGTTAGACAATGTCTCGCGGTACAAACCCTCGGGCAATCTTGTCGCGGAGAGCATAGTTATTTTTAGTGCGCTCATTCGCTTTTGTTCGCGTAAGTTTCTCCTTTTACCTGTAAGCAAATTCGTCTGTACCACTAACTGACGAACTGTACATCACTCCCTGCTGGCCCATTCTGCATTTCGTTTTTGTCTGGTGTCTCAAGGGCGGTACACCACAATTTTTACAAACTGCATCAACAATTTCCGGAAACCGTCTTGGTTCTGGTTCCGCAGCTACTGCAAACCCAGCATAATAGCGCAAAGCCCTATACAAGCGTAGCGACAGTTTCACGCTCTTCATACTGGTACCGACCCAACTTGAAAGACAGGGTGAACAGTAAGCACCCTCAAACTTTCTACCCGGCGACATACTTATTCTATTCGTGGCTTATTACCCCAGCAAAAGCCTTTGGAGTTCATTGTGAATTAAATATTATGAACGAATAAATTTTCGTAGAGTAGGTCTCGATGCTATTTACGACGTAAAGACTGACTCCATAAGTAGCTTCAGAACATTGACGCTGCTCCCTGCGCATGTTAACGCGTCGGCGCAATGGCATCGAGAGTGGCACTTTGCCAGCTCTGCGCGCTTTGCCCTCCTCACCCATTTTCTCCACCTCCGTGTAGGCTTGTATGTTTTCAGCACTGTGGCCTTCATAAAAAGCGTGGTCGGCCGCCGATAAACTTTGAATAATTTGGTTAAAAGTGCATGCATTTCGGTTCGGAACACATTGAACTTCGAAAAAAAAGATTTTGTTATAACGAGAGATTACTGTATGACATGAACGTAATAAGGTCCTCGGTAACCGTATTCGTCATGCCCAAGCTAATATATTTCTTATCTAACTGTCTGCTTCACAAAGAGGGGCCAAGATCAATCCCCAATTTTTGTTTGAACATTACTGCAATTGAAATGTACTACCTCTGTTACTATTTCAATATAAACATTATATTACACGGTTTTTCTTCCACGCAATTTTAGCCAAGGTTTAAAAATATTTCGGTGCATTTTAGGAAGACGAAACAAAAGGAGTAAATTTGCTCACTGTTTGGAGCAAGTCAGGCTTTTTTATTTTATTTTGCCCAATGAAATAATTAAGAATAATGAACTTTTGAAATATTTAATTTAAAGCAAATGCTCCTATGATAAAGTTACACAGCATCCTCAGAAACATCAAATTCAGTGGTTTTTATCAAGAAACCCCTAATACGGTTCGTTTTTCCAAGTTTCGTAAAAAGCCACAAATTACAAACCCTGTTAGGGGTTTCTTGGTAAAAACCACTAAAGTGGATGTTTCTGAGGATGCTGTAGAACTTTGTCATTGGAACTTTTGCTCTAAATTAAATATTTGAAAAGTTCATCAATCTTAATTTATTATTTTATTTCACTGGGCAGAATACCAAAAAAAACTGAAGGTCGAGGCAAATTTGCAGGGTTATTATCTATGAATGCAATAGCATTTATCGTCGCACACTGCCAAATTTAGCAGGGAAACTGAATTAGTGCATAGGTCATGACGTCAATTTTTCAACAAACTGTAGCGGCGAAAATCGCTGCTAAATTTAGCATCGTCCTCTAGGACAACGCTATAATGTCAAACCAATTTAGCCCAAATCCAAGCCATTGCAAAACCTTTGTCGTCCTTGAGATTACCCTAGAGTTTGTCACAGAGGTCGTATTAATGTAATTTTTAACGTTCTCCTCTAGGACATCGTTGAAGACAACGTCCTAGACGACGTCTTTGACGTCGTCTAGGACGATGTCCTAGAGGATGACATCAAAGACGACACCTAGAACAACCTTTAGGGTGACCTCAAGGATGGCTCTAGAAAGATGTCAAGGACGATGTCAAAGACGACGTCTAGGGTCACCTCTAGGACGACCTCAAGTACAACATCGAGGATGTCTAAGACAATCTCTAGGACGACATAAAGGTCGTGAGGTCCTTCGAAGAGGTTGCAAATGTGAAGGAGTGTGTACTGCCACTCCGCATTTGTGCGACGCAGTGGGATGCAAGCAGTGAGCTGAAATGGTCTATTGCGCATACCTACTGCGCATTATGAGGCCAGATACCAGATAGACTGAAATCTGTATGAGTAGCTTAACGATGCTATTGCATAAATATTGGAGTAAAATAGCCTGACTTGCTCCAAACAATGAACAAACCTTTTCCTTTAGTATAGTCTTTCTAAAATGCACCAAAATATTTTTTAACCTTTGGCTAAAGTTACATGGAACACAATGTATATAAACATAATAAGTTTGACATGGTGGGTGGAACAGACACGACCGGAAACCAGCTGTACTCGCAACTGAAATGTTTTATTTGGAAAGGAAAAGAGAACACATGTCAGTACCAGATAACACAGTGTGTAATCAAACAATACACCCTTCAATACGCCCTCGTTTTTTGAGGCTGTTACACCCAACATGTCAAACTTTTACCAGCTCGCCCAGTTCAACACCTTGGAACATAATAAGACCTTTGGGAACTGTACTGGTCGCTCAGAAGCGTGTCAATCGGTTGGCATTAACGTAACAAGAGCTTTGGGTACTGTATGCGATCATTTTTTCCTCTGCGTGGACACTGCCACAAGACTGCTTAAAGTATGCAACGTTCAACACAGTTCCTGGATCTCCTTCCTTTACCACACCTACCATCACGGAAGACGACACCATGAGGGCATTACTTCGGATCAAGCCCACACAGTGCGCTGGGCCTGATGGACTTCACCCGGCGCTCCTTAGTGCCTGCTCCACCTCGATTTGTCCTGTCCTTACTAGAATGTTCGGAAGCCTTCTTTCTAGCGGCTCCGTCCCACGACAATGGAAGACGGCACACGTCACTCCAATTCACAAGGGCAGTAGTGTACCACTCTCTACTGTGTCCTCTTATCGACCAATATCTTCCACATCCATAATCTGCCGCACAATGGAGCGTATTCTCAATGCCAAAATCCTTGACTATCTGGAGTCCGAAGCACTACTATCACCACACCGATTCGGCTTTCGTAAGAACCGCAGTTGTGAACTCGCTCTCGCCACCGCTGTCAACACACTCAGCAATAGCTTGGATGGCAGAATCCCCTGCGAAGTTGTCCAGCTAGATTTCAAACAGGCTTTCGACAAGGTAGACCATAGCCTACTCCTTCAGAAAATCCGACGCCTAGGATTTACAGGAAGCTGTTTTGACTGGATGTCCAACTTTCTGAGTGATCGTCGCCAACGGGTTGTCTATCACGGAGCTTCCTCCACCTGGTCTGATGTACTCTCGGGCATACCACAGGGCAGTGTTTTGGGACCAACCTTTTTCAACATCTTTATAAATGACATCACCGTCAACCTGGTCTCCAAACCCCTGCTCTACGCCGACGACTTGACCCTGATTATGCCGGTAGCTCGTCCCAGCGTTGACTACCCACGCCTGCAAGAAGACCTCAACGCTGTCGTCCGGTGGTCTCGCATGAACCGCTTGCCTCTGAACGAAGCAAAGTGTACCTCAATGCTTGTTCACCACCATCAGCAGCAGCCTTCCCGCCAAGCTCTCAACCTTGCCGGGACCCCCTTGCGTCGGGTTGTTGCCACAAGGCTGCTTGGTGTAACCCTTGACAGCAAGTTGCGCTTAACTAACCATATCAGCAGTGTTCTATCCAAAGCCGAAGGATGCTCGGCTTTGCTCTGCGGGTATCCAGGGGAATGGGCCCACAAACTCTGAAATACCTCTTCACTGCACTGGTGCTCCCCCACCTAGAGTATTGCAGTTCTATTTGGGATCCTGCGCAAGTACACTTAGGAGCTGCTCTGGAGAGTGTTCAGCGAAGAGCAGCATACGCCAGCCTTCGCCAGCAGTCCCCGCTGGTACCCCCTTATCGGGATATCGGAACAGCTCACCTGCTGCGCGCGGTTCACTGGACCTCATTGTCCACTCAACGCAAAGTCTCCTCGATGCGACTCCTGGCTCTCGTTCTCCAATTTGACGAAAAATCGCTGCCTCTTTTGCAAGTGCGGAAAACCCGTACAGGGACCCTACAGCCCCTTCTATCTCGCACAGAGCGTCATAGAGGCTCTTTCCTGGTGCGGTCAGTAGACCTATGGTGCTCACTGCCCTGTGAACTGACGGACAATCTCCCCACAAATAAGGATGAATGTAGGACGTTCTGCAGTGCCATCGCCAGACACCTGCATGCTGAATGAACCGAAAGTGTAATGTAGCATCCCGGTTTGCCCTGGGGTGGGTTGTGGCGGAGGCTGCGGACCATCGAGCAGGTTGGTATTGCAGAGCGCCCTACGTGACCACTGACTGTAGGGTGCAGTGGGGCGCCTGCGCCGCTGACTGGTTTTGGGGCTTTTGCGGTATCGGCCACGACTCACTATAGGGATTTCCCAGTCGTCCTTCTTTTCCTTTATTTTTTTTTTTTCTCCTTTTGGTGCTGCAGGCCTCTGGCATGGACCCTCGGCCTTTCTGCTCTCACCGTCATCTCTTTCTGAGTGCAAATAAATATTATCATTATCATTATCATTCAGAAGCTAGTACATCATATCACATTCACTGGGTGCATCCCTCCCTGTATGCGTAGTTGAAGTATAGGTATACAACAGATGCGTGTTGCCCTCTTCGGAGGCTACAACTGGAAGGATGGACACGAAAGTGCAAAGGGTTTGCACGGATATTCCATAGCATTTCGAAATTGTGTTGTGCAAGTTCGGGCAGTATGAGCAGTAAAGGAGGCAGTACGAGGTTTCGCAGTAAGAGCAACCGTTCCTTCGAGAACCGAGATATCAATTACCGAGAGTCAACCTATAGACCAACATGCGGCCCTGACGTCACGCAGCTGCAGTGGTGCTGTCGACGGCACTGCGCATGCGCAGATGCTTCCCTTCACGCAAATTTCGTTTCTGGGCACGTGCAGTGCCCACACCTTGTGTGCGCAAACGCGGGCTTGTTTGTAAAACGCGTGTCGGTTTATATGACTCCAAGGAGAAACAGTCACTTTCGGAGAAATCCCGGCAAGCAGCCAACGGCACGAGTCGCAAAGCCCCGAAAGAAAGGCGTCCACTCACTGGCCATCCTCTGGCACATGTCCTGCTTCTCCCGCTCCAGGGCCTGGATCTTCCTGCGGCAGACGACGTGGCTGTCGTCCACGGCCGTCTCCTCCCCCTGGGCCAGCCGGCTGCCCAGGGTGTACGTGAAGCCCACAAAGGGCAGGTGCAGCCCAGAGAACACCGCATTGGCGCTCGGGGGGCCGGACTCCTGGGGGTGGCACCACCGCTAAGTTAGGTTCTCTCGCAAAAACACTTTCTTGAATCACCAAGACGCCGCCTTTTGCCTTTCTCTTCCATTCTTCTCCTTCTCCACCCAGTCTGAAGTAAACCGTAAATCTATGCCAGCTCGCGCCACTTTATTGTTACAGCCACCGGACGTCTCCGGAGTGGTACGGTCGAGCCCAATTATATCCAACCCGGGTATTTAGAAATATTGTCAATTTCGAACGGCCAAAACATCCCCTCGAAAACCTCACGTAAAAGTATAGGCGCCTCGTACTTCACCTCCCGGGACATTCATTATGTCGAACCACGCGCCGCACCCTTGGTAGAAGGGCTTTCCCCGAACACTGCCATGGCTGCACGGTTTGCACGAACTCAGGATAATGATTCTGGCCACGGGCAGCAAAAGGCGCAGAGGCAGAAAAAAAAACACCCTTCGCTAGTTGAGCGTGTCGACAACGGTTGTGCAATCACGCTTTGAACGTCTTGTTTATCTTCATTTACTTTTTCCTTTCATCGTTTTCGCTTAGCAGTTTTTGTCTTACCCTTCTTTTTACTGTTCATTTTATGTGAGTTTTTGTTTTTTGCTTGCTGTTTGATTTTTTGGCACAGGCAATGTAACATGAAAATAATAAAAGCGTGCTTCTGGTGGCGTACGCGTGCAAGTGGAGGCGCCCGCAGCTCCCACTAACAACACTTTAATAACGAGATTCCATTTGTTTAGAAGTTCTTGAATGCTCTACTTAATAAGTTCCCTTTTGTCACGATCCAAGGTATCAGCTGAGATGTGCGGAAATTTCAATGGGAGCCTAAAGGAGCACTAAAGACATTTCTTAGATCGTCTGTTCTTGGTTCTAACTCATTCTACAAGATCTTAGCATCCCAGAAATCCAAAAAATATGCTTCTGCAATGCCTATTTCCCTGCTAAAAATGTGATCGAAGTTAGTGCCACCCCCCTTACTGAGCGGGAAACTCCGAAGCATAAAATCCAGCGGAGGTGCCAGCGGCGTGAGGACGGGCGCACGGAATGGTTGCCGTGTGCCCGTCGTCACGCCACCGGCGCCTCTGCTCTACCAGATATACACATAGCAAAACAATAAAGCCATATAAATATAAAAAGGATACATTTAAGTTCTCCTTCTTTCCTCGTACAATCATCGATTGGAACAGCCTACCACCTGACGTTGTAAATGCTACCACATATTCCGATTTTTGTTTTCTGTTGTCGCAGCAAGTGCATCCTGCTTGAAAGTATTTCAATGTACCACTCCTGTTACAATCTCGCAAGAGATTGACAGTATTAATAAAGAAGAAGAAGAAGAAGAAAGGGGGGTGGCACTAAATTCGATCACATTTTTAGTAGGGAAATAGGCATCGCAGAAGCATAATTTTTGAATTTCTGGGATGCTAAGATCCCATAGAATGAGTTATCACTAAGAACAGCCAATCTAAGGAACGTGTTTAGTGCACCTTTAAATTAACATTTTTGTATATCGAATTGTCGATATACAGTCTAGGCTCATTACAACAGACCTGGTTACAACAGACATTTGGATATAACATACCGATTTGTGAAGTTTGGTCGGTTTTCCTTTATGTACCATTGACTCAACTTCATATCTGCATACAACATACTCCTTTTACAACAGACCGAAATCTTGGTCAGAATCAAGGTCTTTTATAACGAGCTTAGACTGTACTTAAGTATTTTACGATCCCCTTTTAATTCAATACATCCTGGTTCGAGTGTAGCTAGTTTCGCATCCGCTCAACTGAGCAGGAAATTCAGTTACAGCTACCGACTAGCTGACGTTGGTTATCTTAAAGGGGCAACGACCGTCTCCGGAGCAGTGGCACATTTCGTGGCGTTTGGTTGATTCAGATAGAAAACATCACCCACTGATTGGCCGATGTCAATTATTTTTAGCTATGCACGTTTGCAAGTCCGGCACGTTTGCCCACTTGCTAGCATGCTCCATGAACTCTGCCGACTCCAACATAATTCAATCATACAGGGCAGCAATCGTAAAGCCATCAACCGTGGCACCATGGCACAGTTTTGAAACAAAGCTCGGGTATTTGGTGCTGTGGAGACATTTGGGGGTTCTCGCAAAAACCATTTAGCTTACTTAGATTTTCCTTTTGATACTTGCTATTACCGAGTGGAGGCAGAATTCGAAGATGTTAAAAAAATTTTAGTTTTCAATGGGGGTGAGGTCGTGTATCACTACTGCATGGTGCACGTTAACGACCCAAGGCTAGCGGCTGTACCGCACTGGCTAAATTGCTCACCTACAGCTGAGACACAAGTCACCCACTAAGGCAAGGCAGAGTAACTTCCGGCTGTATAAACATACCCACACCACAATTTTCTTTTTTTCAGTTGCAGTGCGGAGTGTAACTTAATCAGCATGCACATGCAATGACCAAATTTTCTTTTATCTCGCAAAAAAAAAAGCCTTTACTTAAATTTTGAGTGTGGAGGAATATGTTCATCTGGGACAACCACTATTTGATGCTCATCAGTACCTTGTATAAGCATGATCCATTCGTACCGTCTCACGCAGTCTTTGTTTTAACCTGTTTTCTCGGTGACGTCATCTATTCTTTACTTCATTTTGTTTATGATGATTTTTTTTGTTATTTTCTGTTGCTTCAATATTGTGGTGTATGCCCAAAAAAAGGTACATTGTGTGTTAGTATGTCACACGGTGTTTCCTTGGAGTCTCCGGAGGCAATAAAAATAAAAAATTGCAGAGCCCTTCCACTTTATGTGAAGATGAAGGACCAGCGAAGCTGTTATTTTTACGATGTCTAGGGCAATGCTTAGAGGACGATGTCAAGGATGACCTCAAGGACAACTTTGAGGACGACGTCTAAGATGACCTCAAGGACGACCCCGAGGACAACGCCTAGGACGACCTCAAGGACGACTTCTAGGATGACCTCGAGGACGACTTCTAGGGCGACCCCAAGGACAATGTCTAGGATGACTTCGAGGACGACGTCTAGGACGACCTCAAGGACGATGCCTAGAGGATGATACCTAGGACGACTTCTTGGATGACCTCAAGGACAACGTCTAGGACGACCTCGAGGACAATGCCTAGAGATGATAACAAGGGATCTGGACCTCACTACCTAATAATGCCAAGGAAGGCTGACTCTCGCTGGTTGCCCCCTCTTTTTATTTTTATTTATTCATACGTGCCACGATCAATGGGGAGTTTTCTGTCAACATCCGCACACACTTTTCCCAGATCCTAGTGCATAGCAGCTTCACTGTAATACATAAAACATTCACAAAGTATCTATAGCAATGCCTCAAAAACCGTTTGTATTGTGTTCTAAAAATCATACAACATGCCTTAAACGTGCCATTAAAATAATTCAAATGTTAGTCATAAAACACAGGGAATCCCCAAAACAGACCGTGATCAAAGCATTGCTTTTTTTTCAGGCTCACAAAAGACACCACAAGATCACAATGATGAACACAGGAGTAAAACGTTTTGCTGCATGAAGATTGCGTCGCATGTAAAGCAACCAGTTAGATGGTACAATGCAGGCAGAACAAATGAGGGTGCCTACTGACTCAGTCTGAATAGTGTTGCGCCGCAAAAGATGCGCAAGATAGAGACCAGAGTGGTTGCAGTTACTCGGTTGGGAAGAGCACACTGGTTGCAGAGAGAGAGAGAGAGATGGCATCCCTTACCAGCCCACAGCCATAACGGCCGAGAACATTTCTGTCTTTTAGGGCAAACGGGATAATGTGGAACTGAGGGAAAAGAAGGGCGGGGATTCAGAGCCGCAAAAACAGAAAGGAAGCACAGCCTGCACAAACACATCGAACACCTGCAATATATTAATGCTCAAATATGGCTTTTCCACTATGTGTAACTCTTTCCTGACCGTGCCCATAGAGCATCAATCACCTGCGACCAACAGGCCCGAAAACCCATTTTAAACTTTCCATGCAACTCCCACACTTGCTGCAGCTCTTTCTCTTTCAGCCTGGCAGCCATTTCTAATCCAAGCGTGAAACCGACGGCACATTCTCGTCGTTCACAACCGTGGCCACCTCCACAAACACTGCGTGGCAATTCTCGCAAATCCCCGTTGATTTGTTAGAGTCGGATAGCAGCAGTAGGTCTGATGATAAAGTCAGATTATTATATTTCAGTTTTGATGACCTGCACTTCACTGCAATAAGAAACTGCTTACCCGAGTGGCATGTCGGTCAAGCGAATAGACTTGATTTTTGGTAGCTCAATATTTTTTTGTGCTCTAACTCTAGTTTTTGTCGACCTCTTGTTGCGAAAATGGAGAACATTTCATATATTTCAATTATGTTTAGGCACTTCTTTTTTTTTTTTTTCGAGCTATAGCTATATTCTTATCCGGTTCGAATAAATTTCTGGAAAAAAATTGCATTTGACAAATTAAATAATGCGTTAGAATTCGAGTCTCTGCTTTGACGTTTGCATCATTCAAAATCCCATTTATATAGTTTAGTTTCTATGTATGACAACATAATGTAGACCCAAAAGTTTCCCCGGAAAATATGTAACAAAAACCCATACAAAACAGGCATTTTTCCTCTCGGTCAAGACAGAGTTAATACATTTGTGGAATGCCAGAATATACCTAACTGTATTTTTAGAACGAAAAAGAAGCAATTTTAGAATTGCAGCAATCTGCAGCGTTTTAGCTTTAAAATTGCGACAAGTAAATAGAAACTGCCGATCACAGGCACATCTTGTGACTCTCATTTTAAAGTTGGATTTCAAAGAAACATTCCATTACTAACAAAAACTCCTCACTTTATTAAAACTTTTTACAAACAAGAACTAAAAGAATGCAACTATAAAGTTGCATTTTCCAACTATGCTTTTTGAGAGAAAACTTGATAACTATACACGTTAGCAAACTAAAAAAGCATTTCCAATAAGTACATCTGCCACAAAATCTTTCCATTAACGTCCCAGTCTGCATTCGCATACCCCTAAACCTTGAAAACATGTTAGCTGAATGCTGAATGACTATTTAGCAGTTTATTTTTGTTTAACAAAAATAAAGAGTATTTTGCCAATGGCTACTCTGGGTCTGTAGTCCAGAAGATATGAAAGCCAAAGCATTTGGGCAGAGGCATGTGATGTTAGAAAGACGACGCAAAATCAGACCCCATAGCCCAAAAAGTCTCAAATAAAAAATAAAGAGCTGGATGATGCTCCTGTAGAATGTGGGTTCTCAAAGAGGCTTCCCAGGAACCAAGAGGTTCCCCAGGGTACCCTTTTGAATGTCCTTAGTCATTCCTGACTCCGAGTGAAGTGAAGCACAATTTTTCTACATCTGAGTCATCTATTGATGCCCAACTACCTAAGTGTTGAAGACTCTCAGCAGGGCTGGGCAGTATCACGATACAGATGTATCGTGATACATAGAGATACTTCAGAATACCTGTCTCTCTGTATAGAGATACATTTGAGAAATGTATTTGTATCTCAGTAGTGAATACTTTACGATGAATCAATTGTATCGCAATAATTTGCCAGGCTAAGGTATTTCGATACATTTGTTGTAAAAAATTGACTTCCACGAGGGGTCCCAGAATTTATAATACAAAACCACTTTAACGCACCCTCGCATTTCAAGTTAACGGCAAAACTAAAAAATCATAATGTTCCAAACAGGAAATTGGGCGAAACAGGACTCATTTTGGGCAGACCACGTCCACGTCTTCTACGACTCTGAAGACGGTGATTCCTTGTCTTTAGCTAGATCGGGACAGATATGTGAAGGCTAAAGCCTTTCACTACCTTTACGACCCTCAGGAAAGACGTCTCGATGCTCCAGGACTTCCCTTCCATCGAGGCAGTATTTATTTATTCATTTTGACGGCAGTACAAGGGATTTCCTCTTTTGCTAGTCTGGTGCTGCGACCAAATCGTAGGTGCCTCGATAAGTTCTTTTAAAAGCGACTTATGCTGAAGGGTAATTAGTTCACTTTTCGAGTCTGCTAATTTGTTTTCTGATCAAATAAATACAGAAAAACCTCGTTATAACAAAGTTGAAGGAGCGATCGTAATTATTTCGTTATAACCATTAGTTTGTTATAGCCAATGTCCATTTCTTCCCTAATAGCAAGCAAGGGGAATTATGATTGCTTTGTTATATCCATTAGTTTGTTATATCCCATTTTGTTATAACGAGGTTTTACTGTATATGCAAATTTGTTTTCTGATCAAATAAATATATGTGAATTTGTTTTTTGATCAAATAAATATATGCAAATTTTTTTCTGATCAAATAAATATATGTATTGCTTGAGAATTCTTATGTTCCTATTTTGTCCCATATTTGATGCTTGTGATACATACGTTTTTTGCAATCTGCTGCATCACTATATCTGTTTGCGCAGCATGGCCTTACTCAGGGGAAAAAGTATTTCAGTATGTATCTGTACTTCGGGATACCTTTTTTCTAGTATCTCAGGGATATCCTGTTACACAGAAAATGCATATCAATATCTGCATTTTGGCCTGAAAATACATCTACCTGAGTATTTGTATTCAGGAAAACTTTTTCTAGTCTCTCTGCCCAGCCCTGTTATGTCCACTGCTGTTTCTAAAGTTTGCAGGCTTCCCCAACGATCTATTGCATCAGTGTCGGGGCCGGGAGCATTCCTTGGCTATCCACAGAGAAAGACAGGTATCCCTTCAGATTGAAAGAGAACCTTCGCTGTGGAGACACCTCGCTAACATGACGGCATATAGCATAAACGGCTTTCTTTTCGAGGGCTTCATATTTCCTGAATTTTGCAAAGTGTGGGTTTTTTTAATATTTTGAGACACAAAATTTTGCAATTTAAAGTGGTATACTACGAATCATTATCACGGGGACAATATATTTGAACAATCAATTTTAAGCACCGTTTTTGGCGAGTCGCGAAAAATGCGAGAATTTAATAGATGCTCAGGAAGATTAGGTCATTTACAGTGCACGATAGTACGCCAGATGCATTCCTTTTCATTTCGTTGAATTACATTTTATTTCCTAATCGAGACTGCACAAAAAACGTGCAAATTTAAAATACCTCCGACGTTGTACAAACGAGACGATCGCTCCATGTTGCATCGCGTCTCCGGGCAGCTCGACGTTTTAAAAAGGGGTACACACGCAGGAAGACAACAGCAGGAATCGAAACAACTAACGTGACTTATTCCAATAAATTTTCAGTGGCAACGTAGTTCTTAATTTAGTCTTAAAAAGATCTACATTAGATTATTGTGCCCATTGTGTTTGGAAATAGCTCACGTTTTTGCTTTAAAAAAAGGTATCCCCAACTTACGGGCTGCTTGAGGTCGGCCTCGTCCACGTCGAAGTTGGAGGTGTCCGTCGGACTGCTCACCTCCGGAATGTAGGGCGCCTGGCCTGCAGCCGATGCGTGAAATGAGAAGACGTCAAGAACCAATGAAGAGAATAAAGAAAGGCAAGTCACGGGTGGGTCGAGTCGGCCATTTGCCGCCCCGAAAATGCTACAGCGACATTTTCGATAAACCTACCCGATTTAATGCGAGAAAATAGCATTGTTCCTGCCCATGTTACCCGGAAGACAGAGGGCAAAACAAGATCGGGACGAAAAGGCACCTTTTCAAAGACCAAAATTATTTCCGTCGATTTCAACTTCTCAATGCACATGTGCCTCTTCTAAGCAAAAGTAATTGAATGATGCAAGATTTTCAATATAGCGAGAGCCGAAGCAACTGTCGGCTCGTCAACGTACCACTTTAATATCTGGTAATAAGCGCTGCAAAGAAAGTGTGGCTGTAACTGGTTATTAATACCTTCCAGCTCGTTACTGTGCCCAATGGAAAATAAATGTTAGCTCTGTCACACGGTCATTTCTGGATGTTCGACACTTTCATTTCAAGAACCAAAAAAACCGTAGGGAAGTCAAGTAGGACATTTCAAGGAGACAAACTCCACGTCAATAAAATATGCGTAACTAACCATATAAACTTTATGGGGAAGACGATTTAAAAGAACGTCGGACAAAAAATTGTAGAGCCCTTCCACTTCACGTGAAGACGGAGGACCAGCGAAGCTGTTCTTTTTACGTCTAGGACGATGCCTAGAGGACGACATCTAGGACAACCTCAAGGGCGACTTCTAGGACGACCTCGAGGGCGACCCCAAGGACGACCTTGAGGACGATGCCTAGAGATGATAACAAGGGATCAGGACCTCACTATCTAATGATACCAAGGAAGGCTGACTTACGCTGGTCGCCCCCTCTTTTTTATTTTTATTTATTCATACTTGCCACAGCCAATGGGGTTTTCTATCAACATCTGCGGACGCAATTTCTCTCAGATCCTAGCACATAACAGCTACACTGTAAAATGCTCAGCTCCGTCCACTCTAAACAGTACTTCGTATGCTTTCGTTTTCGGCCGTAACTACTAGCACCACCTTGTCCGTATGAGCTCTTCAACGAATGTTTCTAGAGGTAGTCTAGGACAAAAAAACTATTCCAATCAGATTTCGCCAGCTCACGTGCCGTACATATTGGGGGCATCGGGCATACCCCGGCAAAAGATTCAGGATTAACTTAGACCACCTACAGATCCTTCTACATACAACCGAGATCTTAGCTGCAGGGCAGCTCGGCCACAACGAGCTTCCGTCACCATCCACTGATCGGTACTGCCGAGGCTACCCCAAATTCTGGTGACACTATCAAGGCCAGGAGGAAACAGCCAAGTAATGTCATCTCGACCAGGCAGATTCAACAGCCCTTGACCCGCCAACTTCCTTCTTGTTTTTGCATTCACCATAAAGAAGAGCAGTTACCGGGTATAGAGACCGAGAAACCACACAGTTGGCGTTACATGCAAAACTAGACGCTAGCCTCGGAAAGTGCATTCTTTGGACGCGTGTCGAGGAGTGCGTCCAAGGAATACGCAGATGCGCAGGGCGGAATGCTCATAGCCAGGACAGCAAACGGACGTTTGATTTGGTTTCTTCACCCTGTCCTTTCCCACGCGGGGTAACAGATGTCCTATTTAGGGGTGTAGCTAAGGGAGTGAATGTGCCACGGATATTTCTTGTTGCTCGGTACACTTGCTTGGCACGTCCCCTTTGCGCTTGCACGAGGAACGAGAAGGGACTCCCGGGCCGACGTGGGAAGGGCGACGGAAGCTCGCGGGCGACGCCACTCACTCTGGCGTACGTGGTCCCAGTCGACCCCTTTGAACCAGGGGTGGCGCTTGAAGTCCTCCAGGCCGTTCTGACCCAGCCGGCAGTCCGCGCTGCAGATGAGCCGCCGCATCAGGTCCTTGGCATCCTCCGACACCGAGCAGCCCGGATCGTCCGGGAAGTCGAAGCAGTTCTGCTCACACGCGCACCATCGCACACTCAAAACTCTCTTCACTGCAAATGCCGCGAGCAACTACAGGAGTAGCAAGAACACTACGGGGGTAGCCCCACACATTTTGAGTCAGACTTCCTCCATGGCAAGCTGAATACTACAAGAGTTTCGAGCGGAAGAAACAAAACTTTTTTTTTTTTTTTTGTGCGGGAATCAATAAATAAAGAGTCCGGATGACGAGCTAAAGATTAACGAAATGAGGACAGTTGGAAGCGTCGTATGGTTTCCCGAGGACGGGGGAAGTAAAACGGCATCCCAGCAAGTGCGAATAGTGCTGCAGTTTGTACCCCACTCTCCTTCTCTCTGCTCTGCTGCTGGGAGAAAAAGAAAGCTGTCATTCCCAGAGTTGTTTTTGTGGGACACCTACAGGTTGAATAAAGCTGACTGTTAACTCCGGAAAAATATGTAACTCAGACATCAGATTTTTCAGTGATGGAGTATAGCCAGGAGCGTAAAGTGACTGTCGGGCATTTTCAGATAGGATCCAACAGCCACATTTGGTTGACATTTTTAGTTCTCAAGAAAAAAATATATTTTCTTGTTTGTGCTCGTAAGAAAATGTCTACAAACTTTTTGAGAAAAATGAAATACATATTCCGTAACAAAAATTGCAAAGTCGCAGCCGGTTTAGTGCATGTTTCGTGACATGTACGAAACGCGCCAGTTCTGCTATTTCGGTCGTATTGAGTGTGCCGTAAATTGCAAAATACAAAAATATTGCCATGTCTTTGAAGAGCCTGATAAGGCACAATAGGGACCTAGATTTTTGAAAATTAAAACAAAACTGAACATGGCTCTTCTTTTCTTTTTAAATGACTTTCAGAAATATTGCAAAATCAGTCCCTGACTATACCTGAGGGACTTTTTTAGAAGGATGTGCATTTTCAATTTGAGTGAAAACTTGTATGAATGTTGAACCCACATGTCGCAATCATAATAAAAAAATATTAAGTTTCCAAAATCTTTTAGTGTGGAGTTACAAAGCTCTGAACTTGGACGATTTTGCATCATGCCTCATTATTAAAATTGGGGGACGTCCGACCAAGCCTTAATTGGGAACCCTACGCTTTGATGCCCACTTGATTCTTCTTCAGGGGTGACTATGGTGATGGCCCTTGAGGAGCAGTGTTCTCGTTTTTGTCTTGCATTCCTTTTTGAGTTGCTCATGTCTCGAAGCCCATGGACATATGCGGACAGCAAAGTGCCGAGAGATCTATTTATGTTTTCTGGCATAGTCTGTATGTGCCAAGACTCCAAGAAAAGTCGAAGTCGGTAGTTGGTTTTAACGTCGAGAATGCAAATAGGTGTCCTTAAAGTCAATGCGGTGGCTTCCGATGTCGCAGTGTTCAGATACCCCGCTGCGCTCGAGGTCGAACTAGCGAACGTCATTTTGGTGTTGTCGGATTCTCTCCTGAAAGTTCTTGGTTTCGCCGATGTACATGGCTGGAAAATATGTGAATGGAATCCTATAACCGACACTTTGTGTTCTCTCTCCAGGAGGACAATCTTTTGTCTTTTGGTAGTGGCATAAGCCGTCCAAGTATTCATATTGGCTTGTGGGCCATCTGGACCATGTTTTTAATTATTCCACCCAACCAGACTGATCTCAGTCAATTGTTCATTTTTAAGTTATGTGTCATGTAAGTAATCTTTTATTGCAAATAAAAAAGTTTCGTAAACAACAAGAAATCTTTAACTAATTGTTTGTTTTGTTTTGCATAAAATATATTAAGCCCACAGCGACAACAGCTAGTTTGTGTTTTGTAACCATTAAAAAATGCCAACTTCGAGCAAGTCGCAAAACACGCACTTGACTGACAGCAACTTTAAAATTTTTGTATGGGAAAATAAATTTTATTTTTCAAAAAAAAATTTGGAGACGTCTTCCAGGGTCCACAAACAACAAAATATATTTTCTTGGTAAGATATTAAAATTTCAACCGGTCACGGTTGTTCCATCTTATCTGAATGAAACTGCCCTATAACTAATGCTGCTTTAAGTGGCATAAACTCCACTATATGCTTCTCATATTGGAATAAAAGATGGTAAGGCAAACGAAGGCCGTGATTACAGTGCACTAACAATGTTGTTAAAGAAGGTGAAGACACCTATATAGCACTAACAGCTTCAAAACGAGGCTAGTTAATGCAAGATCACAAAGAAAAAGAACAGCCAGAAACTATAACGTAGATTAAAAAAGAAATACACAACAGGCTTCCTAATTTGTGTCTAAGTTCATGTGCTGCTTTTACACTGCTGATACTGGATTAATTAGTAAGTTATCTTCCTGATAACAGTCATAGAGTCGAAACCAATGCAGCAAGGCAGGCAAGCCAATGCGGGTTCCCGATAGATATAAGGGACAGAGGGAATCATTCAAAAAGGTGGAATCACGCACAACGGTGCATGTCCCCAACCCAGACTCCTGCGGTGTGCCTATCTGGGCCATCCGACCTCGGGAGGCCTTTTCCCGTAGCCCCTCCGGTCCCGCATTCTCGACCAGAAAACAAGAAAAGCAGAAGTCCTCTCGGGGAACCCACCTTGTGGTTCATGATCTTGCCGTAGGTCTCCACGAGGGACTCGGCGTAGAAAGGCGTCTCCCCGTACAGCATCTCGTACATGCAGACGCCCAGGGACCACCAGTCGCACTCCGGGCCGTACCTGCCCTGCCCATCTTCCATCGCCTGCAACAACCCGCCCCAGAGGGTCTTCCAAAGGCGGCTCGGGCACACGCCCAGACACGTGCCGCCAATGGGTTCACAAACAGTCTCAACTCCTCCGAGCGCATCCAAGACCCTTTCCGGCAAAGTCCGGCAAAGCGAAGAAGCTAGCTTGCAACTAGATTGGACAACTATCGCTAGCGCACCTTCCGCTGCTTTTAGTTCTAATCAGCCCAAGCTGTGCAGACGTCCTACCAACATTTGTAAGACATCCAAGGTATGTTAGGACATCCTGAGTGTGTCTACGGAACCATGTGTGTTGCCAGGGGCAGCGATGACTGACGGAGAAGCGAACTTCAGTGAAGACAGTTGCAAATTTTATATGGGGTTAACTTTCTCCTAAAATATTGGAAGACCTGGGAAGAAAATGGTGCCAAACCTGGTTTTCATAAATAACTGCTCCAATTAAATTTTCATAAAAGTTTTTTAACCTATTAAAACTGTGCAAACTTGTTTCAGAAGCAAAGGAATCTAAACCAATATATCTCGAAGAGACCACAAACTGCTGCACTTAAATAATATTTCCGGACTAACCCTGCCCAAAGCACTCGACAGTATAAGAACACAACACTGCAGCACAGCTGTGCAATAGAAATGGAGAAGGACAGGAAGGGTTTTGCTACTTCTCAAAAACCAATCTGCAGACAACTAGAATGTCTACACTTGCATATCCCAAGTTCTCATCGTTGTCTCTATGTCCTAAGCTCAAACACAGCTGCAGGATAAGTTTCTATTCTAGCATATGGATGCAAATCTTATGCTAACAAGAAAGCCACAGTGATGCAAAAGAAGTGAGGAATGTTCAAGCAGAGTACAGACCTTACATATCCAATCACATGCAAACGAACAGCAACTCAGGCTTAACCAAACCGAAAGCAGTGCCATGCAAAGTAACATGTTCCTGCGATGACGCCAGCCCTCGCACATCAAAATGGTCCCACACACCCCCAACCCACACATACACACACGCAACAAAAAATGCTGCTTCTCAAACCTTAAATTCAGGGCCCCTTCCAAAATTATTACAATCCTTGTTTCTAAATTCAAAAGGAGTTGGTTCTGGTGCATTGGTAACAGAAATGTACAAAAACTATGCCTACTTTCCCAGGCTCTTAGTTTGTCTGATATTTTGCACAACAGAAGCCTCTTCCAAATTTTTACAAACACTATTTCAGCCATAGCTCACGTGAATATAAAAGCAAATGCCCTTTCTATCACATACACAAACACACTCAAGCTGCTTAAGCACACTACTAACTCCAGAAACAAGTAACAACTTTCTGATCCACCCATAGAAGTAAAATTGCTCCATGTTTCCTAGCATCGCTTGCTCGACACCTTTTTTCCATTATCTATGTCCACGAGATTCTAGCACATCGCTCTATGAAAACAAACCTTATAGGACAGCACAAAGGTCAGGTCAGAGCAGACAAGGACTATCTTTTTTGGCCTGAGCATAGTTGACTCAGAAGCCAGGCATCTAATCAAACAAAAGAGCAGCAAGGCCAGGCAGGGCAGCCAGGGAGACGAGGGGAGGGTAACGAAACCAAGGAGACAGGAACGTGTTTACTCCAGGCGTGCTTTGAAACAGAGAGTAGCACCCACCTTCTTATCTTCCCAAGAGTACTGAACAAGTTAACAAGTTTGCAATTAGCAAACAGTGCTGCTGCAGTACACATCATCACAAGCTGACAAGATCTGAAGGGAAGCTTCAAGGGGAGGGCTATGACATCATCAAAGGGAAAGGAGGATGAGAGGAGGTGAGGGTGAAGGCTAGAAAATGAAAGAGGGGTCAGGCAGGTCAAAGTGCCCTCCCAAGATAAAACAAGAAAACACCTGTTAGGGTTGGGCCTGCCAGAGACACTGGTACCATGTGATACAAAGATAAAGAGCCATTGATAAAAAAGAGGTACAAAAGGAACATAACATGTGGAAGGCTGCACCTCGACAAAAAAGCAAGCAAAAACTGCATGGTATACTGATGTTAGAAAACAAAAAAAGCCGATATGACGGAAAATGCGTTAGGATCATTTGGTGAATATATTGCAAGCTGACAAACTGTGATTTGCACCGCACACAAAAAGCTGGCTCAGCTCGCATTAGGCACTGCACTTTTTTACTAGGAAGCTGCATGCCACACACATATTTCTCCGAAAAAAGTGCCAATGAAAGCAGCCGACCCGGACAAAGTTCCACACTGCTACCTTAGGAGCAACTTCTGTGCATAAATATTCTCGTAGAAGGCACTTCCAGTTAGAAGTAGTAGCTAGCAACTGCAAGAAAAACTTGTCTCACCCTTAGGATTTCGGGAGATATGTAGTCAGGGGTGCCGACCGCAACGTTGGACTGAACCTTCAAAAGGAGATGAAGGAGGCACTGTATCAGTACAAATTCATTCCACATATCACCCATCACAGTCATTGTCCCTAAACTCAAGCTAGGAGAAGTAAATGAGTATCTTTACAAATGTGCTCCTTAGTTGCTGCCTGTAAATGCCTAGACAAGGCACGCTACTAGACAGCTGAATATTGAAAAACAGGTAGGTATGCAAGAATTAAAGAAAGAATAAATACACTAAAGGACAAGGACAGATTAGAACTGTGCCGTCCGTCTTTTTCTTGATTCTTGTATTCTTACCAACCCGCTCTTTGTTCCTTGTTAGTCAGGTATGTACCTGATGGAGAGAGCTAATGCAGCTGGTCAAACCTGCATCCATGAGTAACCTGACCATTGCTGCAGCTTGAAGGGGACAGAAGACCCATGCAAGCGGCAATGCAGGCTCTGGACTTGAAACATACACCGTCTTTTATCCTCTGGCTGCCTCACATTCTCGGAAACGCAAAAATGTGTTCCTCAGCAATTATCATACTCAAGTTCCATTATGCGCTTCCTCAACACACTTTTCAGGGTCCTTCTTTCGCATGAGCATCCAATGCAGCAAATCTACACCGATGGCGCTTAGACAAGCTGGCTGAACCTCGAAGGTCTTTTCACCAAAAACAATGGTGGAAAGAACGAAGACAATAGTGGGCTACTAGAGTTTCACCGTACCAAACATCTGGGACCAGGCTTCTAACCCCAATCTTGGCTTTCATAAGGCGATAAAAAAGATCTGTTAGTGGAGGTTTCGAACGATATGATGTCATTGGGTTGTTCCACAGGGATGGCTACGAGGCAGCTAGAGCTGCCCACGGTGCTATGCAGAGCTGGAAAAGTCTATGGTTTATACAAAACTACAGGTATCAAAATATGAGTTTCACAAATTTCCTAAACTGTTACCAGCAAAGTTTGGACAACGTATGAAACGTAACAAAAAGGCTAGATATGGACATACAACTATAGTTACCACAGTGACCGAGTCTGAGGGGCTTCAAACACGTCACCCGACATCTTTATACTCGGAGCTTTGCCTCTAGCACGAGCTTGTTGCCTTCCACCAGGCCCTGGCCGCACATGCAGCCAAGTGTTCTCAAAGGCACGAAGCAAGCACTCGAGGCGGAGCATCTACCAGGTTTCGAGCTTGAAATTGACTACAGTCATTATGCAGGATGCAGCGCTTCCGAATTTGACCGCCTCATATCGGCGTCTTTCAATTGACCGACCTCAAGCACATGCTCCGTGCCTACCGCCCTGCTTTGGCTACGAGATGCCCAAGCGTCGTCCAAGCCCCGAAGCTCCTCCCAGCTGCCCTGGGCTCGATGGCAGCTTTCTCAGTCATGCGAGAGAGGATTGGGGGCAGGCCCACCGTTCCGTCGTCGCACAGCCTGAGGCAGGAGCCAAAGTCGGCCAGGCGAATGTGTCCGTTGGCGTCCAGCAGCACGTTGTCTGGCTTGATGTCCCGGTGGACGTAGTGGAGCGAGTGGATGGAGTCCACGGCCAGGATCATCTCCGTGATGTAGAAGCGGGACATCTCCTCGGGCAGCTTGTCCTCGAACTTGCTCAGCAGCGTGAGCAGGTCGCCGCCACAGTAGTAGTCCATTACCAGGTACTGCCAGGGGGAAGACGTCCCCCCCTCAACAAACGTCCTGACCCTTCCCCGCAGTTAAAGAGGCGCTCGACTCCCATACAAACTTCTTCGCAAGTGCCTGAATGGGAAACACGCGTTTCCCATCCAGGCATTCAGATTTTATCTAGGGGCAGGATTCACGATAAATTAATGCAATTATGGCAGTACTAATGCAGAATGTGTTATGTGTTGTTTCAAACATCAGCAAACGACTAAACCACACTCCCCCTCGCAATCATCAAACTTTGAAACTTTCAACCTTCCTTCCAGACCTATGCCTACTGTTCCTAAATGCGATAAAGGGGGAAAAAAGGATTATTCCTTCTTTATTATTTTTTGGGGACAGCTCAGTTTTTTAGCATCACACATGCAACTATCTAGGGGTAAAGGTTTTCATCTCTAACAAGTGCTTCCTCTCTTTTTTCGTTATTTCTTTTTGTACGACAATCTAGGCATAACGGTTTCAATCTCAAACAAAAGCTTCCTCGCTTTATTTTTATTTATTTATTTTTGTACTACGATTATTCTTGTTTTCAAGAAAGACGTACTTCCGTTTAAAGGCCGATGTACACTTCGTGCTTTCGCTTTTTTGCCCGCCTCCTCCTCTCCTATATCCTCTCCCCCTTTTACCTTGCTCCAACTTGGCTTCCCTCACAGCATAGGAAAGGGGATTGCTAAAAGGATTATCTTCCCAGCAGTAAACCGAAGTCATATGTCAACCTTTAAAAAAAAGAAAACCTCAAAATTGTAATTAAGAAGAAAAAAAAGCTTCTTTCAAAAACAGTATATTTATGTTTATCAATTTCCAAACAATGGTTTCACAAACTTTCATTCAAAAACATGCACAATTTATCTCACAAAAGATTATTTTCGCACGCAAGCCGCCCCCTGAGTCAGCAGGGAACAAATTTTTACATCTTTAAATTAGATCTGCTTCATGCTCGTTCAACACAGACAGAATATCTCTCCCTCATTGGAAGTACCATCTACTCTGAGCCTGTAGAAGCTTTCGAAGTTTAAAAGCATGAATGGCCAAGAGACTCCTGTCCATCAAAAGAAAAAAAGTCGCGAAAATATGGCATCAGCAGTCTTATTGGTTGAGCCCCGTACAGGGTTTATGGTTGCTCCTGTCCCGAAGACGTGATATTGTATTATCTTCGGCGACACCCTTTTGACACAATCTTCCACTAGAGATCAAATTGCCACTTTGCCGCTCTTCTCTAGTATCTTTTGCCTCTTAGTTCTGTCGAGGAAAGCCTGCTACTAAAATTAGCTCGCCTACAAATGATGCAAGGTTGCAGCTATTGCCAGGGAAACAATGAAGTTTCAAAGAAGAAGGTACTACCTATGCTCCAGGTGAATTTTATGTGCCTGGGACTTCAGGAAAAAAAAGAAAAACTTAAAGTTGAAACTTCAAATGGATTTTTCTCAGTTTCCCTTTTTGGAAGAAAATGCTGTATGAGGAATGTATCATTTGACATTTTGAAAGTGTATACGGACTTCAGACGCTAAAATGGACTAAAATTTCCTGAGGAACACGTTAAGGTACTTATAATCTGAAGAAACTCACTCCTTGATGATAAAAACTGAATATTTAAAACACAAAACTTGGTGTAGATGTTTTGTTCTTTTTGGGTGCGATTGTTTTTTTTTAGAACCACAGTTTCTACAATTAAAGCGTACTTTAACTTGCACTATGGGTATTCACAACATACACTTTGTGGATTGCAATTTTTTTCACTACATTTCATAACAAAGTAACTTTTTCCTGGAGCTTGATAAGCATGGTATGTTGCTGACTCGGCCTATAAGGCTGAAACTTTAAATGTCATCACTCATAATAGAGTTCAATTCACCCTAAAAATATGAATAAATTTGAGTGAAGGGATCAAAAGTTGACCCTCTTAGGCCATATCCCCCCCTTAAAAAAAATTCTAGGAGCAAGCCATAAAACACGCCTGGGCCGGGTTCGGGTCAGGTTCAGGCCAAAATAATTATCAATCGGGTCGGGATTGAGCTGACATTCACAAACCATAGTCCGACCCGGGCCGGGTTCGGGTCAGGACTTTGTCGGCTCAGGACTTTGTTGGGCTGGGCCGGGTTGGGCCCAAAACTGCCGGCATGAACTGGTCTCTAGCCTAGCTCTTCGTGAACAGCGTGGTGCGGGACAATTGTACCGCTGCCGTAGTTAGCCCATGCATTATCGATAAACATAGCTGGCCTCGCGTTTATTGAATTTTTCATAAACAGTAGCATAACTCCGCTCCCCAATGTGTTTCCCCAATGTTTTGAACACGCAGTCTACGAACAGGCCCGGTCCACTCTGTTTGAACGCAAACCCCGTGGATGTACATATTTTCCAAAGAGGCGACCCCCTTTTTTTTTTCTTTTTATTCTGTCAGATGCAATGATGGAAAACATCTTTGATTATTTTAAAAGCACTAAGCCGTCTGAGGCACATCTCCATCAATAAAAATAAAATAAGTAACAAAACAAAATAAAACAACCTTTTATGGCCACCAGACTAACCAAAAATACGTAGATCTTGAATAAACAGCTGCAGGAATTCAAACAACCGACATGACTCCCTTAGTCTCCGATGTCGCATCGCTTTATGCTGGTTTTCTGGTTTTGAGTTGACTGTTTTTCTCAGCAGACACGCGACTCTGTGGGGGAAAGCTGAGTGGGTGGATTCTCGACATTTGCTTCGAACAAAAAGAACTCTTTTCTTGGGGTATCCTTAAAAGGTGGAAGACCCGAGACGAATTCCCTAGGGCAGCTGCACTCACCAAGTTGGTCTCATCTTGAAAGGAGTAGTGCAGATTCGTGATCCACCGCCTGTCTCCAAAAACGAGGACGTCACGCTCTTCTTGGAAACAGGCCGTCTGAAAACGGGCGCAGAGTGAGTCACGGGCAGAAAGACCACGCAACGCATGCTTCCCTCACCTCCGCCCTCTTGAGCATTTCCCACTTGTTGAGGATCTTCATGGCGTACACTTGGCCCGTGTTCCGCTCTCGCACCACAGCCACCTGTCCAACGAGAGAGAACACGCCCCAGTTTGTGTCTTCAGATTACAGCTGGAAATGAGGCTTTCACACCTGCCCCTAGATGCCTCTTTCTATGCTGAAATGGCTAGAGGCTGCATCAAACACCGTTGCTCCTGCGTGGTAGATAAGCCTCGGAGAAGCAAAACCTCAAAAGCCTCAAGAAGAAATGTACCAAGAATTTTATCTCCTTCTTAAGCTGCCCTTTCCCACTTTTGCCGTGACCCAGTCCACTTTTTGCAAGACACTACGACCATCTGTCTGGCCATTGCAAAATGCCGATGGTGCAGAATCTATTCAGTAGGCCAACAAACCGTTTTCAAAGAAGTCAGCAGTCCCGGAGGCGGCCGAGCAAACTTGACAAAATCCGCCCTTACTGCGTAGTCGCGTCACCGAGTATGCGGTGACGTGCCGACCCACTGCTGTGCCCGAAAAGTACCAAATGTTAAAAAGCAAAAAAAGGTCATTCCCTCCTTTGAAGAGGCATGCCAAAAACGCCAGGTTAGAAGAGATCTTGTCATGCAGATCCAGGTGGAACAGGCAGTTCCCTTCAGTGCGTGCTGGGGTTACATTGCTTCAGGCATTGACAGTTTCTGAGAACATAGGATGAGGAGGGAGATTGAAAATCAATATTTTCCCTCCTCGTTCACCCTTTATCGAAAAGAGACAGATTACGCATCAACTGGTCAGAAATTTGGTGGCAGTGTTTTAATCGCTGTTGATGACAGTGCCTTCTTGCACAAGGATAGATTTGGAAGCTTGCCAGGAACGTGTCTGGACCAAAGTCTTAACAAATGACGAATTTAAGCATCTCATAGGGAACTATTATTTCTCCTCCTTTCGACCAGAGCATCTCTTGTAATCACCTACAGAGTCTGGAAACGAAAATTAATTTTTCCAAATATCGCGTCCATATTTATGGAGATTTTAATCTCCCAGGTGTATATTGGTCGTCTAACAATGCAACCAATCTAAACTTGCGAACAAATAAGAAGGTCGATTGTCTACTTGATTTTATTCAGTTTACTGGACTATTTTAATACAATCAAATTCCTAACTGTGTAGGGAACGTTCTTGACCCCTTTCTCTCAAACACTTTTATTGAAGGCTGCCACTGATTCGCTAGTATTTCCTCATGTTTTCCACCCCACCTTTTGTATCACTTACGACATTTCAGAAGATCAGAGTACCCACCAGAATTATCCCAGACACAATTACAGCAAAGGTAATAATATAAAAATCATGAATTTTTCAGAGTCTATGATTGGTCGCCGGTTCTAAAGGACGAAACTGTAGACACCGCTACTGATTCTTTAACTCAGATTGTTAAAAAAGGAATGGACATACTTTTTCCAAAAAGTTCCTCTAAGTGATCTAAATATCTGCCTTGGTCCTCTCAAGAATTGAAATTGTATAAGCGAAAAAAAAAAAAAAAAGGCACTTCATAAACTGCATTGGAGCAGTGGTATGGACTTACGGTACACTAAGTTCAATATCTACCGGACATGCAAGAAAATTATGCAAACATGACAAACAGGTCTACAAAGCAAAAATTAAAAGCTCTCTTAACCGAAATCCGGATATGTTTTCGAAATATGCCAGGCAGCATACAAAGGAAAGAAATAACAATATTTGTATAAACGCAGTGACACTGGTTACGTCAACCATTTCGTCGTTTACCCTGAGACTGGGGTTTTTTTTGAAGAGCAGAAGTAACAGAAAAAACAGACAGGTCTCAAACTCAGCTCTAACTCAAACTCAGCTCTGAGCTGAGTTTGAGACCTGTCTGTTTTTTCTGAGGATGGCTAGTTGGGCTAGTTGGTTTTGCATCATGGTGTAATACGCCAAAACAACAGGGACAGACAAAACGAAGGTAGAACTAGACAGGACGCGGCGTAACTTTCAACTGAATTGTTTATTTAGAAGACAGAATTTAGGAAAAATATAATATAAAAGCAGGCACACGTGGCAGAACAACAGATAAGGTCCAAAAAACACACCCCCCTCAAATGCCAGTGTCATTGGTTCTTCAAATAGTAGAATTCTTTATCAGTCAATGACAAAGAGGGAGCGCTTATGCAAGTATTGTCGCGGTGGGACCTAATCAGGAAAGCTTCATGAATTTCTCTTGCCGTTTTTGTTTTATAATGGCCCATGACACAGGTGTCACCAAAGATGGGGCTGCACTTTTCAGAGTTGGGCCCGCAATCGCAACGGTCACAATGAACCGCTAAGTGGCCAGACGGGGACTGTCTGATCGCCAACGCATGCTCTCTGACCCTATCATTAATGCATCTCCCCGTCTGGCCAACGTACACCTTACCACATGACAAGGGGATTTTATACGTGACACTGGTAGCGCACTCGCGGAACTTGGTGACATGTCGTTTTTTGCATGACTCTCGTGTCACAGTTTTCATTCTCAACTCAGCAGACTTGAAGCGGCAGGGTACCCCCGTCATGTTCTTCGAGATGTTTCAGAGACCCTAGCAAAAAAGATGAGAAAAGACAACAGCGCAGTGTGCGAAAGGGCTCCTAAGAGAGTAGGTAGGCCTGTTGTCCTACCGTACATACATAAGATGTCCCACAATCTGAAGAAGGTGGCCCATCGCTTTGACATACCAGTCGTTTTTTCAGCACCGAACAAACTTTCTTCGCTGTGTAAGAGGATAAGCCGATTAGGAGACGAATCGGATGTGACACGAGAGTCATGCAAAAAACGACATGTCACCAAGTTCCGCGAGTGCGCTACCAGTGTCACGTACAAAATCCCCTTGTCATGTGGTAAGGTGTACGTTGGCCAGACGGGGAGATGCATTAATGATAGGGTCAGAGAGCATGCGTTGGCGATCAGACAGTCCCCGTCTGGCCACTTAGCGGTTCATTGTGACCGTTGCGATTGCGGGCCCAACTCTGAAAAGTGCAGCCCCATCTTTGGTGACACCTGTGTCATGGGCCATTATAAAACAAAAACGGCAAGAGAAATTCATGAAGCTTTCCTGATTAGGTCCCACCGCGACAATACTTGCATAAGCGCTCCCTCTTTGTCATTGACTGATAAAGAATTCTACTATTTGAAGAACCAATGACACTGGCATTTGAGGGGGGTGTGTTTTTTGGACCTTATCTGTTGTTCTGCCACGTGTGCCTGCTTTTATATTATATTTTTCCTAAATTCTGTCTTCTAAATAAACAATTCAGTTGAAAGTTACGCCGCGTCCTGTCTAGTTCTACCTTCGTTTTGTCTGTCCCTGTTGTTTTGGCGTATTACACCATGCTGTTTTTTCTGTTACTTCTGCTCTTCAAAAAAAAAACCAGTCTCAGGGTAAACGACGAAATGGTTGACTTCCACCAGCTAGCCTGTACTTTGACTCTTTTCTCGTTACTGGTTACGTGTTGTCTCCTTTTGAAGCTGCAAATATTTTTCACAACCATTTTTGTAAATGCTACTCAACAGATTTATTTACAGACAGTGCAAAATTTAACAATGTCCCTTTCCAGGACTCACTGATTATCAGTTATATTGATATGAATAAGCTTCTAGATGCAATCACAAAGCTTAAGGCAAAGTTATCAGTGGGGATAGATATGATACCAAATTTTATTGTCAAGGGTTGTACCGATGTGTTTGCTCCTGCTTCATGTCCCATATTTAAACTTCCTTTGAAATTCTGTGTTATTCCATCACCATGGAAAAGGTCAGCTGTCATCTCAGTGCACAAAAACAGTGACACTTGTAAAGTAAACAACTATTGACCGATATCTTTGTTATGAACATTCTCGAAGGTGTGTGGAATAATCACACACTCACATGATTTCTCTTACTTTCGACATATAATTAGTAGTGTTCAATATGGCTTTTTGAAGGGCCGTTCGGTAGAAATGAATTTCTGTTAAATTCTTGATTACTTAGTTCCTATTGTTCAGTGGTTCTCATATAGGGGTCTGCAGATCCCTCCTAGGGATCCGTGAAGCTATGCCTCCCGGCAATAAAAGTTGCCTTTCTTTTCCAGATTGAGAAGAAACATTCCAATATTCAAATCAGTTTTCTCGTGTGTATGTCAATGAGAGAAGTCTACTTCACATGGGCCTTAGTTATATCCATTTATTACATCATTCTCATAATTAACATATACCTTTCCCTTCCCCTCATCATAAACAAGGTCCTCTATCATCTCAACTGATCCACAAGGGGCCTGCAAAACATTGGTTGAGAACCACTGCTGTAGTACTTTCTGGGGGTCAAGTAGATATTGTTTATTTTGACATGACAAAGTCCTTTGATAAAGTAAATCATGATTTTCCACTATATAAGTTGTTCTTATATGGTTTCTCACAGAATCTTCTAAGTTGGTTTCAGACCTACTTGACTGATCGTAAGTAGCGTTAGGATACTGAATAGCTATTCTGATAGCTTCATACCCACATCTGGGATACCTTAGGGGTCTAACTTAGGGCCTCTTCTATTCCTCCCTTTCATAAACGACCTTGAAATGTGCATAAAAAATTCACGCCTGCCAATGTTTGCTGGTGACATCAAGATTTCTAAAAATATAGGATCATCCTCTACAGTATCTTACAAGAGGATATGGATTATGTCTCTGAGTGGCGTTCAACATGATGCTTAATCCAGACAAAACAAAACTACTGATGATGTTACAAAAATGCTAGATTTTATTTCTCCTTACATTCTTCAGTCCCCTACTATTGCACGTGTCACCATGATTCGGGACCTCAAAATCTAACTCGACACCAAGCTTCCTTTTTCTGGTCATGTTACATAGGTTGTTGCCTCTTCTGTACGAATGCTTGATTTATTTTCTCGCCTGTCATGTTACTTTAGGAATTATTTTTACAGTGTACGTCTAATTTTCTGCATCATACGAACAAAACTTAAGTTCAGTAGAGTAGTACGGACTTGTTGATGGCCTTTGATGTATTGCAAATTGAAACTGTACAAAATCTTTTATTTGTAATGTATATGATAGGTATTTCCACAGAAGATGTTCTTATGTCAACAATTGCCTACTCAAAAGGTTCAATTTACAAAATCTATCCACTTGCCAACTGACCCTTGATATTCTCGTTTTAGAAAAAGTAATTCATGGTCACCTCGATGCTGACCTAATAAGCTCTGTACATTTTCACACACCTGCTCGCTTTTGTAGACACCACTCGCTACTTTGTCGTTTCGTTCAAGAAAAAATATTAGCATTCATTTGCGTGCAACTCTCATTTAACGATTTAGAGTCTCCATGCATGAATATTTTTGATGAATGAACTCTTTCAAGCATAAACTAGCTGTGAACTCGATGTTTAAGACTTTTTTGATGATATAGGCCACTTTCTTTTCTTTTTGTAGGATCTTATGTTAGGAAAAATTTCTTCAAGAATTGTTTTTTGCCTTTAATTTTCTAAGAAGTGTGAACTTTTTCTAGTGTGTGATCACTTTATGCGATTTATTTATGACTTTCCCGCTATGAGCTATGGACCCAATAGTCATGCAGAGAGACAATGTAACTTTTAACAATATCTACTAAAACCATATCACAGCAACAATATTATGGCAAGTGTAGCTTGGTGACAGAGATGTTGATTTGGCTACGGATTAAACAGCATGGTACATATTCCATGTCCCAAGTGGGCATCACTAAGGCTACAGAGGCACCATCCCCAACACTAGAGTGTTGAAGGCGACATTCCCCTGTCTTCCAAAAGGAACTGTCCACGCAGAAATGGGAAACAAGATCAGTCGCCAGAGTTCAAGTTCGTCTGGTTTCTTTAATTCACCCAATGAATTCAAGGCACTATGTGATAGAACTGTCAGTAATTCTGATGTATCTGAAAAGCTTCAATTCTCAAAATCAATGACCGCTAAAGGGTACAAATACCCCAAGTAAAAGTTTCAGTCAGACAAAGCTCCAGAACACATGCTGCACTGTGCACGCATGATCAGGGGTGGATTTATGGGCCAGCTTGGGGAGGGGGGAGGGGGGGGAGGAGTCTGTTGAGATACTATATACGACTTATTTTTTTGCGGGCTTAATATTTCTCGATTTAGGTCAAAGCTGAAGTTTTGGAATAATCTGCGGGTTAATTTTTTCAATGTGGTGGGATCTCAATATAGATTTTACCAAAATTGTTCGTGGGACTTATTTTTCGCGAATTGTAGGCGATTCGCGAAAATTAGGTCCTCACGAAAATTAAGTTTGCTTACAGTATACGTTAAGGCCGAAACATTGCCCAGATCTCAATATCTGCTATGTCACAAAACTGACTTTTTTTATCTAAAGTATACTATTTCTTTCATTAAAAAAAGGTTGACCTTGGGGAACTTAGGGAGGACGGGGGGAAGCGGTCCCCCCTCCCCCCTTTCCCCCTAAATCTGCCTCTGCGCATGATCAGTAATATCTCTGTGGCCTAGTACTACTGGTACTACCCGACAAGCTACAGCTTGCTCTTCATGGTGCTTCTGTATTTGTAATATAGGCTCAAGTATAATGTGGCATTACTGCAAATGCACACTACAAGGACAAGTTTATTTGTTGCATGTTTGCACGACAAGTAGAGTTCTTTCTCTCCTAATTTTGAACAACTAGGAATCACACGAAACTAACCAACAACAAGCTCGTAATCTTTTATAAGCAATATCCTTGAAAAACTAGCCTCCAAATTTGAAGAAAAAGAAAGAACTGAATAAATTCAGGACACTGCTTGTAGTCAATGCCGCAACTCAAGAAAAGCGGAAGTCCCACAATGGTCCACGAGAGCCAAACTCACCTCTCCAAACGCTCCCCTTCCTATCACCTTGAGCACGTCGAAGTCGTCCTTGGTCAGCCTCAGGTCCTTGATCCTCTGAACCACAGGTTTGACTGCAGAAGAGCAAGAAAGCGAGGCAGTGCTCAGAACATATCCTTGGGAGTGATACACTCAGTAGCGTCACAACAACAAAAACGTGACTCCACCCCAAAATGATAGGTGCTAAGACAAATGCATTGAAGCAATATACAATGATACATGTAGGCTGGGGTCTGTGGGTGCCTGTATGACCTCGATGTCAAAATAAAGGTTTCGCATTGATGGGAAGACCGAGCAATATTTGTTAAAGTTACCAGTGTGCAAAAAGCTAGACAGTTTTTTCGCTCTTTTTGGTCGCAATTATGCTCACTCCTTCATTATTCCTCCAAACATTAGTTAACACATTTACACGCTGAGGCAGTCGGCCCCTTGGTCTTTATGGACCTTCCTGACAACGTCCTATATTTTTATAGTATGGAGTCTATGATCTGTCATATTTTATTTGTTTACTAATATATATGCCTGCAGTTCAAACACCAAGGTATTTTAATTCAATAAAAAAATACAAAGCACAGAAGAAAGCTAGTCTCCACCACCATAAAAGACTTCAGGCCAAAAGGGGTTAACGGTGAAATAAACAGCGCCAAGAAACCAAGGACAAGAAGAAGTGCACAAACAAAGCACTGACTCTCAACCGATTTATTTTGAAGAAACACAAATCGACGTGAAACACAAACCAGAAAATACATTGTCATCTGTCCCCAACACGCATCAAACCTGCTCAAGAATGCCAGCTCTGTCAAACAATGTGATTGAGGCCGAACTGACACATTTGTCTTCAAAAGGAATTAACCACTCAGAACTCTATTTGAGAATATTTTTGTGGACTATGAAAAGTGGAGATTTGTTTTTCAAAAGAGTCGAGGTACAACAACCTTTCATCACCACAAAAGTTACACTTTTACAAAGGGAAGTCCACCTGGAGAGTATCTGTAGTGCTGCAACACACAGCAGCAACAACTGTTAACTCGGAAAAACATGCATTATATGTAGGATCCTTCGTTTTCAGATAAAACCCAATATTTCTTGATATTTACATCCCAAACATGTTTTTGAAAAATCAGGTTAAACTACATTTTCCACCAAACTCAGAAAATGGATTCCACCATTTCCGAAATTATTCTGCTCCAGAAATATTTTCTAGGAAACAAAGGGCTAATAGAAACACGTGCAACAGCTCTTGACCTTGGAAACAAAGCTAGATTCTGTTGGCTCCATTGAACTGCGGTGAAATAGATTGAGTCATTAAATGCCACTTTTGTGCCCATTATGAATTATCTTTTGCCAAAAAAAAAAAAAAAAAAGATACAGATGACCAACTACCCTCTTTTGCTTTATTTTTGTCTAACTGCAGTGACGTCGTTGAGCACAGGGGCGGATGTAGGAATTTTATGAGCAAGGGGGGGGGGGGGGGGGGGGGGGGGGGGGGTCAGGTGTTTGTCAGCATACCATTTGTTTAGGAACCCCCTCCCCCTATCCCTCGTTTAACACCCTAAATTTTACACATGCAGAAATCAAGAGGGGGGTTAGGACAGATCCGGACCCCCCCTCTAAATCTGCCCCTGGTTGAGCATTGCAAATGTAAGTTGTGATGTTGAGAGAATGTACTCTCAATTCAAATATGCACAAAGACCAAACAGGTCTGGGATGGAAACAGAGATACTGTGCATGCAGATGATTATGTAAGAAACAAGGATTCATAAAATATCAAAAAGACCAAGTGAGCTCATATACCATGCCTCAATCTGTTTACAAAAAGAACAATCCATCTCATGGATTGTTCCATGAGAAGTGTTTTTTTAAACAGCCTAATTGAGAAAAGCATGTCACAAAACAAATCTTCTGCGAAAAAACAAATTTTTTCTAGGAATATTTATGCCACAGGACGTAATTTAGTCGGGGTCACAACTTCTCCACATTTGAGACTCCCGCTCTTTCGACGCGCACGGAGTGGCTGGTATACGTCACTCCGTGACGTATAATACCAACTTTGTGGAGCGCGATTTAAAACTGACGAAATAGCCGCAAACTAAAATCAGTCTCGCGCAATAAATATTGCTGTAAAAATTTTTGTTTCTGGCGAAAAAATTGTTTTGTGACATGTTTGTCCCAATCAGGCTGTTTAAAAATACACTTTTTTTTCTTTGCAGTTACCCTTTAAACTGACTAAGGCTCTTTATTGTTAATGAAACCCAATGATTTCTAAATATACCCAGCTGTGACGAGATGTACGACGTGTAGGCCTGTGGTAGAGAAAGACGTTGGTACTGCCAAGGGCGTGCTAGGGGAAACACTCGACTGCTGGGCCTGCTCGAACAAGCTGCGTTATCTTTCTGTGTCCAGCCTGTCTTGTCCTTCCAGACGAGTGGTGCATACCGGTCCTCACAGACGTCAGCATGACGTGTGCCTCGGTAGCGGACTATTTGCGCATTGCAGAGAAACACCGGCTGGCTGTGATGATGGTGTGGGAGGTGCTTCTGGTGCAGTCTTAACTTATATCTGACTATAGCCTCTTAGATGTGTCCACCAACCTCTTCTTCATCTCTTTAACTGTGCGCGTTGAGAAACAGAACAATGCCTACATGTAGCTAAAGGGACCACTACTGGCACAAGGTTTTTAGTTATTATGAATGTGCAGCTTATTTCTGCATCCATTTACTCACCGCTAAAGCACGTTTAATTATAATTCGAAGTCATTATTTATTGACTGCGCCCTCAGAGTCCAAGGCCTACAAAGAGGTGGTAAGTAAAAGAGGAACTTGAGATAAATAATTAAATGTACAGTAATGCCAAGCTATACCTGGTCCAGGTCATTTTTATACTCTCTTGCTCTACCCAAATATTTTTCCCCAAATCTTGAATTTAAAAAAAATATATATATACATCTTATTATGCACGCAGGCTAAAAGAAAATCACATCCTGAAGTTTATTTTGCATAATAACCATAGTTTTATTCTGAACATTTTATTGCAAGGCATGTATGTCTGTCCCATCAACCTTCACAGATGTTTTTTAACATGGAATTCATTGTGTGGGATATATGTATCTGCTATGTGTGTGTGTTACGTGTGGCTATAGGGGAAAAAAACCGACCTAAAAGCGGCATAAAAACGCAACACAGATATAACACCAGTCCCTAGATTTGGCAGGTGATGTCTCACCCACCAATTTTAGGGGTTGGTGGTCACATGACACCGCGCCACTTGATGACCTTATGACATATCCTACGTACAAGAATTCTTTCAGGGATGGTCAAAACGGACAGCAAGATTCGTAAACACCCGACGTGCACGCATGCGCCATTGAACTCTGAAGGAATGTTTTTCCCAAAAACATGCGGCCTCGCTACGACAGAGCAAGATCCGCAGGATCATGGAGTTCACTCTGCGAGTGTCGCTTCTCTGCAGTGCACCAGTGTCCAGGGAGAAGCGCACTTAACAAAACTAATTAACTCGACCAGATAGACCTCATTGTTAGCTTCCCTGCTACTGACGCGACTTACCGAAGGTAGGCTGCGAGGAGTCCCTATCGTTGCGTCGAAACACGTTTCGTGGAATTACGTTTCATAGACAGACGTTTCGTCAACACAAACGTCCTATTGACACTCGTTAAGCGAATTGCACGCTGTAGGGACATTTTGTCATGCGTGTATCACTGGGGTGGGCGTTAACCCTCTCCCCCGCCTGCGTTCACGCAGCTTCGCGCAACAGTCTGCGGCAGCTCATTACAAAAATGTTAACCCACCTGACCGACCCGTACACGCTGCTTCGCGGTGACGGTCTCATGCAGCTTATTACAAAAAAAAAGCTAATCTAAGCTGTCACTGAAACGACTTGTCAATGGAACAATCTGTCGATGAAACCTCGCATGTTGCTGAAACGATCTGTCGATGAAACGTTATTCGATGAACTGATTGTCACCGGACTGCGAGTACCCCAGCCAAACGAAACCATACTGCATACATTGGTATGCGTTGGTCAGAGCAGTGCAGCTGCACTGGGCTGACTGTACGAACTGCTGCCGCCAACAGTAATGTGTCGTGTTGTGCTGAGACAAAGCTTCATAGTTTTTTCAACTTGCCATCGTCTGTGTTTGGGGGAGCGACACTGATAGACTCGTGCCATATGAGACGAGAAATTTGGTCTCCCTATCATGTCTGACACTGTATCAGCATGGCTGATATAATCTACACCGCCACTTTGTGTTTGTTTTTGTGCTGTAATGCTTGCATATTTTAGCGACAATGGGACAGACTGGAATAGCATCCTATGCTACTTTGTTGAAGGCACGTTCCGTCGTATGTGTCGATAATATTTCTGGACCAGTATCACATGCAGTCTGTACTTCCTAAAGAAAAACTGTGCACAGAGTGAAAAATGGGAATCTAAGGAAAAGTATGACGAAACTTGAAATCACTGGACATTGAATCTGGCAGTTCATGTTTGCTTTCTTTTTTCTTTTTACCAGCCTTCTTTCGGACGTGCAAATCACTTTTTTTTGACATGCAAAACAAAACGCTGGAATTGTTTTTAATAAAATTAATGCAAGATAACTGATACAACCCAAAAAAAAAATAAAGAAATCATAATTTAAAAAATTAAACAAATCAGGTTTTATTTTTTTTAATTAAGATCAAATATAAATCAGATTTATATGATTTAAGTCACTTTACCCCAAGAAAATAGCAGTTCAACTTCTACTAGTTCGTTTCTTTTTTTTTTTTAAACAGAGAAATTGATTCTTCACTTCACCCAATCACTGAAAACAGTGTAAACAAAAAAAAAAGTTGTACATTTAATTATATTGAAAAGTGCATTTTAATTCAAACATTTTTTCTTGACATAAACCATGTCATACTAAAACAAAAGTACCTTGACTTGTTTGGTGATTGAGAAAGCTTTATTATCTGTGATGTTTCAGCAAAGCAAAATAAGAATCACTCTGAAGTTTATACGAAAACCCCGTGGAAACAGCTCAGAATTGTATTCTATCACCTTCGTGCACACGGTGCCA